GCTATTCCTATTTTTATATACGATATTCAGCCTCATGTATCCGGATACTTACCTACCCTACCCGTCAGATCGTCGCCGGGTATATACCCTACCCGTGGGGTTCACGGATACTACCCGGATACGTATCCGCCGAACACTGATTTTGGGTGAGAAACAAAATAAAAATAAAACCAAAAAAATTAAAAGGGGTAGCCTACGACCATTGATCACCACTCACACCCCTCTCTGCACTCAGAACTGCTCTCACACGTCAAGCACACATCACAGATGCATACACACAGCTTGTGCACTCTCAAAATGATTGATATTCAGCTACCTAGCATTTGAGCGCGTCCATCTCACTCGCTATCTAAGCGGAGATGCCAATGACACCGCAAGCGGGGCGGAGACCAGCGTTACCAGTCTTGAGGGAGTCTGGGTGTCCTCCCTTGCCGAGATCATCAGTGCCGGAGTGGACAACGATGGTGCGCTGCGTGAGTTAGCCATTGTCTTATTCTATTGCCCTTCCGCCTCCACAGCTTGGTGGAAGTTGCTCAAGAGGGAAGATGGGAGGTGGAGTGAGGAAGCACAGCTGGAGAGGACTTACGCCGATGACGCTATCCGGGCCGATGAGCTTGATCAGCTTGTCGGTGGTGGTGCCGGTGGAGTTTCCTTGGGCATCAGTGCTGAAGTTGCCGAGGTCACCAACGTGGCGCTCCTCGTCGGTGGGGGCACCGTGGTTCTTGCCACGGGGGTTGACTGGGGAAGGAAGTTAGCATGGTGGTCTCTTGGCCTCGCAGTGCCTGGTTCGTCTGGTCTTTCTTTCTTGTTTCCCTCTTCCTTCTGCTTCATTTCCGCTTCTATTTTCCGATCTCCTCTTCTCTCGCTCCCGCTCTCACGCCACACTTCTCTCGTTCGCTTCTTCCTCTCCTCCGACCATTGTCCATCTTGATATCAAGCAAGGAGATAGGGGTATGGTTGAGATGAACTCACAATGTGGGCCAGCGGAGGTGCAGCCGTTGGTGTTGTCACCGAACTGGTGAACGTGGATTCCGCGCTGGGCGTTGGCGTCGTTGCCAGTGAGGTTCCAGGAGATGGTGGTGGCGGAGTTCTCATCAGCCTGCTCGAAGGTGACGGTGCCGGAGACCTTGGAGTCACCACGGACGGTTGCAACTATGCGGGGTTAGCCAGGCGGGTTCTGGGGGACGGTGTGAGGTGCGGGGTAGACTGGTAGAAGGATAGGAGAGGGTGGAGAGGAGGCTGCTGAGGCGGTTGAGGCTGATAATCCCCAAGGTTGCGCCCTTCCTGGTGGAGTAGCTACATGTGTCGATGAATGTGCTCAATTCAGCGCGCGGGAAGGCCGGAAGGCTGCGTCATTGGACAAACTACCCCTCCACCGACACAAACACAGTAACAGCGTGCTAAACTCGTCCACGTACCTGCTTTGACCATTTTGGCGGATTATATTACTGGAATAGAACTTTGTGGATATTGTGTAGCGGGAATTAATTCAGAGTCTTTGCTGCGGATTGTTGTCTTGAGGTGGGAGGAGAGAAGAAGAGAAGGTGCTCAGAAGTGGGGGATACGTGATTTAATGACCGATCAGAGAAGCTCCTGCCCCGCTCCGAGCCGACAGCTCATGGGAGCTTGAGTAAGCAGCTGGTCACGTGAACTATGACATCAGTGCGGGTATGGTTTCCGGATTCTGCAACAAATCGGATATTTTTGAATATGAGGAGTTCATAATCTTGTCCTACTTCTTTCCTGTTTCAGTATTGATGGTGTTGCAATGCTCCAATAGCGGATATGCCGCCGTACTTCAGCAATTTCAGGTATGACATAATTCGATGCTTAGTCACGTGCGATGGCTAGATCTACGGACCCCGCAAATGCCAAGCATTACCCTGACAACACAACCCGCGGACTCCGATATAGGAAACGGGACTAACAGCCTCCTCTTGCGCCATGCCGGATGACATGCCGTGGTACTCTACTTTGGCAGAAGCTGTATCCACAATTTAGGGCCCTAGCAACGCCTGAAATCTGAGAAGCTTATCTGTTCAAGCCCGCACAATTGCCGGGGGGAATGAAGCCTGTATGATAAATTGATCCTGGTGAGAAAGCCAATAAGGGATTAGATGCAAGGAAGGTTTGCAGTGCAAATACGCTTGTTCGAGGGTGGCAAGAGCTAAACTAAGACACGCCGCATGAAGTTTCAAAGTATCATCTCCTTCTCCTGGCTGTCGGGTATTATTACCTGCCGTCGATTTGCAAGGAATGCGGCATCTCTCGATACTCATGCAGCATCGTTCGTTTTCCTCCGAAGCCAATACATAGTCTTCAAGCTATAGAGACAGCTAAATCTATTTATGCTACTATCTATAACCCCCTTATCTGTATAGTTGTGAAGATCTACGCAACCTACATAGAGCCACGAAGCTCTTCGATGAATTTGAGTCTTCCCAGCAGCTGGTCCATGAGAGAGTTGTTGTATCTGAACAATATATCTCCGGGGGCGCCATCATACCTGCATGATATGTCAATTGATTGCAGGAGCAGAGCTCGTGCGAGGAATTTCTCGATGATTTCCTGGGATCGGAAGAATGACTTGGATAGCCGTTCGCCCGTCCAGAGAAATTTGACACCGCGGTAGATAAGCGGAAGCGCCAGGGCAAAGAAATACCTGTTTACGAGCGCAGTGTTGTAAAGTGCGCGTGATTTGAGGCCATTGTTGGCGACGATGTGGATAATAAGCCCCACTGGCAGGCTGACGAGGGATGTCATTTTTGGTGGGGCATAAGGTATGAGGTTGGAGTTCTCCATGTATTCTGGAGGTTGATTGTCAGATCTGCCTGATCGCTTCGCGAACCAACCAGGCGAATCTTACGATTATGGTCAGCACGGCTGAAATATACCGGAAGGTTCGGCGTTCTCCATTATCACAACATCATCCTTACACACAAGATGTCGGCAGCTCTCCGCGTAGTCGTCTGCGGCCAGTCGGCCCAAATTGCCAAGGGCGTCAAAGCGGGCCTACTACCCGAGTGCGAAAGTGAGACTGACACTCCAAGCTTTCCCCATAGCAGGCCCATTCTAATCTTTCCAGCTATCCATGTTGTCTTCAGCGCCGCCGCTGGTGCTAAGGATATACCCGCAATATTATCGGGTCAGGCCCCTCCCGCCACGGATGAGCCGAATGTGGGGACGGGTAACTACTCAAGAAAGGCCGACGCTATTATAGTCGGCGGTGTGTATGGCGACGAGCAGTTCAACGAGATGAGAAATTCGTGCGCAGAATTGCCAGGAAACGGAGGGGCTGCATGGCTGAGACTGAATATGAGCACACCTACTCCACCTTTGGGGTCAGTGATCCTCCCGAATCTTATTTAACGTCGCGGGTTATTCGAAACCAATGCGGCTGTTACCAAAAACCTCCTCTCAAAATACCAGCGCTAACAAAGCTTTGAAGGCCCGCGTATGGGAAGGCGGTGGTGGAGAGGTGCAAAGCCTGCTTGAAGGAGCTCGAGCTGGATGGGAAACTCGGGACGGACGGAATTTATTTCTACTAATTCTAAATTTGGGTCTGTTTGATTTTTATCCACAGTTGCCAAATTCATACTGGAATGCCAAGTACGAGGGGATTCAACATCTCTTGTCAGTGAAAGGATGAAAATGAAGAATCGTTTCATATGGCTGGGGCTGTTCCCATGGGTTTGCCCTTTGGATACATATGCTACGTGAGAATGATGAGGCTGTGTTGAATCTAGACCGAGCGTATGCCGTGTTATTTTCTATCACGCAACTAGTCAAGGATAAGTGAGTCTATTGTATAACTGTATCTGCGCATGGTGCACCACGCCCCGTCGTATTGACGACCATGAGGTGAGGGCACAATTTCAGTGCATGGACTCCCTTGGCACCACCCCCAAGGCGACAGTATAGAAGCGGTTTAATATGATGCCGTGCAAGAATCAGCACGCATATCGGTGAGAAGGAATGGTATCGCGACTTCACTTGGAATCTCGATGAATTCATCCGTCTTACGTGACGACGACGTGTTTAAAAGATGGAAATCAATATATAATGGATAACCTCGACGATTGAGATTAAAATATATCTACAGACCATCCACCTCGCAACACAATTATAGAAGCATAACCTCAAAAACAACATGTCGGTCCCCATCGCATTCAAGCTTTCCAGGCCGAACTATAACGATGTTATTCTCCTCACCGCCGATATGACTTTAGAGGCAGTCCAACGAACCGCCTACGAAGCCATCCGTGACCGAATTCCTCAAGTATACTTCGACGAATTTGGTGGCGACATGGAACAGTTGGGAGAAGTCTGGGTCGAATGGACGACGACGAACTAGAGCTTTCCCACCACGACCGCTATTACTGAGTCGAACGTCGCCGCAGTGATCCAACTCTTGGAGCTGAGACGTGGGGTTGATGTTCTCAGGGGCTCTCTGCCCTCGGCTTCTTAATGAGCTAGTTAATTCTTGTGGCGAAGCTATGGGCCTTAGATTGGAATATATTGGAGACTTATTCCGATCTTCGAAAAGCTACGTGGATCCAATAGGGCCGAATCGTGGGACTGACGTGGAATGGGTGGGACTGAATTTAGTTTTGCTTCAATGAAAACTTCCCACTCACGCTCACGAATACTTTTCCTCGATTAAATGCTAAAGTGAACCCTGTATATAATTGAGCGCACGGAGACCTAGTGGAAGACGTCAGAATACGATGGCGCGTGCGTTAAACAGGCTTTAAATATAGGTTATCATAAAGTATCACATTATATTAATCTATCAACGCTTATTTAGAAATATGTAAGTTTGAATACTTCCGTCCCTTGATTATAACCCCATAATTGTGTATATAATTGTGTGGAGTGACCTACTAACCCCTTGACCTATGCAAACAACCCCTCATTTCACAAATTACCCAACGTAGTAGCCCAGAAATCTATAACCCAAAACTCAATATACTCCTGTGATATGTGGTATTTTATGCTTCAGGCGCAACCGCCTTCTTCTTTTTAATATTTACCCAGCCCATTCCCAGACTAAAAACGAATAATCCGACTCCGCAGCCTGCGGATAGGTAAAAATTGCGGTTGATAGCATGGCTGTAGGCCTCGATGACGCCTGCAACTTGTGCTGGCTTCACAACAGTCCTTATGGCCGTGGCACCGGCTTCCACTACGTTCTTTGCATCTACATCCGGGGCGTATTTAGCCAAAGCCGAAAGAAGCCCCCCGCTGAATATCGTTTGTCCGACGGAGAGGAACACTGCTCCCCCAAACACCTGGGAGAACACGAGGGTCGACATTCCTACAGGAATTTTCTCCGGCGGGAGTACGTTTTGGACGGCGACGATGGCCTTGGAATGAAGTCAGTAAAGGAACGCGGGAGACGAATAAAATGTGAGAAGTGCTTACAATCTGCATGCCGAGGCCACGGCCCGCGCCAGAGAGGATTTGATAGCCAATCCACTTTCCAACCGAAGTAGATGGGGTAAAAGTAGCAAGGAGCCCAGAAGAAATGGCAGCGAGTATACCACTAACCACCATAAATGGAAGGTAGTATCCTATGCGTCCAACTTCGAATCATATCAGCTTTTGCTTCACACAAAAATAGCGCTAGCTTACCTAATACTCCACACACAATCGAACATATCATCTGCGCAATAATTGCAGGCAACATATACACCCCGCTCAGCGCTGGCGAAACGCCCTTGACAGACTGGAAGTAAATCGGTATATAGTACGAGAAGATCAGCATAGTTCCGTAGAAGAATGCATTGGCCACACAAGAAGCCCAAACGGCCCTCACTCTCAGCATGGAGAATGGGATCATAGCCTTGTCGCCAACTCGATATTCCCAACCAAGGAAAACCAAAGCCATGCCAAACCCGCCACAGAAGAGACCGATGATGGTGGCGCTGTTCCAGGGGTATTTTGTCCCGCCCCATTGAAGGGCCATCAGGATCATAGTAGCGGATGGCGCAAAGAGGACAAACCCGACGAGATCAAGCTTGCCAAGTGTTTTGAAAAGAGAAATCTTTTCATCCGTATTCCTGATATTCTGATCGGGTATTGTGATGAGCAGGAGAAAGACAGCAGCAACGGCACCGATGGGAAGGTTGATAAAAAAGCCTAAAGAGGCATGTGTTAGCGCATGCACAACTGGAAACCTGGATAAACGTACACCAGCGCCATGATACATATTCAGTAAATGCGCCTCCGATCAATGGCCCTCCCACTATACCTAACTGTGCAATTGACATCATGAAGCCCAGCATCACTATGCGTCATTAGCATATGAGAATACTGCAGTGCATAATAGGAGGACTCACTTGGCCGTCTGACCAGAGGAACAGATGCAGCTATGATGGTGAGGCCACCATTTATGAGCCCTGAACTTCCTAGGCCAGCAATAGCTCGTCCGATAATGAGCATCGTGGATGACTGAGCTCCACCACATATCGCTGATCCGAGCTCAAAGAGGCCAACGAAGACGAGGAAAGTGTACTGCTTTACATTAACACAATATAGTCAACGGAGAAGGATAGCAAACCTTAGTGCTAAATTCACTATACAGCTTCCCAGTTAAGGGTTGAAGGGCGCAACTGTTGTCTGGGTCAGTTCGGACACATCATAGAGCCATGCGCAGAAACTCACCTTGCGAGAAGATACGCACTACCATACCACCCAACATCTGGCAACGAGTGGAAGTCGCTGGTAATTCGAGGTATAGCCTGTTGCTGTTGTCAATAACTTCTCTAGTTTGTAGTTGGGTATGGTAAGACTCACAGTCACAATGATAGATATGTCGAGTAACATGAGAAATACTACCAATGTAACCGACGACATAACAAGCCACAGCTGGACCCCAGAAATATATTCATGCTCTGGTTCAGCGGCCTCGGCCGTCTTGGCAATGTCATCGGAAACCTTTTCATGAGTTGAGTTATCATCTATATGTCCTTCATTGTCGACGTCTGTAGCACTGTCCGATATGACATCCTTTTCATCAACATGGCTTCCGCGGTCCTGCAATTCCTTCTCCATTTTTGTTTGGTACCTATGTACGGGGAATTTAAGTATTTAGCGAAGCCGAGAAGTGCGGACTGTCACTCAACAGCGGCACAGAGACAAGTTGATCCAATCGACAAGCGGACGATATCGCATGGTGTTCAAAGCACAGCATGGAAGGGGAACATGACATATATGTAACTCCAAAAGTAAGATTCTCGCATATAAATTTTAACGCCGGTCGCGACCATCTCCAACAATCTAAAATCCGATGATGACGAGGCTGCCTAAACCAGCGGAATCCGTCGGGGTTCGGGCCCGAGATCCTATATTAACTCCACTCCACCCCTTTCAAACTCCGCTCGGAACCAATTCATCCACTCAATCCCTCTAATCATTCCAATGTGAGCAAATCATCAATTATATATCAGTTATGTCCCAGCAGGTTATAAACCAAGCAAGGGCAGCTCCCATAAGGGTTTATCAACATGCCGTATGTCGTGATTTTTGTGTTAAATCACCAACGCCAAACCCTAAAATTCCACCTCTAATTATGCCCATCCCTGATAAACCCAACCATATAATCCGCATTTATCCTTCCAGAATCTCCATATCAGAAGTCCAGCTGATATGGAAAATCCCCCGCAAGAAGATCTCTCATCCAAACGTCGTCCAACAAATCCATATTAGTCGCCCCGAAATCGATGTCCTGCATCGGAAGCTGCCCCTGAGCGGCAAATCCGTGAAGACCCTCATTCCCACCGGAATTCTCATGTCCAATTGTAAGATTTTGACCGCCTAGCCGGCTCTCAGCGTCGGCTGCGGCTGCGGCTGCGGCTGGAGTTACGACTTTCATTTCCCACCAATGTGCAATCTTTCCCAACATCCTGTTTGTTAACATCCAAATATTATGAACACCCGGACCAGTAGTGTCAATCCCTGCCGCTGCAGGGACCTGGCCCCATTTCTCGGTCAGAAGATTTATCATCACCCCTAGATCAACTTCCTGCCGTACAAGTTGTCGGTCCCAAGACACACCAGGGCACTCGAAGGTACTTAGGCGGTACAGCGCTACAAGGAAATGTGCCATTTGCGCCATTAACGCCATGGGCATTTCAGCATAGCTTGAGAGTGGTACAATTTCAGCGGATACGAAAAGCGCAAACCAAGATTTGGTAGCGTCAAGGCAGGTCCAGAGGCTCTTGGCAAGCTGAAGTGTTTTAGAGGGATCTGGAGGGCCAGCCTTGGTTGAGCAGGTGCCGAGGCAATGTTCGTGTAAAGTGAGGACCGCGTGGTGAAGGTGAAGTTGTACGCTGACTGTGTATCATGTGAGCGTATTGAAATGGTATTTGGAAGTGGGAATGCTTACTGTTGCCATCTAATTCAGGGGGGATATTCCGCTTTAGTTCCTCTAATTGTGACTGGAGTGACTTGAAATATATTTCGCTCGGTGGACTGGCTATTCCGCCATGAAGATTATCACTCATGTCGCGATATATGGCGTTTTTGATCAATTGTAGCCGAGTAAAGAAAACCAGTAGGATATCTGTCGGATGCTCTCTCGTCTTCTCCAGTAGTTGCAGACACTCCTCAAAGTATGGTACCCATCGTAGAGGCTCAATTCTCTGGAAATAGCAGGAACATCTAAGAAATGATCAGTTTACTTGTTCGGGTCGGTAAATATTAGCAATTCAAAAGAAAATAGCAAGACACCCTTCACTTACACTGAACTAACCAAAAAGAGCCCAATAACAGATCGCCTCTCTTCCATAGTCCTAACGGCAACAGTTGCATTCTTCGGGCACCCCTGTGCATTGTAAGCTAGCATTATGAGCGCCGGCTCAGTTGGAACTGGTTTCGTGAGGGCAAGGTCGAAGGCTACCGATGTTGCAAGGTGGATGACCGTCGATATTATAGGTTTGTTGTAGAGGTAAAAATGACCCCACGCAGAAAAAATTAACAGCCCTGAGAGGAGGTCCATGTTTTTAGCACCCTCGATAAGCATTTCCCTCCCCAGGACTCGTCTAATTTCGAGGCCTAATTCAGCTTGCCTAGCTGTACTCTTGGGGCAAATTGCCCGGATAACTAAACTCAAGAAAGGTCGTTCTTCCATCAACTCTCTAGCCGTTACATTTTTGTCGATTATTACCAGTGGGAAAAAAGGAGCCATTTTTGTACGGTAGGTCTCTAGAGTCATTTCTAACTCAGCAATATCTTCAAGTTCGCCGTTCGTTGGAAAGGACGGGGGCGTGTCGTTTGCTTTTTGGGCTGAGCAGCTAATGGCTGGATCATTGTCCCTAAAGTATTGTGTAATACAAGGTCCACGATTGGACGTGGAGGAGCTGGATTCTGATGGCGTAGGCGGTGCGTATTGAGAGCAAAGAGTGTCGCCCTGAGCTCCAGTCGATTCGCTCGGCTTACTATTCAACTTTCCGTAGTTGAAAAAATTACCAAGCCCAGGTCCCCCCTGTTGCACATTTAATCCATGGTTCGTAGCGGTTGCAGCGCCAGTTCCATTTACATTCCCACCAAGAATAGGGTTATTGGGTTGACCGAAATTCCCATTTTCCAACTGACTCGACGATTCACTCGTCACGGAGCGGGATGTGAGAGAGGAAGGGGCGGTTTGAGCTGCCTGAGAACGTTGGAGAATCAGGGTAAGATCATCGAGTTTTTCTTCCAATGCTGCCGTCTTGCTAGCTACTGAGGCTGTTGATGGTTTTGATCTCTTGGCCACCTTCCTTTTACGAATCGTCGGTGCCGGTTGGCAGTCCTTGTTGAGACGTAAACACCTGGATTTTAATTTAGTATTTGTCGCAAACGGACTGCATTTAAGCAATGGATAAAACTTTGAAATATGCGAGGTTTGATAGTATAGCAGCCTCGGAATAAAATTGGCACTGTTCGATGCCGAGGTAGAATAATGATATCCAAGCAAGACGAACTAATAAAAGGCACGTACCTCTCACATTTCGGTCCACTTGGTAGCACAGCACACCTAGTTTTACTCCTCACGCAGTTGAGACAAGCCTTTCCATATGGCGCATTCGCAAGCACGTGCTCCGCCACACCCTCCCCCCTGTGCGAGCTTATCCCAAGCCCTTCTGACGAATTATTGAGCTCCATTGCGCTATCAATACGAGCATACGAGCAGCCGCTTGAGCCCAACGGAGTTGAGGTGATTGATATCAACACAACAGCGTCACAACTCGCGGGTGCTATTTTACTGCCCGTTTAGCAATGCATTCTCCGAAATCCGTATCCCAACGGACTATGATGCCAAATTTTACAACGAGGAGTCTCGTAAGACGGGAATCGACTTTGTATAAGTTTGCTTCTCAACTCCGACGGAGTTAGTGGCGGATCGGAGTTGGTGGAAGTCCATTCAGAACGCACTAACACGGAGGAACGGAGCTACTGCAAACTCCGAAGCAGTGGGTCATGTAACCTAAAGCTCTATGTCACGAGTCAGGTGATTCAATAATCGTGGTTCCCTAGACGATGTGGAAGCAATATGCGTTCGCGACCACCAAATATTATAGGTACCTTTACATAGTAAATTGTATGTAACGTGACTTAAGGTAGCAGAAAGATAAAAATGTAGTAAAATAATGTTAATAAAAACATATATAACTGCTTTAAATGCTCTATTATTATTCCTAAAATTTAATAGATAATATATATATATATGATGCTACTTATACTAGAAGCATTTAAATTTTATATTAATAAAGAGTCGTTAATTACAAAAAAGGGTGTAAAATAGGCTTATTTTAAAGGTATAGAAAATGAAGAAGTTCTGACTTGCAACGATTTACAATGTAAATCTCGCGGACGCACTTTGCTTTGCGGACGCACTTTGCTTCCAACCACGATTACCTTTACATAGTAAATTGTATGTAATGTGACTTAAGGTAACAAAAATATTGAAATATAGTAGAATTATTTTAATAAATGATATATATATATAATGCTATAGAGTTGTTAATTACTAAAAAGGGTATAAAATAGGCTTATATTAAAGGTACAGAAAATTAATAAATTCTGACTTTTAACAATTTACTATGTAAATCTCGCGAACGCACTTTCCTTCTGACTACGATTACATGTTATAATATGGTTACATGACCTTACAACTTCGGAAGATGCTAGGCTAAGAATAGTAGCACACTAGTATTCTATTCTTTACATGAGTAAATACAGACTATTATATTCCTTTGTCGAATAATATATTATATACATTTACTCTTTAACACGGTGCTCTTGCTCCACCTGGCTGTTATCGACTTTGGAAATATCTTCATCCTCGACGATTCTGGCCTTCCCTAGCATATTCTCAATGTCATTCTTGCGACGTTCCATATCGACAGTGCCAAAGAGAATATCCATGTCCTCAAGCGTACGGCCCTTGGTCTCCTGAACGAAGAAGAAGATCCACGTACCCATCGCAAGACAGAAGACACCAAACATGATGAATGTCCTCCACCCGATGTGGTTGATGGCAGCCGGTGTGATACGAGTGATGACGAAGTTGAACAGCCATTGCGTCGCGGACCCCATACCAACACCGTATGCGCGAAGCCGTGTTGGGAAGATTTCTGACAGGTAGACCCACGGGATTGGACCCCATGAGGCGGAGTAACCAATGACGTACAGATATATCATGACAATCATGCCGATAGAGGCCGGGGAGACGGTGTTGACGTTCGTTGGGGGATGGGTGGCGAGCACAGCACCAAGTATGAACATCATGACGGACATCCAGGCTGCGCCAGCAATCAGGGACCGACGGCGACCAATCTGATCGATACCCACCAGCAAAAAGATACCAGTAGAAATCATCTTGACGATGCCATAAATACCAGTTGCAAATAGACTGGTGTCAGTCTTGGCAACGCCGATTGTTTGAAATATCTGGGGAGCGTAGTATCCGATGCTGTTGGTTCCAGAAAACTGTTGCCAGAACATGATGAGGAACCCATTCACAAATCGAGCTCGGTTGCCAGGTTGCAACACCTCCTTCCAGGCGACACCTTCTGTTGCTGCAAGTTCATCTTCGATGGAAGCCCGGATTTCTGCGAGTTCCCCTTGAACTTCTGGGCTGCCTGGGTCCTCACGGCGCATGTAGGCGAGAGATGCGGTGGCCTCATCGTATCGACCCTGCTTCACCAACCAACGCGGTGACTCCTTCAGGAAACAAAGACCGACCAACATAACAGCACCAGGGGCCATTTGGAATCCGACGGGGATACGCCATTGTGCGGTTGATGGAGCGATGTTCCGAGACACACCATAATTCAACCAGTATGCGATGGTGACGCCAATGACTAAAAATTCCTGGAACAATCCCGTGATTCGGCCGCGAACTTCTGCTGGGCAGTTCTCTGCGACGAATACCGGGGTGATAGCTGACATGCCTCCGATTCCCAGGCCAGCAATGACACGCCCAGCGTAGATGTACGAAAGTTGGTGGGTGGCCGCGGTCTGGACAGCGGCACCAATGAGGAAAATGACACATAGAACCATGAGTGTGTATCGACGGCCAAATTTTTCATTGGCAAAGGCGGCCCCAATAGCGCCGAAGAAACATCCTGCCGTTAATAACGAAACGACATTCGACGAGATCTCAGCATTTTTGCTATTTGCAAATCCGGAACTCTCCGTTGGAAGTCCGAAATCCTCCTTAAAGCTCTTTAGGGCTAAAACACTGCCCATCACGCCGGTGTCATAACCTGTAATAGTCAGTGACTGCACTGGGAACATTTCAAAAAAAAAAAGTGGGCCTAAAGCATACCGAAAAGAAAAGAGCCCATATACGCCACACTTGCGAGTATATATACTCGCAAGTTCTTTAACATTGGTTTTGTCATACTGGCTGTCTGTCGATATGAAAATTATTTGGTGGCGAATTTGTCCTGTCCACGTTGAGGATCTTCGGATTGAGTCTGGGGAAATAGTATGGGGAGGAGGTAGGTCTTGTATATATATTTCTATGTGGGGAAGCTGGGGAACGGCGGGATGCGGGTAAGGCTCGGCATTGCATGACGGCTTAATGTTTTTCCTGTTCTTTGCCATCCCACTAAGTTGGTATTATTTACACTTACAACATCAGGGTGAATGCTACCCTCTGAGTAACCAATTACGATGACTAGTTGTACGGCCCATTGTACTATCCACCATGTTAGTATTATCTGCACTTACAATATCAGGGTGAATCCTACCCTCTGAGTAACCAATTACGATGGTTAGCCGCACATCTTTCCTTCGGCACGTCGGCTTTTGGATGGAAGCTTAGTTCCGATTTCAATAGCCGACCCCTGCGAATGCAACTCCATCCCGAACCCAAGGACTCCCTTCCGTCTTTGCCGATTCGCTTGTTTTGACCGTCCATCTCCCCCGCATCGGACACCGGACACCGCACAACCCCAATTTCCCCACTTGTCATATCCCCGCATTTTGGCAACCCATGTCAAAAGCCGCATAGAATGTCGTTTAGAGTGGCTTGAAGCTGAGCATAAGTACGTCCTATGTTTCCTAGATAATTCGAGGAGTAGGAATTGCCTTTTAGTGATTCCATCTTAGTAGCACTGTCAATATGTCACGAATGATTACTACAGTAGTTGCGGCGTTGGCATTTTGGCCCGCCTTGGCTTCTGCTGTCGCCGTGGCTCCACTTTCTCCAAGAGCCAACACAAAGGCTGGATTAAGCTATTCGGATGTCTCTGTCTCATTTGACGTTTCAGCTGGAGCGAAGGAGTCCATGCCGCTCAATCGCCAATTGATCTCAGTGTCAATTGAGTAAGTCTAAATCTATAGGTATACAGTTATCATAATGGCTAATAAATATAAGGTTTTGCTACAGCGTCGACTTTTTAGGGGCAGCAAAATCGCCGAATCTCTTCTCGAAACAGCTGCTTCAGAATGTCATGGACATATCGGGAACACTTCCGATCATTCGTTTAGGTGGTAATACACAAGACAAAGCAGCGTATTGTGAAAATTGCCCAGAGTCCATGAACAGCACCTATGCTCCTGGAAGTACGGAAGCAATTGATATTTCATTCAGCAAGGGCCTATTTACAGCCATGAATGAGAACATGCCTTCAAAGCAGGAGTACATTTTTGGGCTTAATTTAGGACGAAGTATGCTATCCTCTGCTTGATTTTTATTTAAAAAAAGATTAGGGTTAGACTAATGTTGGCACTAGACGACGTCGAGGTCCCCAAGGCCGAGCTCCGCGCAGCCCTGAAATACCTCGATCAGTCGAAGGTTGTTGCGTATGAGCTTGGAAATGAGCCCGACCACTTCACTATGGCCAGCTACGGCTTCCGGTCAAAGGACACCTGGAATATGGCTGCTTATGTCCAGCAGACTCTCGACTGGCTGCCACAGCTGAGTTCCGGAAAGAGCTTCCAGTACGGATCTATTGCGGCGTCGCCTGCCGTCGCATCAGACTTCACATTAGTACAGGCACTTCAATTCGGTGTGTCGAAGCTTAAGCAAGTAACAATCTTCTCGTCGCACGCATACCAAGCAGATGTCTGCACTCGTAAGTTACTCCCTCCTATCCAGTTCTTCGCATCATGATCCGAAACTAACACTTTCGCAGCTGCCCACGGAGAACTCGTAAAAATAGAGGATTACGTAAACCATATGAAAACTGTACAGTACTACAGTGCTTATATTGGCGAAATTGCAGCTGCAAAATCGCTTGGGAAAATATACCATATGGGCGAGACGAGCAGTGCTGCCTGCCACGGTAAGGATGGCGTATCTAATACTATGGGTGGGCTATTGTGGACGATCGATTACTCCTTCTATATGGCCACGCTTGGACTTGATCGGATTTTCTTCCACAATGGTAGAGGTGACTATTTCTATTCGTTCTGGGAGCCTATTGGTGGGAGTGCATCCTCTCCTCAGCCACATATCAATCCCCAGTAAGTTGCTTCATTCTTAACCTGAGGCCGTTAATCAGATTACGGCGACTTTTGGAATCGGTCACCTAACTTTCACTACACAGATACTACAGTCTTCTCTTCCACGCGTCCGCAATCTCCGGCCTCAATTCCCCACGCATCCACAGAGTCGCCCATCTCGACACCCACGATCTTGCCCACTACGCCATTTATAGCGGCAACCAGCTGAAGAAGATGGTCATTCTCAACACGCAATTGTACAACACTACCGACACGCGGCCAGCGAAACATGTCGACCTCTTATCTATCTTTGGAAAGAAGCTAACGGTAAAGCGCCTTACAGCTCCGAATACTATTGCCAAGACAGGGGTGACATGGGGAAATCAGGCAGTAGATGGGAAGACAGGGAAATTTGTAGGAAAGGAGACCTGGGAGAGTGTTAACAATGGGGTGGTAGATGTGTTTGCGAGTGAGGCTGTGATTATTGAGAAGAACTAAGGGTTTAGTAGACAAGGCTATTAGCTACTCTCTGTTAAGGGAAGACTCTATAGAGTTATATAGACCCCTCTATATGGCCCTCCTTCTATAGATTTATAAGAATAGCTTTATTTTTGGCTATATCAATTGATATATTATATGTTAGTTGTTGTTTTGTTGTGCTAATAGTTGTACTTAGACGCACGCTTGTGCGTCTGCTGAGAGAGTACAGAGTACACGAACGCTTTTGCAGTGCCGATCGTTTTCGCCAACCGCCTTCTAGGCGGTAGATTAGAAACCAACGATTAGGTAACAGCTCGAGTGACATCCTGTAATATGCGGCCTCTTTTGACGGCTAATGCTGGCCGGCCTCGTGCGGATGGCAGAGTTGCCCCTTATTTCCTCCCTGTACTTATACACTACTATCTCTGCTACTCCAATCTTATTAAGCATAGATCCTATTCAACAGTCCTATAAAGCGCCGGTCCCTGCTCATCAAACCACGCCGACATCTCGCTCCCAAGGTCCGCGTACATCTCGTTTAAATCCTGGGTGAAATCAGACAAGCCGGCAAAAAGCTCCTCATCCGGTATCATCCTCCCCATCTCATCCAAGTTCCTCGCAAGGCCTATGCCATCTATTCCGTTCCTACTGTCATAAATGGCGCTCTGAGTCGTTGGAGCGCAGGTGGCCGTTGCCCCATCCCAACGCATCGTGGTCGTAGGAAGGCTTTTGTCCATGCAGCTGAGGAGTTGTTGCAGAAAGGAATACGCTTTCTGCGCGAAGGTGTGGTTCGACGACATAGCTTTTATCATGGTGAGGGCGGTATCGAGTTGGGCGAGGCATGGGAGGGCGTTGCTGCAGGCGTTGCTGTAGGCGGTGTCGACAACGTGCGAGACGAGGATTAAGGTTGCGTTGAATACTGTTTATTATCAGCGTTAATTCATGTCAAACATAAAACATGGAGACAAAGTGACGAGTAAGAGGCATGAAGAGGGAAACGCAAAGGAAACGCAAAGGAAACGCAAAGGGATGGATAAAGGAATAGAAACGCGGAGGCGAAACCGATACAGTGACGTACAATAATACAAATTAAACCAACTAGTTCCACTCTTCCTCCTCGTCTGCTCATGCCTCCTTCCAATAAGATTAACAGTCTCCATAGCAGTACTAACACAAATGCCCCGACTATGCTGCAAAATACTACTCTTTACCCCCTCATCTGCCCTCCTGTGATCCACAGTCCCGCTCAGCGCTCTCAAGCTCAGCGCAAGTGACGGCCTATGGATCAAGATCCGAACCATATTCGCCCGCAACGCTAAGATCAGCGGCTTCTCGGCTGCCTCATCTTCGTTCTCTTCAAGCTTCAACTCTCGCGGCACATCCGCATACCATCTCTGAAAGCGCTCGTCAAGGACTAGCACACTCTGCGCCAGAGCCTCGCCGCAGCCGACTGTAGTCTCGAAATCCACAGAGCGCGTTGCAATCTCTAAAATCTTATACAATTTTACCACTTCGATGTTAAATCTCATCCCGCTCACCCTCTTTGGAGTCGGATACAAAACCCTATCCGCAAAAATAAACTCATCATCAAGATCCTCGGGCAGGGGAAACGTAAAGTCCACACTACTCGTCACAGCTGGCCTCCCGTAAATCATACTCAGTAACTTGTCAAGCGTGAAACAAGCCCACCACACCCTCGTCCTGACCTCATTCTCAATACACTTTTGGTCTTGTGGCGATGCACGATGTAGCTCTAGCCCATGCGCAATGCGGATCGCGAGCCCGAGAACGTTCCAGCATTCGTCGGGGCTGTTGGAGCACTGCAGGTGGCGTGCGCCGAGGAGTAATGCCTGGACTTTAGAGATGTTCCAGTCGCGAAGTAAAGTGGGCTTAAGAAGTTCAATGGCGATATCATAGTAGCGCCGCGAGATGGCGGGGTTCGTATTTTGGTCCATGAGGCGGTGGGAGAGGCAGACAGCGAAGATCATATTTAGGAGCGCGAGGCTGTGGCGATGATGGTGGCGTTCTGAGATGGGGCTGCTGATGGCGTCTTCGAAGGAGACGCGGATTGTGGGCTCGTGGAATATAGGCGAGAGGTGTGGTTAATCTTGAAGAATTGGTCGACGAGATCGCGTGCTTCGTTGGGGAGTTGGAAGAGTGCTGACGAGGGAATGGACTCGTCTCTATTGGAGTAGGAGGGCTGGGCTCGCACGCCAATGGTGCGGCCGTTCATAGCGTTTAGGATCAGTTGAGTGAAGGATAATCCGCCCATAAAGACATCTGGATCAGCGGATACGAGTAGAGGGCTGTCCGTGGTTGAGGTGTTTGTTAGATTTAGATTGATATTGGATATAAGAGGAGCGTGAGCAGACGGGTTGCTGCACGCAACATCCGAATTGGAGAGACTCATTGACCGACTTGAAGGAGTGGGGAGCATCACGCTCAGTTCCGAATACACTGTGGTGTGGTCTCCTACTGACTCTCGAGTTGTTCCTCGCTCTAATTTGGCAAGTCTCTCCTCTAATGAATGCAAATATCTATTATTTCATAGTTAGGGGTGTGCATTCCTTTGATGTAGTTAATACCTACTGTTGGTTAACCATTACGACGGCAGAACTTGTTGAGATGCCGCTGGAGCTATACTGGCAATCACCGCCATTGGATGAACACGTAGAACAGACTGGCTTGTTGCCGTCGCATTTCGTCTTGAGGGCTCTGCAACTGAAACATGCCACAGGAACTCGAAGTCTCTTACGCTTGACTCGCTGTGAAATGACACCATTTTGGGGTGATATGGAGGGCTGTCCAAGGATTTCGGAGTAGGGGTTCTCCTGAGTCAAACTTCTCGCCGACATTGTTGCGAACCAGAGCGTGCTCGCACCCTTACTGTCGTCGCCTTGAACGTCTTGACAAGTTGGAGAGGTCTTACGGGTACAAATTCAAAATGTTCAGTCCCTAGAAAACAACTTCCCCGCACACACTCTCGCACATCCCATTCCTGCACTAGTGGGCCACGCTTATCGGATGTAATTGTTGGAGGTAATTCTGGGGCGTGGGGATCTCTAGCCAAAATCGTGTGAGAATATCTGGCTCCCATAATCCCTCTCTTGGCGCACCGGAATAGAAGCCTCACAGTATATACAGTATATAGAATAAATAGAATAATTCAATTATTACTCTATTTCTACAGGCCTACATGTAGTATTTGTAGAGGTCGGGGCCTACCCCGAAACTCCTACTGAGCTGGGCTTTCCTCGGTTCACCTGTGATTAAATACGGTGGTTGCCAATAGTGCAGGCCACCGACCAACCCGAGGCAACCGTGGAGCTGGACAATCCCGTAGAGCAACCTGTCAGTTTTGGTGTGAAACACCACTGTATTCCTCACGGAAAGTCCGGCTTCTAGTAATGACGCCGATCCGCTGATCACACTTCGAAATCCTCCTTCTCATATATATTTCTTCTCACACTCTCTGAATTCACAAGAAACGTAAACTACATAATTTCACCAGGTCAAATATTTCCGTTGGTCTTCATAAGCGTCTATATCTAGAATACCTAGCAATAAGTTCACTTCCCAATGCGTAGCAGCATAAATCTTTGAAGCAACAAAGCAAATCTCTAACCTAAAAGTAGTTTCGGAGCTTCTATCCTAATTCGCAGGCTCCATCTTCACCAGCCTCTTACTCCAATGCTCATTGTACATCCCATACGTAACTTTTCCATCCCGCAACCCGCCAACCTGCGCCTCACTGGGCGTCATTGGCTTCAAGTTATGCGGCGCTTCCATCAGTTTCGGTAACACCTTCAAAGCATTATTTCGCCCAATATCCACCAAGTCGTGCTGGTTAATCGTTGCCTGCACGTGCTCATCAAACCATGCGCAGCCATTTGGGATGCTCTCGAATGGATAGTCTATAGAAAACATGACGCTTCGGACACCAATCTCTGCCATGGCACAGAGCAGAGCCGGAGTGGAGAAGTGGCCCGATGTGGTGATGAATACTTGAGAGCCGAAGTAATCACGTACTAATTTGTCCCGCGCCATAGGCAAGTCTGGGAAGCGCTCACGGTCGAGCTTGTGGTCGATGCGGTACAAGTCGTACGGACTTTTCTAATATCAGCAACTGCTGTACGTATCACGGAAATTAAACCAGGCCTCGCGACCTGATCGCGGACTCACATATGTTCCCCCATGTGCCCCAACAAAATTTTCACGTCTGGAAAGCGATCCAAGACACCATTGGTAATAATACCCAAAGCATGCATATTCAACCTATCCGCATATCCCAGTGCCGAAAAGTTCAACCATGGCCTATCCTTCCACATCTGCTCGTGGATCAGAGGGGTCGGTAACCTTGGGTGCAGATACACAGGGGCTTTCAAATCATTAGCCGCCTTCCAGAATACATCATATTCCTTCATGTCATAAAACAACATCGTATTCCCATCTGGCCCTGCTGACTGGAAATCATTCAGCAGAGCCCCCACAAACCCCTTCTTCTGTGTCATACATCTCGTCAACTCCTCCGCCGCCTGTTTTGGATCGTGCATGCTCAGGGCCGCAAAAGCCGCAAATCGCACCGGGTTTTTCATAACTTCGGCCTCTAGACGATCATTCGCGAGTGTAGCTTGCGCTTCCGCCGTCGCCTTGTCGGCAAGGCCCTGGCAACCAGCAGAGCTGAACGACAGGACCATGAAGTCCACACCGTTCTCGTCCATTTGTCGCAGACGGTGTGAATGGATGTCCATGAGCTCGTTCGTCAGGCGGTCACCGGTACCAGCGGGGACGAATCTGGAGGGATTGTTGTTTTCGAGCTCTTCAGGGATGGTCCAGCATTCTTCGAGGGCAATTTTGCCGAGCATTGTGGCGGTGTTGGTGGTGGCTTTGAAGCCGACGAGGGATTGATCTTTAAAAAATAGAGACACAAGCTGCACAACTTGAAATGAATATATGCAACAAGGCAGTCTGCTTTGATTGTTGGTTTTGGACCTTGGCCTCTGTTCAAATAATCGTTTGGGATCCCCGCTGTCAGGCTGCAATATCCACCTCCGGAAGCTGGGGAGTTAACGCAAGTTGACGCGGGCATACGGGGTAAAGTATGTGGGGTAATTGACGTCGCGTGCATATGGGGAAGGGTAGCAAATCTACCATCTTTCCAGGGAACGGCCTACTATTGCTCCAAAACAACGGAGCTGATTATTATCGGCAATTGTACGACGTCGATTGCCGTCCTATCCCAACATTTGCGGGATGGGACATCAAGTCGCGTAAATGTAAGGTTTCCTGTCGCAAGGTAGACGGACTTCCGGGTGTTTGTATAGAGCAAGATAACTTCATCTACACCAAGGTATGCCGAGCAGTTACGATACGAAGCGAAACGGTAAGTTTTAGATCTAAGAAGGCCCGAAGTTTCGATTCTCGGTATCTATTTATTGTATATAGTTTCATACTCTGCAAACATCTCTTTCTCTATTCTCTATTAACCCCTCATCTCTGTTGCGATTTTTTCATACATAACATCAATGTCTTCAAGCCAGACCCAATTCATTCGGTCTTTGAGTCTATTCCGCAGCTCAGGCATACACTCATCAAACGTCTTGCCCCTTAGGCCCTCTCCTTGCAGCTCATATACTTCGCCTGCCTCCCGGGAGGTTCGCTGCGCCCTCTGAGCTTGAGGAAGACGCAGTGTCTGATATGCTTGCATCCATTTACCAAGGTCACCTGATTGGGACTTTAAGTAGTCCTGAAGAGCTTTTCCGAGAATGTATCCATCCTCAATCGCCTGGCCAGCTCCAGCTCCTGATATCAAAGTTAGCTGAATATATAGGGGTATGGAGACAGGCGGCTTAATTCTCACCCTGATGAGGCGACATAGCATGAGCCGAATCACCCAGAAGCGCAACCTTCCCATTTAAGTAAATCCACTGCTCCAACGGCTCCCTTTCGTTCACAACCCATTTACTTGGCCTCTTAGACATCAGATCCAATATCCTTCTCGCATGCGGCTCAAACTCTTGAAAACTACTCACGACCTCCTCCTTATTCCCTACTGCGACCCAACTCTCTTGAAAGTCGCCCAACTTGCCCTCTTCGACACTCACAAACGCAACTACATTTAGCAGCTTGTTGTCGCTGATCGGGAAGACGAGTAGATGCTTGTCTTTTCCTACCCAGCTTACGGCATATGTAGATAGGTGCCACCAAGGCTGGAGATCTTCGATGCTCACAAGGCCGCGGTAGACAATCTTGCCGCTGTAGCGCGGGTTGTCGAAGGCGAATTGGCTGCGTACCGAGGAGTGGATGCCGTCTGCGCCGATGACGAGGTGCGCGGTTGCGCTGGTGGAATCAGCAAACTCGAGGCGGACTTTGTCGCCAATGTCCTATAAGTAGCTTTTAGTTCTGTGTATATCCTAGAGCGAGAATTGGGACTTGTGCTTACCACAAGCCGGGTGCACTTCTTTTTCGTATGTAGCGTCGCAGCATTTCTCCCCCTTATCGAGTCTAATAGCAGATCTAAAAACTCTGACCTCAGCATCGGAAGCTGCTTGACCGCATCTCGATCATTGACTGGCACAGTGACAATCTCAGCTCCATTATCAGATCGCCTAAATGCCAGCCAGACGCCATTTCTATCGCCTGCAATTTTGTTCGCGGCTTCTCCAAGACCAAGCTTGTGGATGAGCTGTGCTGCGTTTATGCCTATCCCGACCCCGGCCCCGATCTCTTTGTATTCAGAAGTTTGCTCGTAGACATTTATGGAGATTCCCAGTGCGGCGCAGTGGTGGTGGACCGAGAGAGCAGCAAAGAGGCCGCCAATGCCGCCACCGATGATGGCGACAGTGAATGGCTCTCGCTGTTCAGCCATCTTCAAGGAGAGATATTTACTGGAATTCAAAGTTCGGCCAGCAAGGAAAATATCAGACTTTAGTTTTGTCTCTCTTCTAGTTTCCAAGAGTCTTTGGCCATACCCCCGCCGCTACGGCATCCGGAGTCCGCTGTAGCGTTCGGAGTTCGCTGTGGCGTCCGGGGCCCGCTGTGGCATCCGGGGCCCGCTGTGGGGGTTGCAAGTTCCGCCTCGTCAAGCCGCAAAGATCTTGTGCAAAGCCTAAATCTACCGAATTGTGGGGAGCGGGGAGCGGGGAGCGGGGAGAACCTCAAATTCTTAACTCCCCGGAATCTCATGAACCCTGAAGGTACTCATCGAGTCTGGATCTAGGGTAGACTAATATATATGGCCTACAGAAGGGATGTACTCTTCTCTTCGCGTCTCATTGCTTTTGAGACTCTACGTTCGAATGCGAGCATAATTATCGAACAATAACAAATGTCTGCATCGCCAGTAATGGATCTAACAGAGGGGAACCCTCGGACAGTTCACAATGAAAGCTCTGATACTACTGTGGGTCTTGAAGACTCCACTGACATTGAGAAGGTCAGCAAAGAGGAGGAGCTTCAAGGCAAAGAGAACCCTACCCTAAGACTTGATAAACATGGCTTGCAGTTAGTTCCGCAGCCTACAGCCTTCAAAGATGATCCCCTTGTAAGACGGTGCACGCCAGTTTCTGATTGCGAATTTCTATTACTAATTGGTCTTAGAACTGGTCACCTGCGCTCAAACTCCTGGTGGCTCTCCAAGTCAGCTGGCTAGCCTTACTCGGGCCTATGGGTTCTGCAGTCGTCAACCCAGCTTTCGTTCCCCTCGCGAAGAGCTTCAAGATACCAATTGTCCAGGCCTCGTACGAACTCACAGTGTTCATTGTTTTTGCTGGTGTTGGACCTCTCCTTATCACGCCCTTTTCAAACGTTTATGGCCGCCGACCCATCTATCTGTTGGGAAACCTCGTTGCCGGCGTGACCAATGTCATTGCCGGTAACTGCACGACCTGGAATGGACTATTGGTGACGAGGGTCTTCAATGGTATTGGTACAGGCTCCTCCGTGGCTATTGGTGCGGCTACAATTTGCGATTTGTATTTCGTCCACGAGCGCGGCTTCTATATGGGCATTTTCACCTTCTTCCTCACCAACGGACCCCACTTCGCGCCTCTCATCGGCGGATTTATTGCACAGAACTTGAGCTGGAGATGGTGCTTCACTATTCCTGTTAGCAAAAACCTCCCATCAGATCCCATATTTAAAAAGCTCCCAAGACTGAGAATTACTAGGATTACATCCAGCTCGCTACATTCGTGATCACCCTCTTTTGCCTCCCTGAAACGATCTACTCCCGCAAAACCGTCAACATCGCCACCCACCGCGAACACTCATACCTCGACCTCCTCCTCTTCAAACGCAGCGTGCTCCCGGGCCGGAAGTTGCATCTCGCGGACTTCGGACGCTCGCTCTACATGCTAAAATACGTCTCGATCGTGATTCCTGGCCTCTACTACATGACTTGCTTTGGATACGGGAGCGTCCTCTTCGCGGTTACTGGGTCTCACCTGTTTTCGGAGTTTTACAACTTCGACGTCGCACAAACAGGGCTGATGCTCTCCATTCCGTTGCTGATAGGCTGCCTGATTGGGGAGGCGAATGCCGGGTGGTTGGTTGATTGGATGGCGAATAGGTATGCAAAGAAGAATGATGGGCATCGGAAGCCCGAGGTGAGGTTGGATGCAATTTGGTTTGCACTTCTGATTCCTATTGGGATTGTGGTTGAGGGAGTGTGTCTGTCTCAGTTCAAGAATTCATCTTGGGTTGGCTCGGCGTTTGGGATGGGTTTGGCTTGTTTGGGACTTCAGGTTGCCACAACGGTTATTTACACATATTGCACGGATGTGAGTATTCGCATCACTCTGTCTTTTAGTGGCTAACAAAATAGTGCTACAAATCTCAAAGTCCTGAAATCTCGAGCCTTCTTAATGTCTTTCGATCGGTGTTCTCTATGGTTATATCCTTTTACGCGTACGTATTTTAACCAATATATGCCTTTTTACCATGCTTACTTTTAAAATAGCATTCCACTTGGTAGTGCAATTAAGTATCAGTACGCTTGGCTCGTCTTTGCGCTGATCAATGCATTGCTACTTATTCCAATGTTTGCGTTGAAATTCTATGGTGAAAAGTGGAGAAGTAGTTCATGGCAGACTCCCCCGAAGTTCCACAACGACATTTGAATACAATTATATAGTGTCACATAAGGTAAATTGTATTCAAAATTCATGATTTTCACTCCGCTGATAATCAAGCTGAAAAATAATCGCTCTCTGCTCAGCGAGATGCTTCATTCCATCGCCATTAGTGACTCGGTATTATATAGAAGTGCACAGTGAAAGATCAACCCGGAGGGTTTGAAGAGGAATTTGGACGGGACAGAGATCATCTAGAGCTAGACGGATAATCATGGGTAGACTTGTGATGGTATTCGGATTGTGCCGAGATACACTGATTGTTCGCAAATACTCTGACAACTCGGAGGAGCTGTGGTGCATTCGACATCCCATGAAGCATTAGGCTACTCTAATAGCAGGTCAATCGATTTTAGACTTTGTTCGTTAAGTGCATATTTGTCTAGATATATACTCGGTCGTTTCCAAGGCATCTAAGGAAAAGTAGAGGAGAAAATAAGGTGGACAATACCTAGTCATGCATGCCTAATTAGATGCTAATCTGTTCAGGTCGAAGAAAGCGGGAGGATGTTCAACTTGCATAGCACAAAAGAGCTGGTACTAGTAGCGAGTCCTAAAGCAGAAAGAAGTTAGAGCAAAAGCTAAAGTTTAAAGAGCGTAGGCAGTTAAGGATTATGAGAAAAAAAGTAGCACAAACAAGATAAACCTGTAGGAAGAAGTAGTAGAGCAACAGGGTAGTAGGTGAAATGGAAACTTTACTATAATTTCAGGTAGCTACTTTCTAAACAGAACAATACACACATCAATTAATAATATATTATCATCTGGTGCTGATAGGTTAAGTTTGCATATCTTAAACGTAAGTCTTGGGCGAAATAAGATGTAAGGGCATAGGGGTTCCTGTCTGTTCAGGACAACAAACAGTCTCATTTCCTAGCTGCAAACCAACAGCCATTATTTTGCGAGTGGCCTTTAAATTGTACAGCACTTCATTGACTACTTTAAAAACAAAGCACTAACAACCTTGAGAAAGTTGGCTGCTACTATGCAGTACTTCTTATAATCCATAGAGACGGGAATAATATTTTTCTAGTGTTGAAACTTCTCAAAGAGACTGCGAATTCAATTTGATTGTACTTAATAGAAGTATAAAACATGGCCCCAACATGCCAAGATATCAGCCCCTTTCTCCCACCTCAAGCAGCCTTCTCCCTTACAGCACTATCTCCACTCGCCTCATGGAGCTTCTCGTCGCTAATATTCTCCGCCGGACTCCCGCTCTCCCTCAAAATACGGTCCAAGCCAATCTCACGATTAATCTCCTCGATACGCTCATTATCCGCCTGGGCCGTGCCTGGTGAGCCGAAGATGACGTCCATTTCCTCGAGGGTCAGTCGCTTCGTCTCCGGGACGTAAAACCAGATGAACGCAGCGCCGATGTATGTCAGAAGGCCGAAGAGGATGTACGTCCCGTATGAGATGCTGGAGAGCATGCTGGGAGTCACCTGTCCGACGATGAAGTTATTCATCCAATTGCTCGACGCTCCAAGCGCAATACCATATGGGCGATTAGAGAGCGGCCAGATCTCAGCGACGATGATCCAGGCACAGGGGCCCCATGAGTACCCGAAATGAATTACGAACAACCTAGTATGTTGTTAGCTTGCTTTGCCTAAATGCGTTTAGAGAAGTAGGGGGATGCATACCAGACCATGGCAACAGCAGCCCAGCCGGCGGCCTTGTGCGTCTCCCAGGAATCGCGGTAAGTGGCGACGATAGCGGCGATGATGATGTGGCAGGTTGCCATGCCGATGGCACCGATAGTAAGGACGGGCTTACGGCCGACGCGGTCTATGTAGAGGACTGAAGGGATGGTGGCGATGAACATGACGATGCCGACAACGCCGGTTGCGAGGAGCGAAACAGTGACACTGGTGAGTCCAAGGTCTTTGAAAATGGTGGGCGCGTAGTAGAGGATTGCATTGATACCAGTCCACTGTTGGAAGAACCTATTGAGAAACATTAGTGTTTGCTCTGAAAGTGGTGACGCGGGTACGGCTGGGTATATCGACGATTGGTTCTGACTGTGGAGGCAAAACTTTACAAATACAGAAACCCAACCAATTCACACGCCAGAAACACGCCAAGAGGGAGCATAACTTACATGGTAACTGTCGCAACGATGACACGCTTGAACATGGCCTTGGTCTTGAAGAGAGACCCGATTGCCACAAATTGCAGCTTGAAAGTGTTCATAGGTGTCAGCTCCCGCAGGTGAGGGAAATGCTCTGCGGTAGTGCGCTTCTCGAACAAACTCTGCGCCTTGATTTCTAAGAACTCAATCTCAACCAGCTCATGATCTTCCTCGAGGCCACGGAGACTGGCGAGGACGGTCCTAGCCTCGTCCTCGCGGTTGTGGTGGATCAACCAACGCGGAGAGAACGGCATGAAAGCCATTCCGACCAAGAGTACGATCGCTGGGAAAAGCTGCAAACAGATAGGTGTGAGCCATGCGCCCTTCGACTGGGATTCGCCAGTTCCGCCCATAAAATTTGTGCCGTAGTCGATCCAGAACGATATCATGATGCCAAAGCAGATGGCGAGCTGTTGCAGTGCGATGAGCGAGCCGCGCACTTCGGGAGGCGCAACCTCGGCGTTGTACATGGGAACAATCATGGATAGGGATCCAACACCCATTCCACTAAGAAGCTTGTTAGATTTCGATGAATAACTCTGGCTGCATAAATAACGATAGGACGCTACTTACGTGATGAATCGGCCAGCCAGAATCGAGTTGTGGCCGGCAGTAACGGCTGTGGCTTGAATGATTACGCCGAGAATGAAAACAGTGGTTGCAACGATAATACTATATTTTCTTGAGAGCGATTCCGCGATAAAACCTGGGATTGATTAGCTAATGGTTGTAATCCGACCTCGCGATATGGACTGACCACTTAGCAGAGTGCCGAGCCAGGCTCCAAGTTCGAGAATTGAAGTCAACCATCCCTTCTTTGATGCATCTTTCTCGAGGTCGTTATCGTACTCGCCCATGTCTGTACCTCGTCAGCTTGCTTTGTCGATTCGCCGTGGCCGACATTGACTTACGCTGTTTGAAATTCGACATGGCCAGCACTCCAGAGAAAACGCCCTGGTTGTAACCGTACAAGAGTCCTCCAATACAAGCGAACAGAGCTATGGTAAACACCTTGAAGTTCTTGACAATTGCGAGAGGTCCACTGCTGCCCATGAGGGCTTCACGCCGCTTGAGTGCGACATCGTAAACCGCGGCACCACCGCCTGAAACCATCTTGACAACAAGTTACAGAAGACCTATGATTGAGATATTCCGAAGTTCGATTAAAACTAGAAACCAGAAAGCTCTTAAAGGGCAGATTCTAGATGCAGAAGTTCTAGAGGCGGGATTGAGAAGGAATGAAAGGAGCAGGTGCGGGAGGATGCAAATGATAAAATACGAAAAGCGTCGCAAGCGATATCCACCAAATAACCCGACGGCTAATGCAGATGAACCTGGTGGGAGTAGACAATCATTGCTGCCGGAGCAAGTAATATCATTTCATATCAGGAGAAGCTTCATTACCCCAGAGCATAGCTAATAATCCACATGTGGCCCGAAAATGTTGGTTTTGGCAGAAGAGCTCCAAGAGCTAGCTAGGGTATATGCGGGGAACCTGTTGTGGGTGGCTTCAATGGCGGGGTGCTAAAAGCAAGCCTACCGCAGCTTGGCCATGATCACCCGTTTAGTAAACCCGTTTCGCTCGGCTCAGCTAATAGCCTAAACAGTACCGGTGGACCGACAGCATTCAGCCTGAATTGAACCACTGCCAAACAAGAACTTGTGCTCTGAAATGTATGTGGCGTTGGCGCCATGTCACTCTGCAATTGCCGTGTAGGTCATCCAGAGTGGGGTTTATAGGTAAAGCGTATGAATTGTCAGTCATACTCGATGCAAGCCATGGGGTCAAATATCCGCCGAGATCTGGACCCGGAACCGGGCCGATTCAAAGCAGAAAGCATTGCCTACACGTGATATAGAATCCAAAATTGTGAGATATGGTTGGGTACGTGATACTCTGGTGGATGCGACTCCTCCATAGGCAGACAGAGGGGCGGTTGAGTGATTGGTAATTTGATATAGCCATAGCAGCTTTCGATAGCTTGAGGCGATGGCTAATCTCTCTCCCCCGCGAGGCATTTCTCCTCCAGCTTACTCCTCGGTTGAAGAACACACCGAGATTTACGGACGGAAAACGATTATTCGTATTTGGGGTCTAATACGGAAGTAGACGGGGGGTCACTTGTGCCGTCGTCGACAATTCATAGCGCTAAACCGGGCAGTGAATTGTTCCGAGAGCCTCACTGTAACCAACCAGGGCATTGTGACACAAGAGTCATCTGTACTTCCCTACGAAGGCCAGGCTACACTGAGAATCCTGGTCCCCCATGATATGCTGTGTCGAGAATGTAGGCGAAAGGGACATGATTTTTTTACCAACCTCTGGCTGCTGCTAGGCTCGGATCTAGCGCGCGGTGTGTAATATTCACACTGGATGGTTGGAGCGCGACATCCATAACAAGCAGTTGAGCCAAAATGTACGTTCTTGGTGATAGTCATGGATGGCTGAGGTGTGGCATGAAGGGTTGAAAGCCACCATAGGAACCGACCCTTCACAACAAACAGAAAGAACGGCCATGTCAAAGGTACGAGCGCAACCGCGCCGACTTTTCAACCCAGACAATTCATGATACCCTTTAAAAATCCCGAGCAAATGGTATTTTTGTAGCATATGAGCGAAAACTATAGCCAATCCAGTTTTAGTGCAGCCAACCACGTTCAAGCCTCAGCAGGCGAGATTTTTGCGGCCCAGCTTCCCGAGGCTGTGACTCTCAACTTCTACGTACTATTCTCAAACCCCATTATATTTTCTAACAGGTATATACGTGCTAGAATTGTGCACACTAGGCGTCAATCCCAGCTACGTTCCGTTGAAGATGTATTGAAATCATATTCTACTTCGGCAGACACCTTTCCTGCCATACCGCACCCCCCACTTTCCACCACCCGTGGCGTCGGTAGGTCAATTAATAGTGGAGGGGGCTAGCTGACAGCTTATTCCAACGGCAAGGATGGAAGCCCGGCTCTCATACCATAACTAAACCGACGCAATGATTGACCGATAAATATCTCGCGCAAAAGCACAGAATATTTAAACGGCGGCATGTCTGGTTATGGAGATGAGATGGAGTAACAGTACGATGATCTGGATTGCTAATGCTAGATGTCTGCCTCCATTGCTGATGTTAGAATACCCTCACAAGCTGATATTACTTATTCCTGTGCTGAGTAAAGGAGGGATTTGCGTAACATAGTCAAAAAAAAAAGGTGAGGCGATGAACGCAGGTTTAAATTTGTAAATACTTGGTTCATCGAGATGACGAGGACAGTTAGTGACGCATGCTCTTATGACCAATAAAATCTCGGGGCATATTCTACATGCGAGTGTCTGAAGCTCTGATGCTCATGAGCCGAGTTCCAAAAACTGGAGTCACTTGGAATGCTCCGGAGGGATCAAGAGATAGCCCAGAGCCATTAGCGCTTTTGAGGACATTGATGGGGAGCGAATTATTTTTCTCAAGAGTGACTCGGTGAATTCAGTTCAATCAATATTTAATTATATATCCAGGATCCTTTGAATCCTGTAGAATTATATTACTCATAGCCTCATATTCTCTGACACTCTGGTTCAGCCCTCATTCTTCTACGCAAATCACCTAACATCGTAGCGATCCAAATCCATGACCTTGACCCAAGCTCGCGCAAAGTCATTGACAAACTTATCCTGCGCGTCGCCAGAACCATACACCTCCGCCACCGCACGGAGCTCAGCATGTGAACCAAAGATGAGATCAGCACGCGTGGCCTTGTACTTCGGGCTTCCAGTGGAGAGGTCTTTCCCTTCGAATTTCTCCCCGTTGGTATCAGCAACAGGCGACCAAACGGTGGACGCGTCCAATAGGTTGGTGAAAAAGTCGTTGGTGAGCTGGCCAGGGCGATCTGTGAGAATGCCGAAGGCTGACCCGTCGTAGTTTGCATCAAGTGCACGCATGCCGCCAACAAGGACTGTCATCTCAGGGATGCTGAGCGTAAGAAGTGCAGCTCTAGAGACCATCATCTCTTCAGTGAGCGAGCGAGAATTTCCATGGCCGTAATTACGGAAGGCATCTGAGCGAGGTTCGACTGCGATAATGATTATTAGCCACGCCCTCGTATTTCCAAGGGGTAGTCGAATGTAATATGAGCCAGAGACTTACGGTAAGCAAAGGTTTCGACATCGGTCAGATCTTGAGTAGTGTCGACACGGCCGGGTGTGAAAGGCACCTTGATAGCTGTGCCGGCATCTGCGGCAGCTTTTTCCACGGCAGCAGTACCCCCCAAAACGATGAGGTCGGCCAGGGAGACCTGCTTTTTGTTGTTGGCAGAGTTGAACTTGTCTTTAACTGCTTGTAGCTACAAGTATTTATGTATTAGCTACAGGTCTGTCTATTCGAGGTAGAAGTGCATCCGCTACTTACAGATTTTAGGACAACCGCCAGGCGTTCGGGGTTATTAACTGCGAAGGATCGCTGAGGTTGCAGGGCAATGCGGGCTCCATTGGCACCACCACGCTTGTCTGAGATACGGAAGGTTGAAGCAGAGCCCCAAGCAGTGGTTATCAGGTTGGAGATATTTACGTTCGGTGCACTGAGAATATCTTTTTTCAGTCGTTTCACGTCCGCATCGTCAATTGTCTTGTAGCTCGCGGCAGGGAGAGGGTCCTGCCAGAGAAGATGCTCATCCTTAGGGACCTCTGACCCAAGGTAACGCGTAACAGGGCCCATGTCACGGTGAAGAAGCTTGTCTATGGAAAAGATCAGTAAAGATCGAGGATTGTCAAAATTGGGGCCGGAGAGATAGCATACACCAAGCCAAAGCGAACTTTTCCGTAAAATAATCGAAGTCGTTGAGGAATGTTTTGGAGACATTGTTGTATATAGGATCATGGATAAGGGCGAGATCGCTGGTGAGCATTGTAGGCTTGTGAAGCTTTCCAGCGATAAATGCGTCGGGGTAAGAAGCATTGGCATTTACAGCTTCCCACTGAGGCGCACCATCAGGGCTCTTAACAAGGGTCCAGTTGTTGTGAATCAAAGAACCCAGGAACTCTATAGGATTAGATGTCAGTACAGCTCTCCATCCAGCAAACAAGAAACATCGGACTTACCATTAGCCCACTTGGTAGGGGTTTTGGACCAAATAACCTCAAGTCCACTGGTATAACTATTGTTACCTACACCAGTGTTAAAGCTATTCTTCCACCCCAGACCCTGGTTCTCAATCCCGGCAGCGTTGGGCTCAGGGCCGATGAAATCTCCCGAAACAGCACCGTGGGTCTTTCCAAAGGCGTGACCTCCAGCAATGAGAGCAACAGTTTCTTCGTCATCCATACCCATGCGACCGAACGTCACGCGGATATCTAGAGCGGATGCTTTGGGGTCGGGTGTGCCATTGGGGCCTCTCGGGTCAACGTAAATGAGTCCCATGTTCGCCGCACTGAGTGGTTCCTCGAGATTCTTTGCTCGCCCATGGATATCGGTGCTTCCATTATAGCGGTCTTTGTTGCTATTGGGGCTAGGGAAAAACTCTTGCTCGGAACCCCAGAAGATTCCCTCATCCGATTGCCATGTATCTTCCCGACCGAAGGCAAAGCCATACGTAGGGAAGCCCATGTTTTCCATTGCTGTGTTACCGGCGAACACCATTAGATCAGCCCATGAGAGCTTGCGGCCATACTTCTGTTTGATAGGCCCTAAACATGGGTGGTTAGCCCTTTCTCATCTGATTTACCCCCATAGGTGGGAGTTCAGCATCGCTGTGGGCTTACATAGCAAGCGGCGAGCTTTGTCAAGACCGGCGTTATCAGGCCAGCTATTGAGGGGGGCAAATCTTTGCTGTCCCATACCAGCTCCTCCACGGCCATCTTCACTTCGATAAGTGCCAGCATTGTGCCATGACAGACGGACGAGGAAAGGACCATAGTTGCCAAAGTCAGCTGGCCACCAACTCTGAGAGCTTGTCTGTAACTCTGTGAGGTCCTTTTTGAGTTCGGACACTACAAAGCGCTGTTAACATACGCGCCTCCCAACGTGTATAGAATGCAATGGACCTAGCAGTGTTGATTACATACCATCCAACTTTGCAAACTCAGTAGCATAGTTAAATTTAGCATCCCAGGGGTTTGAGCTCTCTCCATTCTGGCGCAGCACCGCCAGGCTAAGGTCGCACGGCCACCAGTCTTCACTTCGAGTACCACCGCCAGCAACTTTGCTTTTCTTTGGGCATCGTCCAAAGCCAGGGCCCTCAGGGCTGTATCTAGGCTCCACAGTTGACTCGGGATGCGGGATACGCGGGGCATTGTCGCGGGCACCATTACCGCCGATGTATGGACATGACACCGCAGATGTGAGTGGCAGTGCGCTGATTGCCAGCAGCACAATTTGGCCCAAAGGCATCAACTGAAGCATTATGACAACCGAGTAAAACAATCAGTTTGTGGTATATTGCCGTTGCAAGTGGCGAAGGTTGAGTTTCTTGGCTTTTGTGGCTTCCCTTTCCATTTATACCATCCAGGTAGCAACAGCAGCGTCTTGGCTAGCCCATAATTAGCTGACGTTGGTTGCACGGAGGTAGGGTCATGAAAGAGATGTTTGTAAGGTGGATTTGGACATGGGACCCTAACAGTTGTGTACAGTGATTGATCTAGAAGTAAGAGCTCTGTCAGAATCCCCGTTCAGAATCAAATCCCACGCGCATGACTTGACTTGGCAGGCTCCACCTACATTATTCAGAGCTTATACGAGCAAGTTTATTGGAGAATGGTTGTGGCGAACAGAAAAAGAAGAGTGGGCAAGTTGTCGAATCGCCCACTATACCGAGCGTTCGTTGAATATAACCCCTGGCCATTCTAGTATACCCAAGGTAAATATATGCAGGTCGCGCTGTACCTTTTCAGTCGATTTTACTGCACGTACTCGTAAAACACAGTAAGACCTTCCTCGGAGACATTGTCATCTGAAAGCTACATCGGCGCTACGTACTATCTTACCTTCACCGCGCCTTCCCAATATAGGTCGGGGCCGTTTCTCGGATAGGGATCAAATCCCGCGCGAAACCTCCTTGGGTCCGCCTTGCATCGCCGTTGGCTGAATCCCAGTACTGTATTGCCTACTGCGTAGAAAGGATCTACTCTGATTCCATAATTGAGGTTTCATATCCACGATTCCGTAATCATTATAACCACAAGTAGTATAGCGTAGATGCACAACGTTTTTCGTGTGATCTTCGGCAGATGAGGTGTAAGCTAGTACCTTGGCTAACCTTAACAGGCTACCGTATAAAATTAATTGACCAGTCACCATCCACCGGTCGCGCAGCTGGTCGTGGTGATGCAGTCACCCTCCTTTCAACTGCAGCTTGCTGTTGCACTGAAGTTCATTAATAGATCGCAATAGATGCTGGCCATGGGTTTGGGCTTGGCGGGTGCACAAGAAGTGCCATCGAGATTGATCTATTGCAACGGATCATACGATAAAGCATCGGTAGTACCCATTTCCAAGACTGACGCGTGCATAATGAAAATTACTACCGAATGAAATACGTTGACTTACCGCCCAGTGGATTTACGCACGAGCCTCGGTACCTTGTGTATAACACCTACGCCCAATTATTGCCTGCATTCCGCGGGGATATCATCTATCAGCTCCTTGAGAGCTCCACAAACTAACTTTATATATGCACCACAGACATTTTGAGCACCTTCCAAGAGCCTCTTGTGAGACATTGCCTCCGGATAATTATTCTGGAGGTAATTCTCCGCCAAACCCCCCTGGTTCTCCTTCCATTACCAACGAACCGTCCAAACTGGTGGAGCTGAGGTAGTATGTATATGGTCTCACAACAGCCCGTCCACCCTTGGCGGTCGCAGGAAAGGCCGCGATCTGTCAGATCCATAGTGCAGCAGTCATTAGACACGGCAGTCCACGCTCAATCCCGGCCCACAGCAATTATTGGCGGTTACAGTAGCAGGTTTAAGCGGCGGGACAGGTAATTTATTGCGTGTATATACGTGTGGATATATAGCTATCTTAATTTAAGATTTTAGTAAGTCGTCTATCTATCTATATATAATAATATACTGCAGCGCATATATGCAGGGCTGACCCATACACGAATTTCTCCCACATAAACATTGATATCTGTGAATGAGCTCGCCCTAACAAAAGTCTTATGTTTGATCAGTCTTATAATGAGGGTCTTCGGGCAAGTCCACACCCCAAAATTTTAGCATGCGCTCGGGGAACAGCTCATAACAGGACCCCACTCGTAAAACCTTCATCTGGCCAAAATCCATGATGAGAGAGGCCCTTATATATATATGGTAGCGTTGAAGACCATAGTCAACAATCAAATTCACGGCGTCTTTGACTCTATCCTCGATATCCCCAACGTGAAACTTCTGTCCGCCACCTGACAAGTTTGCGCTAGACCCTACCATAAGCTGGCCTGAATCATAATTAAGCCTGCAGATCTCTTTCAAGAGTAAACTGCTACTAATGAATATAGCGATAGTACCGTCTTTGGTGATCTTAGACAGGGTCTCTAGGGATAAAGCTTGGGGGAGATGATGGTTGTTATCGCATGGCGCAACAACAATTCGACTCGTGTCCAGTTCTTTAACTAGCACGCGTGTCATTTTGAACCTCTTCTCGTCAAGGAGATGGAGTGCCCGATGCAATTCGTATGTCGCATATAAAACCCGGGCCTGGCCTGATTAACGCGGCTTCGCAGCAGCGAAGGCCCTCTCTATCGCCTCCGTGGATGTACCCATCAATCCATAGCCCACTTCGGTAGGCACAATAACCACCCCCCTGACTTGAGACCTGATACATGCGAAGGACATCGGCTCGGGCATTGGGAAGATTTCCCGGGCTGGGGATTGTTTTTGATTGAAAGTTCATGGTTTGAGTTGGGATAAACTAACGAATAGCTTTGTGTGCTTAAGAGTAAAACGAGCTTTGGTGGACTCAAAAGGTTGTGCGAAGCTTGCCTTCTGTTTTCGGTGGGCTCTCTGATTTATTGACAAACGTAGACCAAAATTTCCCTGGTTTCAATGATATGCATGGGAACGCGTAGACGCGTTCAAGAATGGGGCTCTAGTTTAGGAATATCACTCTATCATCTCTTCGCTGGTCTTTTGTTGGCTTGGCGAGTATATTTACTACAATAGGAATCGTGGGATGCAGATAAGACGGCTATATGGGCATAAATAAGTTAATATTTTAGAATTCATAGCCTCAGTACTTATAAATTATATCAGGCGTACATATCTTAGACACCTCTTAATAACTTCCTTATTCGGATTTTATTTATTTGTGATATTATATTAAATCTATACATGTTCCATAGTGTGCTTAAAAATCAAACGGGTATTATATTAATGTTAAGTTAAGTATATTTTACAAAAATATGACCTAGAAGTTAAATTCTATATAATAGGGTTTATATATCTGATACCTTCTTAAATTATCTTATAATACAGTAGGTATTGGGTGGTGGGCCTATTGCGCGGCTGGGCGGGAAAATATACGTAGGTGGCGTTCGGTGGCAGCGTCCCGTCGTTTCCAAACGGCCACATCCGCAACACTTCCGCCCCACGAAGGCCACCAATATTCATGATCGTGCCCGTATATCGTATAATGGAGTTCTGGCAAGGCAAGCACAGTCCACACCTTAATTCTACCACACTAAATATCCCCGATTACAAATCGCGGGGTTGTTTGGGGAATGTACAGGCGAATTATACTATTGTATCTCCAATAAACATCAACTTCTGAAAGGCCACAATATAATTTTATCGCCATTAAGTGTTTCCTTATTGCAGTGATTGTTGTGCAAAGCTACCCCACGAAAGAAGAAGCACGTCGACAGCATGGCCGACCTTAAAATTGCTACAGTACAGTTCGAAAACGCCTCCGGCGACAAAGGGAAGAACCTTGCCACCATCCGCCGCTTGTCAGAAGAGGCAGCCGCTCGAGGCTGCGATGTGGTTGCTTTCCACGAATGCTCTATAACCGGATATACCTTTGCTAGCAAGCTTTCGCGCAGTGAGCTACTTTCTGTGGCTGAGTCAATCCCAGAAGGCCCCAGCATCAAAGCCCTTGTTGAGATTGCCTCAAACTACAAAATCATAGTGCTGGCTGGCCTATTTGAGCGAGACTCCAATGACAACATATACAACACATATGTCTGCGTTGATGGAAACGGTGTTCTTGCAAGCTTCCGCAAAATCCATCCATTCATCTCTGAGTACCTAGCTCCAGGCAACGAGTACGTCGTCTTCGACCTCTTGGGATGGAAGGCCGGAATCCTCATCTGCTACGACAATAACGTAACTGAAAACGTGCGCGCTACTGCTCTTCTCGGTGCTGAGATAATCTTCATGCCCCACGTCACGATGTGCACGCCATCTACACGCCCCGGGGCCGGGTTCGTGGACCACCAGCTGTGGCAGAATCGAGAGCGGGACCCCACGAGCCTGCGCGCGGAATTCGATGGGTTAAAGGGGCGGGCCTGGCTGATGAAATGGCTTCCGGCAAGGGCATATGACAGTGCAATCTATGCTGTGTTCAGCAATCCCATTGGAATGGATGACGACCAGCTGAAGAACGGGTGCTCGATGGTGCTGGATCCGTTTGGGGATGTGGTTGCTGAGTGCCGCGAACTTGGCGAGGCGATGGCAGTGGCGGTATGCTCGCGGGAGAAGCTGGAGATGGCCGGGGGATTCCGGTATAGGAAGGCAAGGAGGCCGGAGTTGTATGGGCATATCATTGCAAAGGAGCATGAGTCCAAGTTGGCGGTTACTTGGATGAGTAAATAATGGGATGAACGCTTCGTTATAACTTGATTGCACTTCAATTGTTTGGCTAGCTAAAAATCAACCTTTAGCCGCTCCATTGTTCTTTGCTGTTAATCTTCGATATCCCAAGGTCCAAAGTATATTGGCAAAATATATTATTATTAAACCCAGACAAATAATATAGATTAAGAAGAATACTTCAAAAACATAAATAGGATAACCATCACAAAACACGATGCCAAAAACGCGCCCGATTCACACCAGATCAATGTGACAGCAACGAGTGCTGCGTTGATGGCTAGTGAGGATCGTAATATCGGCTTTTTGAGCTCTTTTTGAAGGTGACCGTCAATTCTATGCCAGGCATAGGCATACTCGTCAGACCGCGTCAATATAACCCACTCCTTAAAGTCAACCGTGTTGGCCTTTGATAGTTTATTATGCTTCCATTCCCAGATATCGAGAAGGGTTCCATCCAACCCGTAGGGTTGGTGTTGAACAAGCCACCCGCGCCACCTCTCGACGACTTCCAGCGCATGTTTCTCCGTTACTTTGAACCACTCCTTATGCTCTTTTGGTGACTTACCATCCATTTTCCGGCATACGTCGCACTGGTATGTCTTTCTCTCATTCGATAATTCCATTTGCGCGAGTTCCTCGACCATCCCATAATACTGGAGTCTTCTGTGGTTAGGATCACATATGCGCTCGGGTTTCAATTTACATAGTCCATTCCACTGCATGAGACGTTTCCCATGCTTCTGCCTTGACTTTCCGATCTTAACGTGTCCATTAGAACCTTCCACCTTGTAGATGTATACGAAGCCTTGTTTGTCCTCTTTATCTCCCTTGTGGATGATTCTGAGTATTTCAGCTTTGATTTCGCTAGGCGACTTTGTCTCCCCGTGCTGCTTAAATTGTATACTGCCGGCCCTCTCCGTAGTATCCGCGTCTGGCTTCTCACCGACCTCGATTGAGGGTTGCACAACCTCAGCTGCCTCAGCTGGTTCTCGACCCCTAGGGCCTGGCGCTCGACCGTCTGTCGTTGACGCCAGATATTCATCTGGAATAGCTTCACGTTCATCTAAACCACGCATCTGTTTCCCCAAATTCTGCGACGATGGCTTTTCATTGACATTAAGAGGTAAATCTGACTCTTCGACATTCGGATCAGTAGTTGCACTAGCGTTGATCGTAACTTGATTTTTTTGGAGAAGCCTCCCTGATTGCTGGCGCTTACTCTGTGGGGTTGATTTATTGCGCGTTCTCTTTGATTTATTAGGTATTACTTTTGGGTTCTCGGGCGTTGTCTTTGGCTCCACAGACATTGTCTTTAGTTCCTCGCCCTTTGGTTCCTCGGGCGTTCCATTTCCCGCATTATGGAGAAGCCTCGCTGATTGCCGGCGCGCACTCTGTGATGGTGATTTATTGCGCGTTCTCTTTAATTTATTCGATGTTACCTTTAGTTTCTCAGGCGTTGTCAGTTTCTCAGGCGTTGTCTTTAGGTCCTCGGACGTTGTCTTGGGTTCCTCGGGTGTTGTATTTGGTTCCTCGGGCGTTCCATTTCCCGCATTATGCGATGGCACAGCAGTATTGTCAGAAAGAGAGCCTACAACTTCAACTTCTCGCGAAGTAATTAAGCTAGCTGTTGTCTCTAGGCTAGCTTTCGGAGATGGGGTTGCGGGTCTGTTGAAAGATGAGTCGCGACTTGGAGGTCTGGTGGTAGGTATAGCGATTGGTATCAGGGGTGGACCATTGACTAAATGCACCTGGGCATCATCGGAAAGTGACCCCGTAGGAATTAAAGAAGCACCATCTATTCTGGCTTTCCTCGATGAACGAGAGTCTTCCAGTGTCCCATCCTCAGTTTCTGGGTGTGTTTCGCTGCCGTTGCTCGCAACGTCTGGCTCCCCGGGTTTCAGGAAATGCTGCTCAGCCTCCGTGTTAAGATCCTGCCCGCTCACATTCTTAGCCGTCGATGACTTATAACCCATGGCGACCACCAAACTGAATTTATGGCCATACACCAAACCGGATCCGAACTCAATAACGCCATTTTCCGGCTGCGGGGTTGAGTGACGTTGATCCGCACCTCTGTTTCCTTCAAATTTTTCGCTTTGAAGTATCTCCCCAGTCGATTGTTCGGAATCCTTTTCCTTCGAATTAGCTTCCCATTGTAAGGGATTCTGCCCCTTGGACTCTGCATCTTCAGTCGATGGAGGTGTGAGAGGTGTTCCCACGCTACTAGAGTAGTCATTGAGCTGGCTTGAGAAGGTCGATGATGTGCTGGTATTGCTTGAACCGGTCGAAAGCGTACTACTTATTCGTCGGCGACTTGGGGTGAAGGGACCGTCTGCAGGGGAGATAATATTATCGCCTTGCGGCATCCTCTCAGTCGATATGACGGATTCGGATGTCCATATTGGCTCCGTAGTTGTATCAGTGCCGCTCTTGATAGGTGTGGTTACGGCCTCCATATCGACGATGTTATAACAGGCCAATTTGATTTCAATAAAATGGGATTAAATTCACTCGACGGATTATCTGAGTATTAACATAGAGTATCGACAGAAGAACTAACCTCACGATATGGAAAGCATTTGTATACCCTCGACTCGGAGGGGGGCTGGGACGAACTGGCGCACACATCCCCCGCAGCACCCAGCGATACCAACAGAATGGCACCCCCTGTAGTAGGCCCAAGCCACTCTGCCAAGCAGAATAGCGTCCTGAAGTCCTCGCAGCCCAGCGGCGATTGCTTGGGATCGGGAGGCTTCCCGTACCCGAGCCGCTCTTAAATATAGAACCGGGTCCGCGCCGAAGAATATACAGGAAACGAGGCATTGAATCGGCGACGTCCATAACTTCAATTGCACATTAACTGGCGCTACGATGGTGCTGGGAACTGTGCCAGTGGAATTTCTGTAGAATACGCCTGACATTCAGCCGTAATGGACGGGTTCTCAAGTACCCCGGCTGGGATTGCGAGACGACAGCCACAAACAAGGAGCTGCGCCATGGGTTGGATATGCGCGTATATACCCTTCGAGCTGCATTGTAGTTCTTTCGAGGTATAGTCTGATGCGCAACAGTATTAATCCTTGCGGCTAATGCCTGAAGTTAGGCATACATTGTACTTGCCCTGTTGCTGCCAGTAGTAAGAGCGAGGAGGCTTTGGGGCAACGTAATTCCGAACCTGTTCCCCGAATCTAGCGTCTAGGGTCGCTATCACATAAGCTCGATGCGGATGTTTCCAACACAGCATCGCTTATCACATCAATGGCTGGCTCGTCATGGTGTGATCAACAAGCCTTCTTGAGGGCTCAGATCACTAATGTCTCGTTCAATACGTAATCTTAATGCAGACCTTTGAAAAGCAAACAAATGCTAGCTAGAATATGCCGAGCCGGGAAGGCCCTTCGGGGGGACCGAGCTCTAGCATAAAGGATTCATTGTTGGTTCATTGAGGGCGTGCATATATGTAGCAAGGGATATGTTGGGTTCTATGTGCAGGAGGTAAGGGTCTGGGATTATATTGTTCCGGCCCAACCACCAACCTGGTGTGCCTGGTTCGTGTTGGTTCGTGTAGTTCGTTGGCGAATGGGTGAGTGAGCCTGAACATATTCTATAGTAATTAAGCACGTGAAACAGTCGTCAGGCACATCACAGAGAGAGTAGATTTAAACGATCAATCGAATTCAGATATAGCTATCTAATTAACGGCTCAACCATACATTTTCCTTAACATCATGAGATGGACATTCACGTGACTGAAATACGTCTTGGACGATGATGGATGAGGGGGTCTGGATACGGCGCTGTCAAATCATCGGCCGTCGTTTAGTTAGTTGACTATGAAATTTAATTGACAAATCTAAGCATATAGCTCCGCTTTAGAGTCCATGGTACTCTACGCAATAAATATAGCTTTCCCCGATTAGTGAGCATTGGTACCATACAAAGCACTCTAGATATTTCGGGGTCCCGATGACATTATTCCGTTCCGTTTCTTGCTAAAAGGTGGGAGGCACCAATGACGACACCCACCACTGACTGAATATTGTGCGGGGGGACGAATATTTTCGTCTGAATAACCAGCCTCAATCTCAAAGCTTTGAAACAACTGCGCTCGCTGCTCTCGAGCTACGCAGCGCTCACAGCCTACTCCATCCAATCTTCCTGCCCGCACCCTATGACCGATGGTTCAATCCTGCCTCTGAAATGACCTCGGGCGCGGAAGCGGGGATTCGAGGAGGGTACACGGGCAACAGTAGGGGTGTTATTGCTACTCTTGGGGCCTTCATAGGGGTTACTTGGTACAATTGCATCGAGCTAATTATCCTCATATTGTGCACCTTCAAAAAGTATCAAGGGGCTTATTTCTGGAGCCTGCTGATTACAACCACAATAGGAGTTCTGGTGCACTCTATCGGCTTCCTGATTAAGGATTTCGAACTCACGACAGCAACATGGGTGCCGATCACTATCACAACTATTGGATGGTGGACAATGATTATTGGCCAGTCATTCGTTCTGTATTCCAGACTGCATTTTGTCATCTGGGATAAGAGGATCTTCCGCTTTGTCCTTGGTATGATCATCGCGAACATATTCCTGCTTTTAATTCCGACGACCGTTCTCACATATGGTTCCAACTTCACGAGCTCCCAAAAATTCCTGAATGGCTATATCATCATGGAGAAGATTGAGATAATAGGTGTTAGCGTACAGGAGATCATCATATCAAGCCTTTACATATACGGGACGAGAGAGTTGTTGAAGTATAACAAAGAGGGAGAGAACCGAAGCATTCTCTTCCAACTTTTCGGCATCAACTTATTGTTCATCCTCATGGACATCGGTCTCATCGCCACACAATACTCGAACCTGTTCACCTACCAAACAACGCTCAAGGGCCTGATATACAGCATCAAGTTGAAACTCGAATTCTTCGTTCTCGGCAAGCTCGTGCGCATTGCCAGCCGCGGTGGTAAGCCAGCGAATGGCGAAATCGATGTTAGCGAATTTGTCGACTCCTCTCAAGTCAACTCTGATATCACCCATGCGAACAATCCCAATCCGCTGATGCACCAAAACCAACCGCCACCCAACATGCGCCGCGAAGATGTCTCGATCGCCATGTTCGAACACTCCGACCGCAACGATATACTGGGCGTAGACTCGTCTCTCTCCAGCTCATCAAGAGTCACCACCGATTCACCCCCCCACGCCTCACCGTGAATTCCGCGACGGAGTTAAACCCGCCATTCCACTGAATCGCCACCAACTGACTCGTCTACCCACGCATTTGGTTTGACGCATCCCCCGAAAACCCAAACTATCGGAAACGGGTCGACTGTGGCGGACGGCAGCTCGACATGGGGTTTTAAGGGGGCTCGATGACAGTTGGCTCTCAGGGCTTTTGATTCAGAAGTGTCTCGCAAAAAGTGTGGGCGCTCGCCGCTACAAGTACTCGTCTCCGAAGAAACAATGGGCGCCCAGGAACTATAGCCCGGGCGCTCCACTCCCAGCCGCGCCCACCCCGCAGTTAGCACGCGACACATCCCTTGGCTATCCGCGCATAAAAAGGGGGCAACACATGTTGTTTCGGAGAGGGGTAAATAATGGTTGAGTAGTGCATCTTAATGTGCATCTTACTGTATCAATTTCCGTTGTGGATAGCGACCATCTGACGAGCTAGGCAATTATTGCGTCGCTAGCCGCAGTGGCTCGCTCCCCGGAGACGGGTAACTGGAGCCAACAGCATCTTAGAGTAGTGAAAAACGGCTCGGCCTAAATGCTTTTTCGAGAGAAACTTTGAGAATCCGTATATCCACTGTTTTCACTAAACATGTTTATCCTTCCCCATTAACCCTTCGATCGCCCCCTCATCACGCCCATGCATCCACACCACCACCGCGGAAATATGGGGATATGGAAACCCCTAACAACGCCCCCCCCACCTTTTCCCTCGCCACAATCCCACCACCAAACAACCAAACAGCGGCACATCTGCAGTTTTAGGAGGTTGCCCATGATGGCCCGCTACTGGGTCCGCAACAGTGCGTCTGGATGCCGTTCACTTCGGTCCGAAGAATTGAAATGGCCTAGGCTGAGACCGTAGCCTCCGTGAGCGACCCTACTAAATTATTCATAGCGCTTCGGGTCCTGCCCGTACCGCAGCTGACAAGCGGGCGCCGCGGTCAAAACGTGGTGTGGGAAGAAATCTGACGTTGGATATTATATGAACCAACGGTCGCCCCCGGCCGGCCCTCTCTGGATAGCATCACATTTTTGACAGAAAAATTACAGCCATGCGCGTTCTTGGTTTTCTGGCGCCTGTGGTGGCTGTTCTTTTCGCGGGTGTGATCGCACAGACTGATCCGCTGCAAGTCCTTGCCCAGATCCCCGCGTGCACTGTAAGTCCCAGCCTATATCTGTGCCTCGGCAATTATATATTTACATTCTCTGTAGCAAGAATGCGGTGTCAAAGTGCTCATACCAGCGAATTGCCCATTGACGGACCTGGCGAACTGTCTCTGCACGAATACCACTTTACAGTCGACATTTGCTCTCTGCGTAGTGGGATCATGCGGTCTCGCCGACCAAGCCAGTATGATTCCCTTGACACAAGCCGTCGAGCCTCGAACCTAACATTGACAGAATCTTCAACCCTCATGCAGACTGAGATTTGCAATGGCGTACCGAAAGAATCGCGAAGCAGAGAGATTATACGGGACGTTATCATCATCTCCGCCTTCACCTTCGTGATAATCGGACTGCGGTTCTACTCGCGCGCTCTCGTAACGAGCCAATTGTGGTGGGATGACTGGACCATCGCATTTGCAGCTGTGAGTTTTCCAGCACAGCGGTCGCCTTGCTAGTACAGTACAGTTATTGACAAGCCCAAACAGATCATCATGATTCCCATGACTGTCATCCCGATATTCAGTAAGACCATCCCTCGTCCACACAAGCTCATACCAAGGCCCTAACATATCCTCCAGACGCCACCCGCGGGTTCGGCGAGCATTTCTGGGACGTCCCTCCCCAAAACCTCGAGCTCCTCGAAAAGGTACTATACAATTCCGCGTCGCATTCCATTTCTACCAACACCTACTTACCACCCGTCACAGCTCTACTACATCTCCCAAATCCTCTACGTCGTCGTCCAAGCCCTCGCCAAATTCTCCATCCTCTTCCTCTTCCTCCGCGTCTTCCCAACCCAAAAATTCCGTCTCGTCGTCAGAATCTGCATAGCCTGGATGATCTGCCACACCGTCGCCTTCGGACTAGTGGTGACCCTCCAATGCGTGCCCGTGCAATCGGTGTGGGACCACTCGATCAAGGGGCGGTGCACGAACTCGCAGGCGTTTGTGTATGCGGCGGCGGGGTTTAGTATCTTTGAGGACTTTGTGATTATGTTGTTGCCGATTTGGGAGTTGAAGGATTTGAGTCTGAATACGAAGAAGAAGTTTGCGTTGATGTTTTTGTTTGCTTTGGGGTCTTTGTGAGTCCAGCTACCCACCCCCCTTACTATCATTGCGCGGCTTGCTAATGATGGATGGGATTACAGCGCTTGCATCACCAGCATGATCCGCCTCAAATACCTCGTCGCCTACGGAACCTCCGTCGACGTAACGTGTAAGTCACATTCCTTCGTGAATCAAACTGATCAAGAAAACTAACCCATCAACCAGACGGCGCCGTCGACGTAATCCTCTGGTCCGTACTCGAAGACTACGTCGCCGTAATCTGCGCCTCCCTAATGTGTCTGCGCCCCCTAATCGTGCGGTGCTTCCCCTCCCTCTTCCCCACCAGCAACGCCGAGAGCAAGAACACCCAAAGCGGGTGGGGCGCTGCGCGGAACTCCAAGCTGGCGAGTAAACTGGGGGTGGCGAGCAATAAGGGGTATGAACTCAAGAGCGAGGATGGCGATGCGAAGGGCGGAGGGGGGGGGATTAGGGTGCAGAAGGCTTGGGCGACGAAGACGAGTAGTGTGGGGGATGTGGAGGAGGAGTCGGAGGGGGGGGAGAGTTATAAGATGGAGGGAGGGAGGGGGAGTGAGGAGGTTTGGCAGGCGAGGAGGGGTTGAGGGGGTGGATGTGGTCCTCACGATGCTTCATGTCTATAGATTTTCCCCATGTTTTTGAACGCCATTCTTAACCTTCATGTTCATATATATACGTCTTATTTCTAGTTAATAATTTATATATATACCCTCTTTTGTTATAAGCTTGTGGATGCTTCGTTAGGCCTGTGGATTGTTCTAATTGGTGCTCACATTACAATAACGAGACTTCTGTGCATTGAATGCATGCTCTCACTATCCCTTCTAGGAAGCACATGCACGTGAGTTCCGAGTAGGTCGCACTCCACCATCGTCGCCCTCAGCAAGCACGTGACTTTCTAATGGGTAGCACCTTCCACCACAGCTCTGTCTCAGTCCTGTCAATCGTGTCAATCAGGGAATGGGATAGAGAAGGCAGTGATGAACGTGTTGTGAGACGGCGGTCGTAGGAGGACGAGTCGTGGCCGATGTGGCCGATATGACCGACCGATGGCTCAGCCTCGTTGTCTAATTATCCAGGAGGGAGGGAGGGACGGGGTGGGAGAGAGCGGGCTGTGTGATGTTTTAGAAGTGTGGTGGTGTGTTCTAGTTGTACGTTGATCGTGTCGATTTTGTTCTCCATATATCCATCTATGCCCATACGAGGTAGGTGACTTGTTGTCGTCAGCTTTTTGTTGGTGGTGGTAGTAGTAGAGGCAGTAGAGAAGCAGTAGCAGTAATTAGTAGTAGTTGTAGCAGTAGTTAGTAGTAGTAGAAGCAGTAGTAGTTGTTGTTTTAGTAGCTGTAGTGGACTTTCTGTCTGAGTGCGGATATGGTATGGTGTATGTTATGTTATGTTATGTACCTTACTTGTTCTCTCCTGTGTACAAACCTCAGCGCGGGGGTTCACAGCAAAAGTTGAAGTCAATCCCAAGACCATCCATCCCATCTAGACGATCACAAGCAGATCCGTCCTCCAAAATAGAAAAGTACATCCCATAGTACTTACAACAAAGTACTCTCCTCTCCAAGCATTTTGCTGTGGTAAAGATCGCGGGGTGGCGAAGCAAACGCAGAAGATCATGCGCTAGACTCTAACCAGACTAGCTCGGTCAGATCAGGGATTGGTTGCGGTGCTGTGCTGACTATGGGTGGTCGCTAAGAGGGGAATAATATGGGGCTATTCCGGAATGGGAGATTGTTCACTATACTACTATACTAGATGTGCGAGAGTGGTAAGTTAGTTCCTGGATACGAGGGAGCGAGGGGCAAGTTTTTTGTTGTTTGTATGGTACGGAAAGAGAGATGGAGATATAAATATGCATATGGAGTGCGGTTACGAGGGGGATGAATAATGTCAATATTTGTCTGGTTAGAGAGATCACATGATTAGAGCACATCTACTCTACTCTACTCTTCTGTAGCACTCCTGTGTGTATGTTCTAGAGCTCTACTCTTCTGTCTTCTGTAGCACACTGTATGTGTTGTTCTAAAGCACAGAGTCAGCCCACCTAGAATACTCTGCACTACAGCCTACACTACAGCCTTGACCACAGCCTTGACCACTACCTACAGCCTGCACTACAGAACAACACCCACCAAATTCTCTAGACTGACTGACTGACTCTTATATGGTACTCTAATTACTCTAATTGGTCCCTTGCCCCTATTTATCCCCATCAATCCCCATATACCCCCATCCCTTACCCATAAATCTTCACTTTCCTCAATCCTCAACTCCTGTAACTCCCTAATCCTCAACTCCTCCACCACCTCCTACACCTCCTTCACCTCCGTAAATTGTCACCCACAGCATAAATTCCCCCTTCTGTCTTCTTCGCTGCTAAGCATTTTTCACCCGTACGCTTGTACATATCTTGTACCAGGGCGTGCTTGGCTCCCCTTGGCTCTCGTCGTTCTTCTCCCCACTCTTCCCCCTCCGCCATGCTTCTATTTTCTCTCCACTCCCCTCTCCACCCTGCCCTGAGTACCCGCTTCTCACTTCCCTCTGTTCCCTTCTCTCTTCTCTCCTCCTTGGCTCTTTCTGTTTCTAGCTGTGGGAGTAACTGGGACCACAGGGAGGTAGTACTTCCAATACTGCCAATACTACCATACTATAGTACTTGCAACTCTTGTACCTCTCGTACCCCTCCCAACCTCATGTATCTCTCTATACTATTTACTACTGTAAAATACTTCACCCACTGTTCACAGGCTCAACAGCCTCGACTCGTCGTCGCTCTCTCGGTACCCTGAGTGAAGATCATGTCCCTATACGAATCCTGTTCTTTCGTCACACACCCACACTGTCCACAGTACCACAGTCCACAAGTAACCACCATCATCATCAATCACCACTCCTGCTTTTGCTAGCCAACGTCGTCTCGTCCTCAACCATCACGGCCTCACCCGTCGTCGAACCTTCACCCTCAACCTCCCCCAAACTATAAACTCTCTCCGCGCCCGAACGGACCTCATTTCGCACTTCCGCTCGTTGCGCCGCTGACCGTCAGCAACACGAATTCGTCGCTCACTACCCAACCCACCTCAAATCTGCCATAGCCGCGCTTCCGCCACTCACCAAGCACCGCCGTGCTCGACGACAAAAACACCTCCCCAATCCCGATCCTGCGCCGATGAGGTGCGGTTGAGCCTCACCGCGTCGTTCTCGTTCTCGTTATGCTTCTCACCACACTCGTTTCTACGGCATGGCTCCTCCTCGGAGGCGCCAGAGTCGCCAGTGCTATCGAACTCAATATCGACGATGATGGTTCGTCGCCCGCGTCCTGATCGCATGTCTCTTCCCGCCCGCTGACTCTGTGTCTCTTTCTAGAATCTATCAAAAATGCCGCGTCGACGATTGTCTACGACATGATGTTGGAATACAAGGGGAATTTGTCAGGACAGACACCGGGATTGCTTCCTGGGCCGCCTCCGACGCCGTTGGTCCTCAACGCGGGTTACTTCTGGTGGGAGGCCGGTGCCATGTTCGGCTCCCTCCTCGACTACTGGTACTACACTGGCGACGACTCATACAACGCTGTGATCAAGCAGGCGTTGATTCACCAGTCCGGTGACCACTTCGACTATCTCCCCCAAAACCAGTCCCTCGGTATGGGTAACGATGATCAAGGTACCTACCACCCACCCACCTAACAAGCATCGCGACCACAGAGCTAACATTCCCACCACAGGATTCTGGGGCATGTCCGCCATGACAGCCGCCGAGTTCAACTTCGAGAACCCCGCAGCAGACGAGCCGCAATGGCTCGCCCTCGCCCAAGCCGTCTTCCACACCCAGGCCGAGCGTCTCGACCCAACAACCTGCGGCGGCGGTCTGCATTGGCAAGCCTACAGCTACCTCAACGGGTACAGCTACAAGAACTCCATTTCTAACGGCTGCTTCTTCAACATCGGCGCGCGCCTCGCGCTCTACACCAAAAACGCGACGTATGCCAAGTACGCGAGCGAGACGTGGGATTGGATGAGCGGCGTGGGATTCCTCGATAAGGACTATAACATCTTTGATGGTGGAGACCAAAAGGATAACTGCACCGAGATCAACAAAGTGCCCTTCTCCTACAACGCAGGCATCTTCCTCCTCGGCGCCGCCACCATGTACAACTACGTTAGTCCCCCTCTCTATCCCCCCCCCCTTTTCCCCACCTCTAAACCAACCACTAACCCCCCCCCCTAGACCGACGGCAGCGCCATCTGGAAAGACCGCGTCGAGAAGCTCCTCGCGCGCACAATCGAAGTCTTCTTCCCCAACGGCATCGCCTTCGAACTCGCCTGCGAAACCGACCTCTCGTGCTCCGTCGACATGTACGCCCAAAAAGCCTTCCTAACCCGCTGGATGGCCGCCTCTACCAAAGTCGCCCCCTTCATCTACGACACTGTCATGAAACCCCTGCGCACCTCTGCCGCAGCCGCAGCACTGCAATGTTCCGGCGCCCCGACCGGTCGCGTCTGCGGCCTCTCGTGGAGCAAGAAGGCGGCGTGGGATGGGACGCGCGGCGTTGGGCAGCAGATGGCGGCGCTGGAGGTGATTCAGAGTCTGCTGATTAAGAACGCGAGGAATATTGTGTCGAATTCGACGGGGGGGACGAGCGTGGGCGATCCGAATGCGGGGAATGATGTGGTGGATTACTCCAAGATGACGCCGGCGACGACGGGGGGGAAGGTGGGAGCGGGGATATTGACGGTGGTGGTTGTGGGGTTGGTAGTGGGGATGTTTGGGTTTATGGCTATTGATTAGGGGTGGATGTTGGAAAAGAGATTTCAAGTTGAAGTCAGGGGGGTGTTGCATTAGTTTTGTTAACCCGAGGGGTGCCAGGCGTTATCCCTTTTTTACCACCGCCCCCGTGGATGGGCAGGGAGGGCGTATTTTTTCGCTGTACATTGTTCTATTTTTTTTTGTCGATTTATACGTGGTGCCGGGGAGGTGGGTGGATGGATAGGGTGCGCGTGTGTATGCGCGGCGGACAGATATACATACAGTCAGGAAGGCAGACAGGTAGGCTTGAAGTGGTAATACCCACGCTGATAATGGCGCGTGGTGTGGTGTGCATATGCGAGTGGAAGAGGGGAGCAAGCATGTATGTATCAAGACCTAGACCAAACGTATTTTTCATCGTGCGCCTGTTTGGTATCCATTCCGTGTCGGCGGGAATCAAATATTTGTGTATATGTACTATTGTCTTTCCCATAAGCTTTTTTCGGCAGGGTTGGACAAGGCTTGCAGAGGACACCAGAGTTGGCATGATGCTCAACGCCAGTTTTCTCCTAGTAGATCAAGATAATTGCCTTGGGATGACATGCCACCCCTGCTGTTGTCTATCAGATTATACACCACCGCATGTCATTCTGCTTCTAGATCTTACACCATCATACACCATCATACACCATCATACACCATCCTCCTTCCACCTCTCCAAAACCCAAAATAACCCTCCCCCCATTACATCCCCTTCCGAACCACATCACTACCCTTCTATTCCCCTTCAAATATCCAACAACCCCCCCGACCCATCCCCACCTACTCCCCCTTCCCCTCAGCCCTCTTCAACCCCTTCAAATACCCCACCCCCCTCCCCAACAACCACCACGCCGCAACCTCATGCAACCACCTCACCCCCCTCTTCTCCAACGGCATCGCCCCCCCCTCCTCAACCCACATAACCGTCTCACTCCACCACTCCCACTCCCCTTCCACTTCTCTCCCCCCAACCACCAACCTCCCCTCCGGCGCGCCCTCCCTCTTCTCCTTACCCATCACCATCTCAAACTCCACCACCCCACTCTTCTCACTCCCCTCCCTCCTCGCAACCTTATAAACCCCCGCCACCACCTCCCCAACCCCAAACACACAACCCCCAATATATTCCTTATCGAACGTCCTAGCGCCCCCAGGAGCAACAACCCTCAACAAATAAGCCTGGGGAAACCTCCTCGCAAACAACCCCATCGTCTCTCTCAAATACAATTTCACCATCTCCTCCCCCCCCTTGTCTGGCATCTCCGTCTTGGGAACGCGCTTCCACGCCTTATCGCGGACCATCTTGTAACCACCCCCCAGCACCGACGCGGGGACGGAGGAGATATCCGCGACGGCTTCCCGGGTCAGCGGCCCAGAGCTGCGGACGTGGGTGGTGGTTTTGGAGAGGGTGTGGTGGAGGTAGCTTAGGTAGGCGATGGGGGCGGCGATGGAGAGCGCGGAGATGAGGAGTTTGGGGTGCGCGGTTAGGCGGGTGGTGAGGGGTTTGAGGATGTCCATGTTTGCTGGGTGAGTCTTTTGGATGCTGTTCTAGGGGTGAATATCGTCACGTGGTGGGTGGGTGGGTGTAGGACCCCTTTGCGTGTCTGTGTGGTTGCTCTTCTTTCAGAGTAACGTGTTTTGTACAGCGCACGAAATGTTAATGCCGAGATTGTGAAAGCGCTCACTGAACGAACGTCGTCGAGATAAACGCGCGAACGAAGCGAACGAACGGGACGTTTTCTTGACGCGGCGCCGAGACTATTCTGGGCTCGAGATTTTGGGTAAGGCGGGCCTGGAATCATCCCGATTTTCTTTGTTTGAACACGTGATACCCCTTGGCACAAATCACCAAATCACGTGATACTAGCCGCAACCAGCGACGCCTCAACTACGGGGGCTCCATCCCGTCTGCAAACGGGCGTTGACGGAGGGCTTTTTCCAAATACCAAATTCTGAAGCGGTACCAGGGCACGAGATGATATAGTATGACCACAAAACCTGACTTTCGGCGACAGTCGGGAATTATGAGGCTTTTTTTATTTATTTAGGTTATGGTAATGCATCCTCTCCCGCCGTGGTCACGCCCCCTTCGGTGGAACGGCCCCACCCCCGCATCGCTTGACATCTCCGGCCGAGGAGCGGGATGGGCTGCGGGCTGGACTGGGCGGTGGGCGCTTGGCGCTTGCTTGAGTGCTTTTGTTTATTGAAGGTGGGGGGGAGAGGTAATGCTGTGGAGTACTGTGTTGTAATTGAATTCCTTAGAGGCGGGAGGAGGTGATGTGGGAATATTTTACTTGTCCAGTCTTGAGCAGTGTGATATGAGTATGACTCCAAAACACCGAGTCCAACGCGCATGAATGAGAAGGAGAAAGGGGAGCTTCACCCATGCATGCATATTCACCACAACACCTCTCCACCAAGCATGCTGACAGAAACTAGCTATGTCAATGCACCGAACTTCTTCGCCCTTCTACCGGCCGGCACTCGCCTCTCACCCATCATGTCACACAACCCCCTCCACCGATCCTCGGTACACCGGCCCCTCACCATCCAATCCCCTCCCCCCCTACCTCGTCCCTTCAAATCCCGCAAGGCTGGGCGCTCCGACCGAGCGTGCGGCGCGCGGTGCAGCGCGATGCAGCCTCGTGGCGGGATTTGAAATTTTACTAATTTCTAAGCGCGTGTGCGTGGGTGAGTGAGTGAGGTGTGACGGCGGGGTTGTCTTGTGTCTTGTGTCTTGTCTTGCTGTGACGCTGGATGGAGGGGAGAGGCGATGAAGAGGTTGTAAGTCCGCGGAGATGAAAATATAGAGGGAGGTGAGAGGGATTCTGGCCTTTTGGATATATGATCCCCTCCTCCTCCACCGCGCAAGCCCTCACCATGTCCTCCTCATTGCCTATGCTCCTGACCTCGACCTCGTCGCCGCCTCAAAACAAACATCCCCGCTCCGTCTCATAGACTTGATATCAAACCTCACCGTAGCGCATACAAGGCGCAACCAAGATGACCAGCCCCTCCTCCACGGCGTCGAGCCCTATACCAGGGGACGCGTATTTCGCGGACCTCTACCCCCTCGCCTCACCCATTCACTCGCGGTCACCATCACCGATATATGCTCCTCCCCCTCCTCCTCCTCCTTCTGCGCCGTGTCATAAATCGAATCACAAGCAAAATCATAATCACAACCAACCCCTCCACAACACACACACACACATCCAGAGGCACAATACGGCTCACACACACAGACCAGCGCCATACCGCCCGCGCCTGGACTTTGCGCCACCGAAAGGGGGCGCATATAGACCGAGTCTCTCGTTCTTGCCGTCTGGGGGGACGAGTCCGGCGAGTACGAGTGCGAGCCCTTTGACGCCTGAGAGTCCCATTGGAGGGAGCGGGGGTGAGGGGGAGAAATACACACCGTTGAAGGAGGAGGAGAGGGATTGTGGCGGGGACAGGGTTAGTGCGCAGGTTCGTCATTCGTTTTATTTATCCCCCTTCTCGCCCCCACCAACTAGATGGAGTTGGAGTTGGAAGAGAACAAAGAAATGCGAGAGATGGATAGGGGCTAATTAAACTCGTAGAAAATGAAGAGACGAGCACAGAATCGAGCTGCACAAAGAGCGTTTAGGGCGAGGCAGACGGAGAGGGTGGCGGAGCTCGAGAGGGAGGTGGAGGGGTTGAGGAGGGAGTTGGAGGTTTTGAGGGGGACCATTAGGGGGAAAGGGGGGAAGGGAGGGATTGGTAGGTGATGGTGGGGTCATGGAGTGGTAATATGGGATGGAATGGGATGGGTTGGGGTAAGGAGGACTTGTATAATAGGTATATTGTAACAATACAACGCCTCTAGAATGTTTGATTGCGGTGTCCGTCCTGATGGGGATGATAATCTAGTTGGTAGGTTGTGGGTGGAACAGGTGAATCGGGAGAGATCGCAGAGATGGGATGGCTACGTAGCCACATGCAGTTTAAAAAGGGCTGGCAGCATCAAATCTCATTGACTAACTACGATCCCATACCTTCCCCCGCATTTCCTCGGCCTCATAAAACGAGTGTCCCAGCGCTTACCTCATCCCCATCTCCCCACCAAACCTCAATTCCCCCTTTACTGTGCAGCTGGCGGAATCGCCGCAGCCCCCTTAACCCACTCCCCACTCCACACCCACTCACTAACCCCACTAACCTGCGTCCCATTCTGAAAGTAAACCCTCAACTGCGTCCCCTGGGTCGTCCACTCAATCACCGCCGCCTGTGTCCCCGGCACCGTCTTCTGCACAAATGCACCCGCATACCATCCATCCCCATCATACGCGCGCTCTACCAGCGTATTATCCGCTGCGGCGTGGTATACGCGGAGAGAGATCGCGGAGGCGGACGCGGCGTACGAGGTCGCGGCGATGGCGGCGCGGGGGGGGGCGGAGGGAACACTGAAGGCGCCGGTGTACCACCCTTTGGGGGTGTCGTAGGCGTGTTCGGCGAGGGACAGGGAGGGGGTTTGGATGTATGTGCTAAGGGGTGTTAGTTGCGGCTCAGGTATAGCTTGGAGACTGTTGTTGGGGGGGTAGGGTACCGGATGCTGAGGCTGGAGATGTTGAAGGATGTTGTGGCGATGGAGGAGCCGGCGACGGCGCTGCCGAGGTTGGTTTGCTTTACCCAGCCAGTGGAGGCGCCTGGGATTTTGTTAGTGGGGTGTAAATGGGTGAGACTGGGGGTGGGGGGGGGACGCACTATCGTAGCCGTATTCTTGGATGGTGTTGTCGGGGAGCTGGGCGTAGACACGCAGCTGGAGGGAGGATCCCGTTGCAAGGAAGGTGGCTGCGATCTTGGAGTAGGGCGCGACGACGAACTTTTTGGCGCCGAGGTCGCCGGTGTACCAGCCGCGGCCGGCGGAGTAGGCTGTCTCAGTGAGTATATTGTCTGTGGAGAGGGTGTAGACGCGGATCTAGGGCTGGTTAGTTGGGAATGGGACGGGGTGGATATCGGGGGGAGTTACCTCCTTGAGCTCCTTGGAGGTCGCGGCGATGGGGCTGCCGAGCTTGGCTGTCACGATGGTGTTGCCGGCGTTGCCATTTTGCCATTTGCCCTCGTAGAGGGACTCGCGGATGCCACCGTTGGTGTCTTGGGTGTAGACGCGGAGGTGGTCGTTGTTGTTCACGGCCGCGATGGCGGTGTCTGGGATCAAGTGTAAGCTTGATATCCTTCTAAGAGGAGAGTGCGAACCCACTAAAGATGATATCTGAGGCGGACATTGTGTTAGGTAGAAATGTAAAAGTGTATAGGTTAGTTATAGAATATGTATGGATTGTAATTATTCTTCTGTTCTTGAAGTCGAGTATGAGAAATGGAATGGTGCGAAAGGGGGGAGGATCGCTCCATCTATAAACTTTTGGTTTGAGTCGGTCGCACATGCCATCTCCACGGAAAACTTCGCCATATTGGCTTTGAGCTCCATCATCGTGTCATTTTGCAACATCTACCCCTCAGCTATGCAGTTGACCACCGCCCACGAGAATGATTCTGCATCAACCAGCACTTCATTCGTTGCATCTCTGTTGTGTAGGCGGCCTGGAATCCTGTGCCACCACACATGGCTGCGGGTATTCGTCATTGATGCTACAAATTCATAATGGGATCTATTGCATATGCTCCCGTTTGAATCAGTGAGGGCGAGAAACCGTTCGTGTCTGCCAATATATACACGTCCATCATTATCGTTGGTAGAACGCCGATATATAATAGCCAATTGGGGACGCGAGTCAGTGCTGTGCATGGAAGCGGCAGCATCCGCTGCAAGTGCTGACGTGCATGAATTCTGCAGGTCGAAAAGAGTATACCGGGAGGCTATCAGCTTCAACTTGACAGCTGAGCAGCGGAGCCATGTAAGAGGTGATTGGTAGGTAGTGATATTGCTGAACTAGATAGTAGACAGAGCACCCATTCTTCAATAACCGCAAGCATACTCGTGCAACCCAAAAGTCTTGTGCTAAGAGCTAACCAAATTGTGCATTTTGTTTTAAATCGTAGAATTGCTAATATCCTGCCCATTTATTCACATGGTCCTACGAGTATTGAGCTATAGCTCTGAGATGTCCTGTACTAACAGTCAAAGAGATGGTGTAGAGAATAGTCAGCCGTGACAAGTCGCACGAATTTTGATAAAGCAACTCTGTAGCCTCTAAGCACTTATATTTGGTCAATGGTCTCCTGTAGCACCAATTTAAAACATGCCACAACAGCGAGTATAAAAGTTATGAAAAACAATAGACAGCAAGATGTAGCCACAGCTCGAAGCGCTGCAAGACAATATATGCACATAAAGAGGTTGCCCCTCTAGTTCAAGGTTTTACAACAGAACCAAGTTTAGTGGCGGCTCGGAAGCAGTGCAACCGGGAAAAAGGCGGCTGCACCGATTGGTTATATCTCGTTAGAGACGAGCCGAGAACGCTCAGGGTGACAACGATCCATCATAAGAAGCTTCGATGTTTGAATCGTCCGGGTCCGAATGTTCGCTTGGAGGGGGGGCTGGCTCAGCATCCGTATCATCCCAATCCACATCATCCCAAAGCACATCATCGGGTAAAAGGACTTCTCGCTCCGAGAGGACGTTGTAGCAAATCCCGAGACTACCTGGCGATTTGGGGTTGATACAGAGAAGTCTCATCATTGTTATAGCTGGAAAGCGATGCGCTACGGATTTTGCCAGCGTCTTCATATGCGGGTATATGGGTTTCCTTTCGTACTTGTCTTCTTCACAGTAGCGAGAATTAACTGCGGCGTAAAACCCTCCCTCGGCCATGCTGAGGTTTACTATCAATGTTTGGAGTTGGGTTTGTAGCCTAGAGTCGTCTACTGCACAAAGTTCTGGGCAAATGTTGTGGCTGCGAATCGCCAGATGGCGCAACGATGGCAATACCTCCTTATTCAGTAGAAGCGGGCAGACGTGGTTGGACTGCGCCATTTGCGGCTTGAATCGCGACGGCCCTCCTGGAGTATCAATCGTAAGACTCGTGAGAGTCTTCGGAAGGTGCGAGATCAGTGAGACTGTAGCTGCACATCTGAGACTGTCCAGCCGCTCGGATGTTAACGACCCAATAGGCACTTTGACTCGAAAAGAGCGGAGGTCAGCCATTTGGGGTAGATATTTGGCAAAAGATGTGAGAAGGTTGCACATGTTGATGGTCCACCACCTTCTTAGATACATCTCAGCGCCCTTTCTGTTATGGTTTCGCCCTGCTATACATTCCATTTTTGCTGCCATCAGTTTGTTATAAGACCTTAAAGTCTTGTGGAAGGGTTTGCCTCTGATAAATAATGATTTGGTCCCCACGAGGCTGTCAGGAAAGTGAGACTCAGCCAGACAACGCTCGAGGGGCCCGATGTCGATAATAACATTCTCAAAAGCCAGATGATGCGCAGCTCTGTACCTAAAGTATGCCTTTAGACTAGTTTTACTCTGAGGATATGGGAGTCGAACCAAGCCTTGCACAAGAGCAGCCTTTCTGTCTGATCCCGAAGATATTCCCCCCCAACAAACGTAGCTATTTCCGAGAGGATTTCAGGAGGGAGGTCTGAGAGGGATAGCATCGCGGCTGCAAATATCCGATCTTGCAAAACCCATTTTCCAAAGAACAACACCGAGACGTGTCTTCTTAAACATTCTTAGACAGCTGAGTCAACAGGATTATGTGAGGCTGAAGTACCTTGACATGTCCAGGATCACATCAGATCCGATAAGATTAGATCAGATGACACCCAGACGAGAACAACCAAGAAGTCACAACACATCATAAATAACGCTAATACGTCAAAGGAAGCAAGAAATATAGCATATGCATGCTTCACGACTATGTCTTAACTTTTTGCTTTGCTTAGTACCTTTATTCCACCCATTTCTGACCACATGTTTGGAATCACACTGCCTTGGAAAAACACTTTACGCGGGCGCGTTACCAACGAACGTGTCACGCACCTGGCGAGGTCGATCACGCGGCGGTATTCAGCATTGGTGAATTCCAAGTCCAAGCAAAGATTCAAGACAATTTACCGTTTTTAAAATGCCGGCAGGGGCTACCTAGCAGTGTTAGGCTGACAGGTGGTTAAATTTCACGGTGTGGACCACAGACGCTTTGGGACAGGTACAGTCCATAGCTGCGCGCGATGTCGTCCTCACAGCCATTTGAGCAATCGTCTCCTACCGCTGGCGGCGATGCGACCAAGCGGTCGAAATTCACATATAGACAACTTGCTCATCTTGCACTGTCTTCGGTAACATGCCCCCTTCGAGTCATTGCTCATATTGATCTCGATGCCTTCTACGCCCAATGCGAGATGGTGCGATTGGGCCTGCCAGAGGACAAGCCTCTTGCGGTGCAGCAGTGGTGGGTTATCCTTGTTTAAAATCTTTTATGATTATATTATTGTGCTGATAATTGCTCTTCATTCCCAGGCAATCCCTCATAGCAGTGAATTACCCAGCCCGTACGTTCGGCATATCAAGGATGCTCACGGCGAAGGAGGCAAGAAAGCTATGTCCAGATGCCATCTTGCAGCATGTGGCGACGTGGAAAGAAGGCGATGTGAAATGGGCATACCACAAAGATGCATCTGCGAACATGGCCACGCACAAAGTCTCTCTTGACCCGTATAGGCTGGAGTCTCGGAAGATCCTGGCTTGCATGAAAGGATGCCTTCCGCCAGACTTACAGAGGGTTGAGAAGGCAGGTATAGATGAGGTCTTTCTGGATTTATCTGCACAGGTTCATAGCATCCTTTTGGAGCATTATCCTGAACTTTCGTCGCCACCTAAGGATCTATCCGAGTTTCTTCCGCTGCCCCCAACCACTGTATTGGATTGGAAAGCAGACGCCTTAGTCGACCTCGACGTTAGCGAAACAGAAGATGATGATCCGGACTGGGACGACGTGGCCATCCTTCTCGGCTCAGAGATAGTCCGAGACGTTCGGGCTGCTGTGAGGGAGCAACTGAAATACACATGTTCCGGCGGTATTGCGCATAATAAGATGTTATCCAAGCTCGGTTCGGCGCATCGCAAACCGAACCAACAGACGGTCATCAGGAACCGAGCTATACAGCAATTTCTTTCTGACTTCAAGTTCACCAAAATCAGAAATTTAGGGGGGAAGTTGGGTACGCAAATTGTCGACACCTTCGAGACAGATACGGTATCAGGGCTACTTGAGGTACCAATCGAGCGGTTGAAGCAGAAGCTGGGCGATGAAACTGGCAGCTGGGTCTATCAAACCATCAGAGGGATTGATCAGAGTGAGGTTAATTCACGAACACAGATCAAATCGATGCTCTCAGCCAAGTCATTTCGGCCAAGTATTAACACACGAGAACAGGCCTCTCGGTGGTTAAGGATATTTGTCGGTGATATCTACTCTCGGCTAGTCGAAGAAGGCGTCCTGGAAAATAAGCGCAGGCCAAAGACTATAAACCTCCATTTCCGACACGGAGGTCAGACAAAATCTCGCCAGATGCCAATTCCGTTGGGAAAAACCATTGATGAGACGATTTTGTTTGACCTGGCGAGCAAGCTCCTTGGTCAGATCATCCTCGAAGGTAACGTGTGGCCCTGTGCGAATCTGAGTCTTAGTGTTGCCGGGTTCGAGGACGGCATTACAGGGAATATGGGCATTGGAGGGTTTTTGTTGAAAGGCGACGAGGCAAAGGCTGCTCGAGAAAACGATTATAGGCCGGAGAATGGAGCATCAGATAGGCCAGAGAAGAGGCAGCAGACAGAACATGGCGCGAGGAGTATCCAAGGATTTTTCTCGAAGCAGCCTGGTACTGACGAATCGGAAAAGCTGGAGGGGTCTCATGGGGAAATCGGGGAAATCGGGGACTGGCCATTCGATGAAGAAGACAATATTACAGCAACACACCAAATCCACGCACCCCAGTCCGGGTTCAAAAACGCATCAATAACATCATATTTCTGCAAGCAATGCAATGAAACATTTGAATCCGACAATTCATTTCAAAGCCATAATGATTGGCATTTTGCGAAAGACCTGCACGACGAAGACCGAAGACTGTCGCATACCCCTCAACCTCGACCGAAGCCCGGTCCAGGAAAAAAGAAGAATAAAGGGAGCAAAAAGGACGCAGCAAAGTCAGAAAAGGGACAGAGCAAGCTTAGTTTCGGTTGATTTTTATGGCAAATACCCTCAGGGGGTAACTATATAACTCAGCAATCTACTGGAGTAGATTAATATGGGGATTGGAATGGTGCAATGAAACCAACCTCCGCAAAAAGCAGATATATTTACATACCGGGGACTTGTTGCATTCCCATATCCATGGCCAGTACTCAACTTATTCCCCACACAGCTACCAACCGTGCAGTCCCTGCCTTGGGTATCAAAATTTTAATGGGAGGCTGAAACAAGCCTCGTCGAGAAGAAACTTCCAACGCCGACGTCATGGCTGGCTCACCTGTTGGAAGGAATCTACGTGGATTACAGCTACTGATATCCCCACACTCTTTACCGTGAGACGGGCTTGTTTTCATCCCCGTCGCCGATACCATGCTTCCCACGGCGGGGACCCCTTTGCACAATAGCCTCTATAACAGCCTCGTTTGACAACAGACGGACGACCTGTCACCAAAATCTGGTCCGGTACGGTCCGTTGACGATATACAGGTAACCAATCAGCATGTCTCCCTTTTACCTACCTGACCCAGATCGGTCTCAGATTCACGTGATTGTTAGGTCTGATTGGCCACGTCCCGACCTCCAATGTATTGCGAGGCAGCCGCCTGTATGCCAACACGCAAATCCACGACAAAACCCAATGAAAGATTTCTCACGGCAAATCATAACAATCAGATGACTGCGAAGAACAGAGTGGGTTGGGTGGTTGGACTATAGTTGGTTGTTATGTACAGCTTGTACACACAAGTACCCATTGGCGCACAACCGGCGTAGGTACCCGACAAGGCAGCTATGCTTTTTTGATGGGTCGCGTTGGTGCCCGATGGGCCCAAGCTGTGGCGACGGTACTGGAGGTAACTGGTGGCGCTGGGATGCGCTGACAGGATGGTTTTTTCCTAGCTGCCGTGCTCTGTATCAATCTCGGTGAGTTCTGCACTGCGTAGTTGTCCTTGCATGCGAACCAGGTTGTTGGAATGGTCGTGAGTGCTAGATTGGAGATAATATCGCAGCACGGCAGCTTCTAGGGGCTGCGAGGTTACCTCGCCTCAACTGGTGTCGCTCTCGCGACCTATGGGTACTGCAGTGGGGTCGCTATCCAGCGAAGCCCAACGAGTCGTTTCATGCCGCAATATCTTCAGGCAGAGTGCGGTCTCGAGGAGACGAAGCAAGGCAGGTGAGCTCTCTCTCCCACCGGTGGGCATCGAAGCTTGCCCTTGTCTCGTCTACCATCTACCGAAGGCGGCTCTCGGGCTGTTGGTTGCATCGATCGGTCTAGAGCGGTTATCGTTGTCGTTGGAGGGAACGGGCGTGGGGTGAACGAACCCTTGGGCATCAGAGGGGTCCTGGCTGAGGGTCCCGGGGCGACGTGTGTACCCCATCGTCGACATCGCCCATGTCAGTCCTTCCTCGCCATGTAACGAGCCGCAGAGCATATAAAGCGGCATTGTGGCAATGGCCAGTGATGGCGCAAGGTTGGCCGTATCAGGGTCATTTTCAGCTGCTGCTCTGTCGTCCCTAGTGCATGGAAGGCGCATTAGAGGTGGAAAGAGCAGGGAAGATAGCGAAATAGATGGTTATGCTCCATATATACCGAATATACACTTTATTGTAGAGCAAATAGAGGAGATGGGCTCGCAACTAGTTGGCATGGGACGGTTAGGCGTTGTATCAAGGCATATATGGTAGGTACTAGACGGTACCAGTCGTACCTACTATATTCTCCTCGATATCTTCCTTTTCTCGAGTATTGTCCTATGGTATAACTCTCTTCGACTTTCTGCATTCTTACATAATCCTCCCCCATGCCATAGGAGACCATAGATGCCATAGAGACAGGTGTCAACCAACCACTCATCTGTGTTTGCTCTTCCCCCAAACCAACCACCGCTTAGCACGCGTTACCCAGACTGACCCACCGCCCACCGCCCACCATCCCGCCCACCACCCACACCCAACCCTTCCCATCTCTTCCTTGACTTCCGCCCACCACCTTCGAATCCCTCCCTCCTCTCTCTTCCTTCTTCCATCACTCTTCCCCAAGAAAAATCCCCAACAAACATCTATACAAAAACCATCCCTCCCTCGGATTTCGATATTGTGTGCATTGCTTCCATCCTTACTGCATCTTGGCCAGCGCATAGCACTGTGTTTTTTTCCTTGTCGCAGTTTATCGCCCCGGGATTTGGAGATATACTAGGCATCCGCCATCCCCTCCTCCTTCCAGAGAGAGTTTCTTCTTCTATCCCACGGTCTATCCTACGGTTGAAAAAAGCTTCCCGTACCAGGTTACTTGTGATCCCACATATCCACAGTCAGAGGAGCAGACTTCCATACCAAAAGGACCAAATACAAACCTAGGATCCAGTCCACTTGAGTCTCTTCACACGGGATTTGACACATCAAGCCTTTCCCCGCTTGTGTCGGTCGCTGTACTATTCCATCTCCCTGGACTGCCTGGATCTCCCTGTTTGAACTCCATTTTCCCACACCCGTTGGACTGGAAAAAGGAAGGAACCGATACTCGGATTTTTACCACGGACTCTCCCAGGCTGATACTTTCCCCGCAAATTTCCTGGATCAAAGGGCCCATCCACCTGGACTTCATTTATTCCCTCCACTGCCTAACTAACAATCACAATGTCGCAACGTCTCGCGACATATTTCGTGCCGGCCACAGGTATCGACAGAGAGGTCATCACGACTGACATCTGTCGGTACTTGGGCAACGACGCGCTCGTGAAACCCGGACAGCACAAGGTGACTCACCCGTCGACGACGGCTTCTCATCAACCATACTGACATACTACAGAACAGCAAAGGAGAGCCGATCGCCGGCTACTTCATCACCGCCTACCGTGCTCTGACGACGGTAAATGAAACCCGAACACCATTTCCACAAGACATTGTTGCTGATCACCGTGGGATTTCAGGATCAATTGACCGACATCAAGGCCGACTCTGCCAGATGGGGAGCAGAGCGGGCGAAAAACCAGACAAACAGGGGATCACAGGGTGGAGGTATCTCACCATTGCGAGATTCGGACGTAGGTGTTCGGTCATCTAACATTACACCAGACGTCGGGTACCGTTCGTCACTTACCCGGGCCCGGCAGCAGCAGCCGCCGTGGGACGATGCCCCTCAACTCCAAGGAGGAGGATATTCCATTCCATCGCCGCAGCAGCAGCCAAACCAGGCAGGAGGAAGATATGATGGTTACCCAGGCCAGCCGCAGCAGCAGCCGCCGCAACCATATGGAGCTCAGCCGGAATACAATCCCAATCCAAACTACTCATACGGGACTCCCGTCCAGTATGGTCTTTCACAGGCACCTTCCCAACCACCACGGACAGGATATGCACCGCCCAACCCTGGATACGGGGAGGGTAGAGGTATGAATCAGGGCTACCAGCCCGACAACCGTGCGCCTCCACAGGGATACTACGACCAGCCACCGATCATGCCCCAAGGTCGGGGACAGCCAGTTCCCCCACCGCAGCAGTACCAGCAGCGCGACAGTTTACCAGGCCAGGATCCCTACAACTACAACGGCGGCCGTGGTGCGTATTGACGCTACCCTCGTGTGTGAATCGTGTCTAACTGGCCGCTTCGGCCTACAGGTCCTCAAGAAGACCAAAACATGGAGTATGATGGATATGAAGAGGATTTCCCGGACCAGTCCAACCAGGCGCCGAAGCCGACCAGCTCGGGACAGTCGAGGCATCGCAGCGAGAGGAGCGACAGAGATCCGGAGAGGCGCACCGACAGACATCCTGGGAAACATCGCCGTTAGGATTTGCCCGTGCTTGGACCTCCCGAGGTGCTATGCTCCGTGGACTCGACCTTCTCTTTCTCTCTCTGTTTGAAGACATGATGCCATGGCCGTGTTTCTTTGCTAGGATGTTCACGCCGTTGTGATCCAGCCAGCCATGGATCATTTGTCGGATCTCTGGAAGTGCGTACTCTGTCGCACCGAGGAGATATATGGCCGTTGCACGATGTGCACCAGTTTTGGATCCCGTGGACATTCCATCCTATATATGGAACAGACCTGACGGAGACCTAGACGTGCAGCATAGCACCGAACAATTTGTGCTGATACCCACCTGATGGCTGGAGTTTTTGCTGGATATATTGACGCCTTGTGTGCGGAACCCGTCGCCTTTTGGAGCCACTCGCGTTCGCACAAACCCCGTATTAATGGAAATCCGCGCGCGCCGGGAAACTGGGGATACTTCGACAAAAATGAACTCAACTCTACAAACCTACCACTACCATTACGCCCTAGGAGAGAATTATGATGAACCGTCCTAATGACTACCCTGGACTACTTTGACGCTCTCACGGCCGTGTTAGACATCTCCCATGTTTTTTATTTGCTTTTCTACCCTCGCAGGGACCCCCTTAGGGAAACAGAGTGGCGGAATGAAAACGGAGTGATGGGATTTTTGTTTTTTGGGAGGTGTGTGTGGCGTATTTATGTTTTTGGAAGGGGGTGGTGGAATAATTGCATTTTGGGCGCGAGGGCGGGAGGAATTGGGGGGGGGGGCTGTTTGTATATACGTATCTTTATTATCTATATCTAGTTTTTGTCGAGATGTTAGAATTGGAGAGACTATTTATTGTTCAACTATGGTTATGATGTCGTTCAACTTTGGTTATGTGTGTGGGTTATATGTGGTGGATTTGAAGTTGTAGAGAGATCCGGCTGGTGGTGGTGTGAGATGTGGTGTAGTATGTAATTATGGGCCGATCGACAGAAACAGCCGTACAAGACAGATATGCGAGAAAAGTGAAACCGGCATCTCTACAACCACAAGTGTTTAGAAACGTGTTTAGAAACAATTAAGACGATGAGATAACGTTCCATACATCCAAGAAATGCTTGAGTAAAGTTTTCATGCAACTGTAAAACCCAAATCGATGGGACCGCCAACTGAGACCTCCCAATTCCTTCCAACTCCCACACACATCCATCCTTGCATCACAAATACTGTCTTACCATGACTTACTTGTATCCATCAGACAGCAAAATACCAGACAACAGCGCGCGAGACAAGTCTAAATTCCTCCTCCTCCTCCTCCTCCCACTGTCCCGGGATACAAACAAACATGTGATCACCACCCAAACCACCCCGCTCACACTCCTCCTCGCACACATCCCCGAGACCGGTGAGCTCCCCCAAGTGCGCTAGCTCAGGGGCATCCTCCCCACGCGTGGGCATCGCGTCCCAGGGGAGTAAGTAGGTAAACGCAAAGGCGCCCACGATCTACGCCGCTATCCTATCTACGCACAAAGGATGGGGCGTAGGGTAGGGGGGAAGGAAGGAATGGGGCAGTGCCGCGGTAGGGGAATGTTACTTTCTGTATTTGTTGTATATTTACGAAACCTACCTACCGAACCCGTTAGCCAGTATGCTGGATGGAGACGTGTCTGTGTCAGTGTCTGTGTCTGACTGCATGCGAACGAGTCGGCTACACATAGCCCGGCGGCGCGGTTCGGCGCGAGGAAGGTGAAACGAACGGAGAGTGTGGGAGGGAGGGAGCTGAGGAGGAAAGCGTCAGCGGCGCTATGCTGTGCTGTGTGTGATGCGTGTGTGGTGGTGGTGGGGAACTGGGCGATCGGCGCTGGGGCGGAGATTAGATTGCGGGTGGGCTTTACTTTACGGTATGACGCTGGTGGTGGTAGTGCTGTGGGCGGTGATGCTGGTGCCGGATGGGGGGGATGACGGTGTGTGAGCTCGTGTGTCTCGGGAGCTGTGGGGGCGGAGGATGGGGCGCTGGAGAGGAGGAATGGGGCGCTGGAGGGGGATGGAAGATAGTGGTGGATGGGGAGTGGTGTAGTGGAAGGTGCGATTGGGGTGAGGTGGGGGGAGGCGGGCAAGGAATTGGGGCTTGGAAGAGGTGGGATATTCATTGTGCGTGTGTGTTTTTTAGTGTTGGTGTTTTGGTAGTGGTGGCCCCTGTGTTTAGCGAGGGGCGAGGGGCGAGGGGAGGGACCAGAGGGCGAAGGGATGGGCAAAGGGAAGGAGAGGAGGAAAGAAGGAGAAAAGGAGGAAGGAGAGAACGAACGATCCGAGAAGGAGGTGGAAAGGGAAGCAAGGGGGTGAACGGGGCGAGGGCGGGTGATGACGTTGGTGGTTGGCGTAACTGTTTAAATACTGTGTGTGGTATGGTACATGTTTGGAATGTTAATGTTAATGTTTGAAATGTTTTAGCTGATAGCTGTATGTAGTTAATTGCGGCATTATTAGAATAGTTAATTATTCCGTATAAGCTATATACTACTCTGTATGGAGATTATAATGGAGATATATACAGATACATACACACATACACACATATCTACACAATGCATACCTCGGCTCTCCCATTTCTCCGTCACTAATTCGCCCAATGCGGTCATCCTGTAACTCTCGCAACTCCGGAAACTTCTAATATCAAACACTATCACAGCGATCGACACAGCGCTTCCTCTCCCTAAGATTGCACCCACTACACTAACATCTCACCCACCCAGCATTCATCGACGGTTGTGGATGAACCCCCGTTGTCGAGCACAAAGCCCTGAAACACTGGCGCGCGACGCACCTTCCATGCCTCTGGTGTATCTGGCTGGCGGATGACGCTACCCCCCGACTAGCTCCAACCACTTTACACCTTTACACCCACTCTGCAGATCGATCATCACTTTTTCGCTTGGCGTGGAGCACTCCCCAACGCATCAGACCATCGCGAACTTCAGCATCAGCCACCACACAAGGAACCCCCGTTCCTCTTTCTTTTCTACTTCACGAAAAACCCAATCTCGACAAAAACCACCTTCGACAATCACTTGTGATATAATTGGGGAATACAGAGAGACTGGAGTGAAGGAGAATTGGCTGCCGACGACACAAAGGACCGGTCTAGCGTTTGTGAGCTGCTGTGCGGCTGGTGACGCGGACGGACCCAGGGGGACAGGACAGAAAGAAGAAAAATGTTGACTTTTCGAAGAGCAGTCGCAGCAGCGGCGCTCATACTCACAATCCTCTACCTCTTCACACACACACACAGCGACTCTTCACTATCGCCCTTAGGCTCTGCCGCAGCAGAAAAGCAGCAGCAGCAGCACGACGGCACCGAACACGCCTCAACGACCGCCTCACACCCCAAAGACGACAGCTCGAAATCCTCGCAGCAGGCCTCCACCAACTCCAAGAAACCCTCCACCCAGCGCCCGCTCGTCGACCCCTCCACGCTCTCCCTCCCCGACAAGCTCGCCTACCACTTCCCTTACGACCTCCCCACCAAATTCCCCGCCTACATCTGGCAGACCTGGAAGCACACCCCCGCGTCCGGCGAGTTCGCCGAGTCGCTCCGCCCAGCTGAGGCCTCGTGGTCTGAGAAGCACCCGGGCTTTGTCCACGAGGTTGTCACCGATGCAGTCGCGCTACATCTGCTGCGCTACCTCTACGCCGCCCTCCCTGAGGTCCTGCAGGCTTACGAGGCGCTCCCGCTCCCTATCCTCAAGGCGGATTTCTTCCGCTACCTTATCCTCCTCGCGCGCGGAGGCATCTACACCGACATCGACACCCACGCTCTGCGCTCGGCGCTCGACTGGATCCCGCCGTCTGTCCCTCACGAGGCAGTCGGGCTCGTCGTAGGCATCGAAGTCGACGCCGCCGACCGCGAGGACTGGGCGGAATGGTATAGCCGGCGCATTCAGCTATGCCAATGGACCATCCAAGCCAAGCCTGGCCACCCGGTCCTGCGCAGCATCGTGGCGCGCATCACGGCCGAGACGCTGCGGAGGCAGAAGGCGGGCGCGCTGCACGTCAGCGACGACAAGGTGGTTGAGTTTACGGGGCCGGCGGTGTGGACGGATGTGGTGTTTGATTTCTTCAATGATGACAAGTACTTTGAGGGCGTGGGGAATATCACCTGGAGAGACTTTACGGGGATGAAGGGCCCGAAGAAGGTTGGGGATGTGATTGTGTTGCCGATTACGAGTTTTAGCCCGGGCGTGCAGACGATGGGGAGTGGGGAGTATGATGATCCGATGGCGTTTGTTAAGCATGAGTTTGAGGGTGAGTTGTGTCCTGTCCTAGAATCTTGAGAGAGATTGTTTGATAGAGCCATAAACTAACTACCACAGGATCATGGAAACCAGAGAACCTACGCCACATCGGCATCGTCTACGACGGCACGGAGAACGAACAAATCGAGGCACAACAGAAGGCGCAGCAAGAAGCACAAGCACAAAAACAAAAACAAACCCAGGCGTAAATGGATTTACTTTCTCGCTATCACATTCGTTTCGCTTTTGGCCTCGAAAACATCCAATCAAACAAAGAATTTGTAATAATCCCGCCTTTTTTTAACGCCATGACGCACGCTACTGTATATTATACTTTCGCTTTTTTCACAAGAGACATTCTTTTAGCTTGGAGATGGTAGGGGGTGCATCGAGCGGCGTTCTTTTTAGAGACATTTTCATTTTTGTTTTTGTCGGTGGTTGGTGAGATGGGGTGGGTGTATGAGTAGGGCGTTGGCGGAGAAGAAGAGGATGGGTGGAGAAGGAAGCAAGAAATGCGCGACGGATGTCTTGAAGAGTCGCACACGCATAACACTGGCGTTTCATTTTTTACCCTTTCAGGGGCACGTGAATAAAAGCCTGGGCGAAGAAAAAGAGGAGCTACAACTGCGGGAGGAGGGAGGGGGGGTGGTAGATATGGGCGATTGGCGCATGGGGGCGTGAACAAGGCGGGTTTGGGGATCGGGGGATCGTGTCAGGTTCTATTTCAAGAGCTGAATAGGAGCTTGTGGCATTGTACTGTATGCTGTATTGCTTAATAGAGGAATTCTTTTGAATTTGATGGCTGTGAAATTGGTGTTTTGTGAGGTGTGAGGTGTGAGGTGTGAGGTGATGTGAGGGTTGTGGAAGGGGGGTGGATGGGTGGATATGGTAGTAAGGGGGGATACTGTCGGTAGCGGGTTTCTTCTCTTTGATACTTGGGTTACTCTAAATCTGAGCGTGGATCTGGGTGTCTGGCGCCGTATCTCTAGGTTATAGAGCTTGGGGAGTTCATCGGCGGTTCTATAGAGATTTGAACGGGCCTTATCAGTACAGTGCCTGGCGTTTGAGAACGGCATATGGGCTCTATATCCTGCTCTACAGCATTATTATGTGTACCAAGCTTCCACTCTACCCTTTTTCTTCTTTTGGTTCTCGGCATATATGTTTGACCTATACCATCGTTAATACTCAGGACCTTTTGTCCGTGGCAGCTGTGTAAAACGCATTCTTCTCTAGAGGTGAGACTAGTTCCCTTGATATCGGCATACACCTCATTAATCCACGCATCCCAATCCCAATCTACCCATTCGAAGAAATTGTAAGTGTCAACACAATGAAAAGGCGGTGCCGTACGAGTGACCCCCGGGAGTGGGTACTCCTTCTGGACGTTAGGGATGATGCGCGATATCCCGAAATCCACGATGACGGCTCTACAGCCTCGATCTAACGGATCCGGTGGGAATAGGATATTTCGCGGGTGCATATCTCCATTTATTACCTTGTGAGCATACACGGCGCGCTCGGAATCAACGATGGCCTTCATCATCTCTTGTCGCTCTGCCTGCTTGAAGCCCGATGGGCTCAGCTTATCCATTGACAGCCCCGGTACAATCTCCAGCAGAATCATCCTGACGTGGCGTGAAATTTTTCCATCGCCAGGGAGAGACATTGTGAATGACCCATAGTACTTTGGGATGATGTTTCCCTGCAGATCGGTAAGTTGTCTGTAGGCCGCGGTCTCTCTCCTGTAACAAAAATCGAGATACTGAAATATATTTGTATGGTAGTGAAGATAGTCGAAATAGAGGGGGTCATAAATCTTAGCCAGGAGGTCCACGTCGGTGGGAAGATCAAGGGTAGAGTTGAGAATGCGCACAGCTACCACCTGGGAATTGTTCGGGTCGCCAGCTTGCACCCAGTCGACTACTTTGAATTCCACCACGCCTGCTTCAGTCTTGCCCGGCCAGGGTGGATGCAATAGGCAGCGATGAAGCGGGTCAACAGTATGGCTCTCATGCTCCATACGCTCGTTGCCATAGTCAAACTCGTCGCCAGGAGTAATATCGTTGTCCGGCGGCTGCGGAGTATGCGGATGGGCTTTCAGACAACTGCCAATGGCGTACGGCAGCTCTGGTTTTTGAGTGTAGAAATTGAATGTAGCGAAATCCGAATCTATGATGCATTGCGGTAGGTATTTGCCATGGCGACGACCAACTTCCTCGTTGTCTAATACGAAGTACTTGAATCCGTCTTCCTGTTCGTGGATTGTTGCTCCATACCCGGGCATGATGGCGGCGAAAACTGATAGAGGGTGGGGAAACCCCACTAGAGACTTCCCTTACTAAAGACACAGAGACGGAAAATGACAGAAAGAAAATATTTACAATCAAGATAGGTGGTATACTTCTGTTTTTGTCAGCGGAATATGGCCATAGAGGTCTTTATTTACTTCGATGTTTAACTTCCATATATGGTTTGAATATAAATGACATCATGACAGGGGTAGGCTTATGTAATCGTTGTGTATCATAACTGCGAGGCGGAATATGCGGACACGGAAGTTCCGATCAGTGCTCTCACGACCGCAAGTTTTGACATGTTCCAACTTAGCTATGGGAATGAGCAAAGCTCGGTCAGAGGGCGGAGAGAGCACATTCACGCCTTCTCTCCACAGTGAAATCCCGCGAGATATGCCGTGTCTGTGTCGGTGTGAAGTTGCTTACAGACTTGCCACCATACCATTGATCTGTCAGAAGCGGATACCAGATATTGCGCCACCAGCCTCGCCGGGAAGGTGTCGTCAGTGAAGACTGCACTTAGTAATGTTGTAGTAATATCGTGAAGCACGTCAATTTAGTCACCTAATTTATTGAATGGATCGGGCATAGCTGTGCCGCAGGTACTCTCTGTGCTTCTCTTCCCGATCGGATCGGAATTCGGCTTCTATAGGAATTTGCGATCGAGTGTAAGTATATATATCCCATCGCATTACCGTTTCTCAAGATATTATCTCTCCAAACACAGAAGTATATTCCATCAAGTCACTTACAATTCATCTCCTCTACCTCTACCAAAGATTTATACCACTTCCACACTCTCACTTCTATCTCAAAATATGGCCCCAGTAAAGGTCATCAAAAACGTCGCCCTCGCCGGCGCAAGCGGTAACCTTGGCCCCGCCGTCCTCAAAGCCCTCTTATCCTCGAACCTCTTCTCTATCACTGTCCTCACGCGCCCCTCCTCTACGCACCAGTTTCCCTCCAATGTCACCGTCCTCCCAGTCGACTACTCGTCATCCGCCTCCCTAACCACGGCCCTCACCGGCCAAGACGCCGTCATTGTCCTCTTCGGCGCAGAGCAAGCGCCCCTCCAGCTCCCCCTCCTCGATGCCGCTATCGCCGCTGGCGTCACCCGTTTCATCCCCTCGGACTTTGGCTCCGACACGCACAACGAGAAAGTCAAGGGCCTTCCCGTCTACGCTAAGAAGATCGAGGTCCAGAATGCGGTTGCGGAGCGCGCGGCGAAGGGTCTGATTGAGTACACGCAGGTCATCAATGGGCCGTTCCTGGATTGGGGGTTTACGAACGGCTTCCTCGCTGACCTGGGGAAGAAGACGGTGCAGCTTATTGATGGCGGGGATACCGTGATCAGCGGGACGACGAGGGATCATATTGGTACGGCGGTGGTGGGCGTGTTGACGCATTTGGAGGAGACGAAGAATCGCGCGGTGTATGTGAAGAACTCCGATATCACGCAGAATGAGGCTGTTGAGATTGGGAAGAAGTTGGTGGGCAGGGAGGGGTGGGTCGAGACGCATGTGAAGAGTGCGGATTTGGAGGCGGAGGCTTGGGCGGATCTGAAGGCGCAGAAGTTTGATGGGGGGCTGTGGATTAAGTTTATTTATAAGGCGATCTTTGGGGATGGGTATGGAGGGAGTTATGAGGGGAAGGATAATGCACTGCTAGGAGTCCCTGCGTTCAGTAAGGAAGACCTGGAGAAGGCTATTAAGGCCGCGGTGGGAGAGAGTGCAGGCCAGTAGGTTTACACGCGGGCAGGTGTGAAACATGGGTTGCTATTGTCTTTCATAGTGGAAAGCTAGATGGATCACTGGAAATTAGACAGGCCTACAATTCACTTGAACGACTCTGATCAACTTCTAGTATTGAGTGACCGTTTTATGTGTTATGCTCTAGCTGTATCTAAAATTATACTCTTTTCCTCAATATATATTCCCATGTACTGTAGTCATGCCTGGTGGGTTCATTCCTTTCACCCCAAAAGAACCCTCAGATTTCAAGTCGGAAACTTAGTATGACCAATCCAACAGGTCTTTCATGAAAGGCGCAAACCACAGACTCATCTACCCGTCTGGCGTTCCGCATACGCCAAATTCTCCGCCTCAGCCCTCATCTCCTCCTTCCACTTCACCAACTGTTTCTCCGGCGTAACAAACACACCCAACACCATACCTCCAAACGCCGCGCCCAGCACAAACAAAACACACCAATACCACCGGGCCCTCAGCCCCCCAAACGCCACAGCCGCAGCCACCACACTCGCACCCCCAAGCCCCCAGTTCTCCACCCGCGCCTCAAAGTTAGGAGCAATATCCGCAACCCCGCCTAGAAAAACCCACGTCCCAAAACTACAAAGAGTAACAATCAACCATCCCACGACGACGAACAGCACAACATCTCCGTCATCATAGAACGTCCTGACACAGACTTCCCCGCTAGCGGTGCGCCAGACGCACCCAGGGCACGTGGTGGTGAGGGTGCGGTTCAGCTCCAAGATGAGGGCCGAGATGGTCTTGAGTGTTTTGCGAATGGCTTTTTGAGGGGTGCGAGGAGTTGAATGGGGAGTGAAACTCTCGAACCAGGTGCTTGCGGAAGGGAGAGGCTTGTAGGCGGGCCAGGGGGTGCGGCAGGGGAGGTCTTTGATGATGGCGAGGAAGATGAGGAGGGAGAGGAAGATGAGGAAGGCGCCGGTGAGGAGTTTGGAGTTTAGGCGTGGGTGGAGGTGTGTGTGAGGGTGAGGGTGAGGGTGAGGGTGTACGTTGTCTTGTGGGCAGTTGATGGTATCTGGTTCTGCCTCGAGGCATTTTGAAGGCAGTAGTTTGGAAGAGGTGAGTAGATGGTGTGCTGGTTCTGTTTATTTTTTCCTTTGGGTGATCGTACTCAGAAATCTTGCAGCTTAGAAAACTTTGGTACTCGGAAAGTGAGCTGTGCATTTGCCACTATATATAGTCAGTACGGCGTTTAAGATGGCGGAACTTCCAGAAGGAAATCGAAGTTCGTTTCGAGGAAGAAGACATTTTTCGGTCGAGAAGGGTGCTTCTTCGGCTACTGGCATGGAATGAAATCTCATGGTCTCATATGGACAAACAAAGATTCAGGAGACATCCACCGAGAAGAGACACCAGCAATCGCTCAGGGTCAGGGGCGAGTACTCAGTCACATATGAGAACTTGCCACCTACAAGTCCTGCTGATGACGGTATTGAACTATAAATACAACTGAGATGTATGAGAACCACTGCGTGCTTCCTCCACCCTGAAGTGCCCGAGATGAGGCACAAGGCTAAATAAAGGCAGACTGAAAAGCGTGACGCCCGTTTATCCCGATACCAGTTTGTCACCTTGAGCAGAACTGTTTGAAAACAATTAGATTACCAAAAATAAATACAGCTTCCGGACTGAGTGACTACTAGAGCGCAAGACAGACTCTAAGTTAAATGGTCCTTCAAGATAGTGCATATTTGGCAAAATAAGGAAGTGAGACATATATAATTTATTCTTGAATATGAATATTTATTTTTTAATGTAATTTTACAAATTTCCATATTTATTTCCATCCCCAAGTAACAATCTCACCGAAGAGCTATTATATAATAACTATATTTGTTCCGGCCCAACCAAAAGTAAGAGTAGAGTAGTTAATTGATATATAGCTATATACTATTACCTACTGTGTCTGCTCGTGCCCGCTTCCGCTTTGGCCTCTCAACTAAAGCTATTTCCGTACGAGTAGTAAGACCTGATAAATTGCCACAGTCGTGGTCATCGTTATGGCAGTGTACACTACACTCCTTTGCTTCCTTATAGCACCGGCACCGCTTTGTACTACACTGCCCCTTACATTGACACGATATTCCAACCCGTACGCTTGTAGAAGCCTCTCTAGCTGCAAGCCCTAGTGTTACTTGCTTTGTAGAAGTAGGAATAATGATATCAGACTATAGAGCTTGCTCTACAACTCCGAGTGATTTTGTAGGTATAAGGCGTTGTATAACACCTAAAGGTGTAAGAATGCGATACCTATGAGGGTAAGGCTCTTCTAGAATGCGTGCATATAACCTCTTATTATTAGTTGAGGTTCTATCCTCTTAAGGAACCTTTATAGAGACTATTGCTCCTATATTAAGTGCTGAATATCATGCTTCTTTGTATACTTCTGCACTATAGAAATCCTTGCTTGTTGAGTGGCTACTATAGCTCTCTCAATTACAGGATCTAGTGTAAGCTGAAGCTCAGTTCTAAGCTAAGCTGGAACTCGAGCCTAGGTCCCACGCCGAAGCTTAATTCCAATTTCTAGCTCAGAGTGTAAGCTCTCAATTGCGAGCTCAATTCCGAGTTCTGGCTCAGAGTAGGAGCTCTCAATTGCAAGCTCAATTCCGAGTTCTGGCTTAGAGTAGGAGCTCCTAATTCTAAGCTCAATTGAGAGCTCTAGCGCCTGGCAGAGCTGTGGGTCAATTAGAGCTTCGGGCTTAAGATCACTCTCAAATATCGGACCCATGGTTGGGTCTTCCTGCTTAACTCTAATTGACAGATCCTTCCGGGCCTGACTGTTAAGCCAGTCAATGTGTGAGCTCCGCTCTCGGAATAGAAGCTCAGCTGGCGCACACCCAATTGTAGAGTGGATTGGGTGTTCATAGCAAGCACTACTTTAAGTAGCCCATTCTTCCATTCTGTAGACCCGTGGTCCATTTTCCATGCCTAGAGCTTATTCTCAACAACTCCATTTGCCTGCTCAACTAGGCCTTACGTTTGTGGTGATCGTAGTGCTCCATTTACCACCTGTATTCCATACTTCTGTAGTAAGAGTAAGAGAGCCCCTTTAAATTCCTTCCCATTATTAGCCTGCATAATCTTTAGAGGTAGGAAAGCTGTAATGAATTGAGCAAAGCACTCTGCAATAGGCTCTGCGTGCTTGCTTTTCAATAGGTATAGCTGTGTATACTTTAAGAAGTGATCCTTTATATGAAGAATCCATTTATACTGCCCTAATAGCTCGTAGCGCATATCAATTAGGTTGATTTAAACTCTCTCCTACGCCCGTCTACTTATAATAGGAACTAATGGAGCTTTTGTAGTATTTAGTCTGTTTAAGGTGCAATTCTTACACCGTTTAAGTATAAACTCAACATCCTCTTGCTTTATTCTATAGAACTGTTGCTCTATAGTAGGCTACACCTTATTCTAGCCTACATGTAGGAGCTTAAGGTGTTCTTGTATGATAATATCAAACACCTCTTCTTTTAGAACTACAATTCTAGGGTGTAGATGCCGTATATCACCTTGCTTATATAGCTTATTATTAATAAGCATAAAGCTAGAGAGTGTGCGTGTCTTAAGGTTTGAGCTCTCTTTATTATATGGTATGTAGGCAGTAGGATTATCAAGTATTGTGTGCATTCGGTGCCATTTTTCGTGTGTAAATTGCTCACGGTTATAGTAGGTAGTACTACTACTCATATAGGCCTCAAAAGCAGTGCGCACATTATGTGGAAATGGATTGATCGAAGCAATAGTAGCCATAATTGCTATAGTTGTAGGTTGTAGGTTATAGATTTGAATTTTCTACGATACTATTCTACACTACTACGTTAGGTTGGGTTGGGTTGGGTTGGGCTCACGGTTGGGCCGGAACATATATGATTTTATATTGTTCTATAAATAGCCATGAAGTCAATTAGTGCCATGCAGCGTAGTGGGTGAGCGATGTCGCCTTCACAATTTTGATAATGCCCTGACAATAATCAGGCTGTCCCGCTCAGTTTCGGATGCGGAGCTGTGGTAGCTCTAGGCTAAACTGCGCCCTTCATCTCTTACCTGCATTGCATGCATGGCTTTCATTTTCCAACTGCATTCCACGATTTTCCATTTTCCAACTGCATTGCATGACTTTTGTTTTCGGCTTTCTCAGACACGTTACAATATCCATACGACACTGCCCTTCATACAGCCCTTCATACGAAAGTCGTTAAGATTTGCAACTTATTTCTACGCCCAGAAATGGGCCAAGGTGTTTTCATATAGATCGTCTTCCGACCGCCGTCTCGCATACAAAAAAAACCTCATCGACTGCCATGCCTTCCAAGGAGGATCCCATTATCATCGTGGGTGCTGGTGTGTTTGGTTTGACATTGGCGCGTGAGCTTTGCCAGCGGGGATACATTCGGGTTTCCGTCCTTGATCGCCATCCACCCCCCGTGCCAGACGGATCCAGTGTTGACCTTTCGCGCATCATCCGCTCCGACTATGCTGATGCGCAGTATATGAAAATGGCGGATGAGGCTGTAGCCGGCTGGAAATCCGAGTATTCGCGATATTACCATGAGAGTGGAATTCTCATTATCTCGGATGAGGGCGGGCATTCCTATCTGGAAAAAGCAAAAGAGCAGGTCCAGTCACAAGGCGGGAAAATCAATATCTTTGATAATGCGTCACGCATTCGAGACGCCCATTGCGAGTTCACAAGCGGGACGCTACGAAACTGTGAAGGATATCTGAACCCACGTGGCGGCTGGGCTGACAGCGCTGGAGCGGTGCGTCACCTAGCATCGCAGTGCTCGGCTTTAGGCGCCTCATTTGTTACTGGTATTCGCGGCTCAGTTGATTCTTTTGTTCTAGATGGCACGCGTGTTGTTGGCGTGAATGTAAAGGAAGGCCCTCCATTGCTCGCAGAGCATGTGGTTTTAGCCACAGGGGCATGGACATCTCGACTTATAGATATTACCTCAAATGCTGTCAGCACTGCTCAGCCTGTGGGCTTCACCCAACTCACTGCTGATGAAGCCGATATGCTTCGCAGAATGCCTATCGCTCTCGATCTTGCCAGTGGTTTCTTTGTCTTTCCTCCTACGCCAAGTTCGAATATTCTGAAATGTGCTCGGCATGGGTATGGCTATGAGACTCGCATCTCAATGACCACGCCTACAGGTGAGCAGCAACAGGTCTCAGCTCCAAGGCTTGATGGCGATGGTACTAGAGCTTTATTCTTGCCAGAGGATGCTGAAGTCTCACTTCGGGAAGGATTACGGCGTTTTTTCTCGTCATCAATCTCAGAGAGACCCTTTGTTAAGAAACACCTGTGTTGGTACACAGACACTCCCAAGGGTGACTTCATTGTTGATCATTATCCCCATCTCCAGAACCTCTTCTTGGCGACTGGCGGCAGCGGACAGTAAGCAACACTTTTGATCCGAATATGGTCTAGATTGCATGGTGCATGAATGGCGAACTAACATCTCTACCAGCGCATTTAAATTTCTACCTATTTTAGGAACCTACACCTGTGATGTGTTCGAAGGGTTAGCCCCACAGTCTCTCAGTCAGAAGTGGGCATGCAGAGCTGACGACACGGATGTCTTGATGCACGGCGATGGCAGTAGAGGAGGTCCGCCAAGACGGCACCTACAAGATTGGGAACAACTTGAATTTTTAGGCATATCATAACTCTATATAGTAGGTGGCTGAGCTAGATAAAAACGAAAAGCTAAGACAAAAATATATATTAAAACCAAAAACCAAAAAGCATATAACAGTAGTAGTAGAAACGAAAAGCTAAGATGAGAAATATAAAATTGAACAAGAAACAAAACGCTAAGAAAATGGCATAAAGGTAATTAGTCTTTTTTCACTCCGACTCTTCCCATCCGCCTTAGTCCAAATACTCCTATTACACACGCAAGTCCCATATACGCAAATGCCGCCCAGAAGCTGGCTCGATATCCAGCTAACAGGTCCTCCTCCCTACCTTTCCCCTGATCTCCCTTGCTATTTGTCACCGAAGTAGCAACCATCGCTAGCAATGTAAGTCCAAGACTGGCTCCAAACTGCGCGACGGTGCTAAACACGGCACCGGCAAGTGCTTGCGTGTGCGCTGGAAACCCCTCCGATACAGCCAGAAGGCCGATGGTAAACATTATGGCACAGGACAGCGGCGCGAGGAGCTGCGCGAAGAAGGCCGCATACCAGTAAGGCCACTGTGCAGATGTGACCGCCATGAGGAGTGGGGAGCCGGCGCTAAGGATCAGGGCGAGTAAAATGATGTGATATGGGCTTAAGCGGTGGATGAGGATGCCGGTTGAGAGTTGAGTGATAAAACCAACTATTAGAGAGGGCAAAATGCGCAAAGACGCTCCGAGGGCAGATGTGTGTTGGATTTCTTGGAAGCTTGGGGTGATTGTTATAATGTGAAACTTTCGGGGGAAGAGAAGTGAACAGGAGTGGAACATACAAGAGCGAACAGAAGACTTCCATTGAGTTGGCGAGAGCATTCGAGAACAAGACTGTGAGGCAGACGCTCGTAAAAACCGTATTTTTCCATAGCGAGTTCGGGATAAGGGCTGGGAGGTTGAGGCGTTCACGGCGAGCTTCCCAAAAGATGAAAGCTGGGACGAGACCAATGCTAATTAGCAATAGGACAATATTTGTAGGTTGGCGGATATTGGAGACGGCACCCGTTAGTGTCCTACATGATGGTGAGCACAGTGAATCGACCTAGATATACAATAAGACAGAGAGACACTAACGCGAGGATATAAGAGAAGAGCACTAGACATGTCGATGCCATTAATGCCCCAAGCCAGTCGATCTCCCTCTTGAGTTTGGTAAACACAGATCCAATAATCATTGCATCGCGCGGCAAAATCCATAAACTGGTTATGAAGAGCGCCAGGGAGAGGCCGCCACTTAAGTAGTATAAGAAACGCCAGCCCATTATGTCTAAGACCGCACCTTCGAGTACCAGACCGAGGGAAAAGCCAATCGGCTGGACGAACCCTAAACACGAGAAGCCAATGTTACGCTTCCGGCCACTAGGTGCCACCTTTGCAACAATAGCAACGGACGTGGGCAGACAGAGTGAAAGAGCAATGCCCTGCATCGCACGAAACATAATGAACTCAATACCAGTCCGGGCAAGACCACATGCAATGATAAAGATTCCAGTAAGCAAGCAGCCTGCTAGATTGATGCGCCTAGGTCCAACGACATCTGCGATGGAGCCTGCAAGGAGAAGGCAGGTACTGCTCGTTAAGCTGCCTATAGTTAGTCCTTAAAGCATCATTCAGCAGCTAGAACAAAGAGACTTACTAGTATACCGCGGATGGCCAGACCATTAGATGTTCTGGAAGGGAGAGTTCAGATGATATTCGTGGGAGACCAATCGTGATAAATCCGTTGGTCAAACTACTCAAGAAGTTGACGCCTGTGAGAACTGCGATTATGACAACAATGCGCCCTTGTTTCGGCCCTCCATCTTCTATGTCGAACGGTGCAGGTATAGGACTTTCTGGTACTAATTGCACGTTTTCTATAGAACGAGATCCTGCGTGCTCTGGGCTAGACACAGAAGGCAAGCTCACTGCTGGCGACGGTGACGGGCCATGACTCTTGGTTGGTAAAATCTCAACAGAGGACAAAAGGTCTAACATGATGACTTTGACAGAGACTATTATCCAACACGAAAAAAAAATGAAGCATGTACTGTAAAGTTGGACTCTATGTATCTAGGAAATCTCAACGGTGAGCTAATTCAAACTTCCCGCATGACTTGTACGTAAATGAACCCCTCATCAGTACTGGGGCCGGAGCCCAGAACTCCGGCTGGTGTAGGTCCGGCATATATGAAATACGTAGGGCCAGGAGGTAACTCGATAGTTCAGTTGAGTCTATTATACTATATATGGTTCTATATACTGTACGCTGAAACCCCGATTCCGCCTATGCCACTTTCGTGTTCCAAAGTGATAAATCGTTGTTCGATCTGCAATCACGTGCCTTTGTAAAATTTAATCACCGTTTTCTGCCCATTAACTTAACCGCTTGTGGTGTGATGTGGCACCTCACATGGCTCACATATGGCGGATCATGGAAAATAAGAGCAAGGCACCACCTGAACAAGGTACATAAGGTAATATGAAAAGAGCCTATAGTATAACCGTGAGGGTGATATCGTCGTCGGCCACCTTTGTTGGAGCAATCCTCTCAGCTACTACTCATATGATAATCGACCTCTAGTTGCATATATCACGTGCTGATAAGGAGTAAACGTCCCGCAATTGCAAGCTCCAAGCAAGTGCATGTTCATCAGACAACAGCCTCAGAACCATTGCGCAAAACAGCCTCACAATCCCTCCTAGCATCTTCCAATATGAGTTCCAAGATTGAGAAAATCATCACTCGGCTACAATCGAAGTATGCCATGCCTGTCTTTCCGTCAACTATAAACCCAACTAACGGTGACAAGGATTACTGAAGGCCAGTTCTACGAAGCTCAGCAGCAGACCCGCGTCGTTGCGTCTCGGTATATCAAGGCCAAGGACTGGCCCGCCGCCATTGATATTTTATATAATGTTGCCTCTTCACTCCTGAAGGCGGAGCAAGGCGGCTCAGGGGGTGACCTCAGCATCTTCCTCGTCGATGTCTACAAGCAAGCCGAGCTCGCGCCCGACGCAGCCAACAAGGGCAAGCTGCTCACTCTCCTACGACTCTTCGACCCAGAGGAGCCAACGAGGAAGAAGTTCATAACCGAGATGATTGGGTATGCCCAACCCCCTACCCCCCATCCCCATTGAAATCGCAAGCTAACACCACCCAGCTGGTCCGCCAAATTCGGCTCCTACCCCGCCGGCGAACCCGAACTCCACCACGTCACCGGCTCCCTCTACGCCTCCGAACACGACGTCTACGATGCAGAACGCCACCTCCTCCTCGGCACGAAAGACTCGCCTCCCCTCCTTGCAAACCTGGAGTACGACTGGTACGCCACCGACGACTCCCACACAGCCGCTACCTACGCCGCGCGCGCTGTCCTCCCCTACCTCCTCCTCGGCAACGTGCGCGACGCCTCCACCGCCCTCCAACTCTTCACCGCACGCCTCGCATCCTCGAACCCCTCCCTAGCCGTGCAGGACGTCAAGGCGTCAAAATCGGGGACAAAAGTCTACCCCTCCCTTCCTCTACTCAACTTCCTCACTCTCCTCGTGGCGGCGGTGGAGAAGGGCGCGGCGGATCTGTTTAGACAGTTGAAGATGCATTATGCGTTGCTTATCAAGGAGGCGACGGGGTGGGATGAGGCGCTGGAGAGTATTGCAGAGATGTACTTTGGGATTGCGAGGCCAAGACAGGGGAACCCGCTATTTGATATGATGGGGAGCATGTTTGGGGCGCCGCAGGCGCCGAAGAAACAGCCGAAGAGGGTAGGTGCGGCGTCCGGTGCGCCAGCGGCGGAGGGATTAGATTAGATGGTCGTGTAGAGATGATACCAATGCAACACGTTTAGAATGTCTGTATGCGCTGGTAGCTGAAGCTTGGTGGCTAGTAGCTGGGTATCTTCAAACGCCATGTCCCTTTTCCATTTTCCTATCCTTCCATCATTTTCAAACAGCAATCTATGAGCAGTTCCTCCCATCACCGCAATCCCACCTCCTCGCTCTCAGCCTCATACATCCAATCATCCTCCGCCAGCTGCGCGACCTTCCCCCTCAACACCCCCCGCACAGCCTCCAGTAGTTCTGCCGGCTCGCTCGGCGCCCGATTCCGATCCCGTAAATGATGCTTCACTGCATCTGCGACTCTCTGTCTTTCTTCTACACCAACAAATTAGCACTCTGCATTTTACCTCCCCTTCCCAGGAAAAACTCACTCTCCCCCCCTTCTCCCCCTTCCTCCTCCTCACCCCCCTCCTCCTCCCCCCTCCCCTCAAGCAACATCCCCACCGGATCCCCCACCTCAAACTCCCCACTCGCATCCCTCACCACTATCCCCCCTCCCCCTCCCCCCCCAGTAGATAAATCAAACCCCCCACCACTCCCCAACACCAACGTCGAACCACTCGTCACCGACGCGCTGGCCGATGTACTCCTCGACAACGCCGGCGGGGCGCGCACAGGATCCCCGCTGCGCGAGGTGGGCGGGCGCCGCGAGAGTTGTGCTTGGAAGAGGTTGCGCCGGACGGGGCGGGGGTCGGCGGCTGCGCCGGGGGCGGAGGTGGTGGGGGGGGTGGTGTGGGAGGGGTGGGAGTGGAGGCCGCGGGGGCGTTGGGAGGCCATTGGTGTGATGCGTGGGTGGTGGTGTGCGGAGATGGCGCGCAGTAGAGAAAGTAGTTTTGTGATGCCTGTGGATGGTGTATGGTATGGTGGTTGTGTCGCGGGTGGGATAGGATAGGTATATGTGTGTGTCTCTTTTTTTGATTCTATGGCGCAGCCATTTTAGGTGTCTTGAGGTGTTAGGGGATATTTCTGTTGTGGATGAAATATTATTGTTGTTCGAGATGAGGGGAGGGACAGACAGATGCACGATCGATAACGGCGGGATGTGGGGTCACTACCTGCAGCTCAAGCTCCTAGCGTCCGTTCCATCGACAAGGCTGTCCCGCCAGCCTCCTCACCTCTCTTCCCAATCCAGCTTTCGCAATCGCAATTCTCCCACTTTTTTTTGTACAACTCCCAATGTAACAACCTCCCATTCACCCTTTAACAATGGACACCCCCACAGCCACCCTCCCCATCCACCCCCCCCACAACTGGTCCGGCCCTAGCGCCCCCATGAAGCGCCCCAAAGAAATCGCCTGCTTCTCCTACACCCCCTCCCACGAATACCGCCCCGACGCCTCGGGATTGCGGTACTACTACCCCCCCCGGCTCGGCGCAGATCTGTGTAAGGGGTTTGAGACGTTTGAGAAGCTAGATGAGAGCCAGGATGACCATTTAGACAGTTTGTTGAAGACGATTGTGGGGGTGGAGAGGGAGAGGGGGGGGAAGGTGGAGGTGGATGTTGTGACGTGGAGGGGGATGATGACGAAGTTGTTGGCATGTCCTTTTGAGGATCGGGATGGGTGAGTGGTGTTCTGTGATGTGGGGGGAGGGGAAAGGCTGATTGTTGGTGCGTGTGGTGTGTAGGTTTGAGATGAATGCTACGTTTTACCAAGTTAGTAGTCCTTGATCTCTGTTGTTTGGGTGGTAGCTAACGATTATAAAGGGCACGATGTATGAACCACGACCTCTCGTTCTTATTCGAATTCTAACGCGCACAGATTCATTGAAGAAAACCACGAATACAAAGTCCAAAGACAAGCGCGACAGAGCAGGTTTCAAACAGCCCCCGGCCGACCAAGTCAAGACATGATGTCGTACTGGGGTATGCTTACCCCCCCTCTCCCATCTATCATCGAGAAACACAATACTCACCACCCACCCACAGGCTATAAATTCGAAACCCTCTCCCTCCTCCCCGACACCTGGGACGCCACGTCCCGCGAGTACATCGAAGGGCGGGAAGACCAAATCGTCAATAACGCCGCGCAATACTGTTCCGTGGTGCAAACCGGTATTGGCGACACCTCCCTCATCATCGGCGGAGAGGTAGACGCAAGTACGTCCCCCGCTCCTCCCCCCCTTCCCCTCCCTCACCTCCTTCCCCCCACCTCCAACCAGACACCTAAGCTAACCCCCCCTCCCAGTCTGGGATTCCAAACCCCCCCCCCCAACCAGCTCCACCAACTTCGTCGAACTAAAAACCTCACTCGACCCCAGCTCCCCCCGGGACCTCCAAACATTCGAGCGCAAACTCCTAAAATTCTGGCTCCAATCCTTCCTTTTAGGCGTCCCAAAGATAATCGTCGGATTCCGGTCTGCCAACGGAATACTCAGACGACTGGAGGAGTTGGAGACGGCTAAGATTCCGGGGATTGTGAAGAAGAGGGGGGGGTGGGATGGGAATGTTGCGGTGAATTTTGGGGCGGGGGTGCTGAGTTTCTTGAGAGAGACGGTGGTTAGTGAGGGGGTTTGGAGGATTAGGAGGAAGGAAAAGAGTGGGGTGGTTGAGTGTTGGAAGGTTGAGGAGGTGGGACATGGGGAGATTTTGTCGGAGGAATTCATTAATTGGAGGATTAAGCTTGCGTTGGGGCCGGAGGGGGAGGTGAACGGGGAGAGCGAGGCACCGAGCGAGGAGCAGGAGGGCGGGGAGGCGTAGGCATGGAGACAGGGAGGGAGGGTGGTGTATCAATATATTGGTAGTGAAGTTATCGGTATAAACGGTCTGTTTATATGATGTTGTGTATTCTTGTATATATATATATTCTTATAACCACGGGCGGTGTATCATTCATTATATCGGAAGTCAAGTTATCGGGATAAACGGTCTGTTTGTAAGAAGTTGCGAATACTATGTATATATATATATTTTATTACAACCAAAGCGGATGACTTTCCCATTTGTACAATTTTTCGTCATTTCATCTCCACCCATTACGTCTCGCGCACCGCGCATATAGACTTCCCTTCGCCCTCTTATTAAATATACAAAACGCCATCCGCACCACGACATCTATGTCACTCTCCACCACCATCATCTCTCCCGGACTCCATCCAGTCCCAGCAACCCCCTCCATCGTCGTCATCTCTTCAAATCTTCTTCTTCGTCTCTCCCCCGCCATAACTCCTATCATCTACCCCCTCCACCTCCCCCTGAATCCTCTCCATCTCCTTAACCTGCCTCTCCCACTCCTTAGCCCCCATCTTGCTCTCCTTCGAGAACAACTCCGGGTTCGGCTTCCTATAGCTCCCCCCCACGCGATCCCACAGCGTAAAGTACTGTCCGTAGTTATAGTTAAAGTACAAATGATGCATCGTATGACACGCCGCTCCATTAATCACCGGCGACTGCGTCACGAACTCCCCGTCGTGGATGAGGATCGTCCACATATTGATGAAGATGAACAGGCCCACATACGCGACCTTTTGAAGCGGGAAGATGAACGGGAACACATGGTACGGAATCGACTGCGCGAACCCATCGAGCGGGTGAAACGCATGCGACGCGAATGGCGTGGGCATAATCCACTTATGATGGGGTTTATGCAGCGTCTTATAGATGGCCGGGTGATGCAATCCGCGATGAATGAGATAAATAAAAAAATCCGTAAAGAAGAGAAACGCAGGGAACTGGAGGAAATTGTACCACGCCCCCGGCCCCTCGGCCGTGGTGTCGTAGAGCTTGGAGTAGCCGCGGCATTCGGCGACGAAGCAGGCGGCGGTCAAGAGGGACATGACGGGCATGGCGGTGTTGGCTTGGGTCATCTCGAGGCGGACTTGGTTTTTGAGGAATTTGGGGTGCGAGAAGGTCGCGTGGTCGAAGAGGAAGTAGTAGGATGCTGTGGCGACGATGAAGTAGAGGGCTAGGCCGAAGATCCTGGGGGAGGGGGTTAGCAGTTGCTGGCTGGCTGGGTGTGGTTTAGGGGGTGGTGGGGGATGAGGTTGAGGGTGGTGGAGGGTGGTGGAGGAGTGAAGCATACCAGGTAATCGCAAACAAAGAAATAAACTGCCTCCAAATATAATCACGCGGCCAAGCACTCATATACGCCGCCGCGCTCGGTGCGAAATTGAGATACGTGCTCGCGGGCTCATAGATCCACGTCGAAGCCAAAGTATCGAGAGTCTGGTTCTTCAGCCCGCTACCGGCGAGGTCGAAGGGCGCCGGGCCGGCGGGGAGGAGGTACGCGTATGCATAGTCGAGGGCGAAGGTGTCGACGACTTCGAGGACGATGTCCATGGCTGCTGCGGTGCCGGAAGCCGGAAGGTTGTTGGTTTTGAGGAAAGGAGAGCGCCGAGGCGGCTGGTGGATGGCGGATCAGTAGAGGAACGCCAACCCAATGGGTCTTCTTAAAAGAAAATAGGATGCCGGAGTGCTGTCTTCGTGTGTAGTGAAGATGGTGGTCTTTTGTCGGTGGTGATGGAGGAAGGAAGAGGAGGTGGAAGGAGAGAGGGGGGGAGGGCCTGGTTAATATGAAAGATTGTTGTACGAATACGGAATCGGATTGAGATGACCCCCTGTCGCGTCGAGTGGAGTGGAGTGTGTGTCCCTCGTTTTTTGGTTATCTAATCAATCGATCTCTGGGATTTTTCGTACTCGGGTTGGGAGGTGGCGTGACTTGATGAGGGAGAGGGTAGGGGTGGGTAGACGGGAATGGATAGCCGGTCACGTGTGGGATATTAGGATATGGGGAGATATTTTAGTAGGGGTGTCTGTCACGTGAATGAGTCCAAGATATGTCGTTAATCGTAGTCTATTATAGTCAGGTGGCACTGCTAGAAGTCCGTTAGTCCACCTTTGTCAGTAAAGCAACCCAGCCACCCTTACATAAGCCCTGAGTAATTCATGCGTGACATACATACCCACCGCCGGACGTCTGTACACAAACAAACAAACACAAACACACACACACACACACGGAACCAACCTTGACCCCTGCATCTCACTGTACACGGCCCTAACACCCAACCCGGCCTAGCCTCCTCAAGCAAAACTAGCTTTGCATACAGTATTACAGTATGCTCCGACGCCCCCAGGCTAGTACGAATATAGTACACACCACCAACGCCCCCCCCTCGGACCCACTTACTCCCCTCGCACACGTCCTTTTTTTTTTGCCTTTTTTCCCTTTTCCCTTCCGCTGGTTGTGGGTTAGGGGAGTTTAGAGCAGAAGATGGGTGTAAATGTATGTAACTTCCACCATCCTTGTCGGTACGGGTGGTACGGGGGGGTAGTGTATGGTGTACCTTCACAGTTTTTGCCTGGGGAGGGAAAACGGGGGTCAAACGGCGGGTAGAGGGAGGGATGTGTTGTGTGTGTATTCTACTGCTATACTATTTTCTATACAGTACCACACACGTACAACACGCAGTGCGGAGTACAGTAGTATAATAGTAGAGTAGCAGAGATCGTATAGTATTGTTACTGTTGGTATGCACGGTGCACCACCCACAACCATGAAAGTTACTACTACACCAGTCGGCGGTACTGCTCCTAATAACTAACACCCATACTAACACGTACAGTATGCTAACGCCCATACTAACACCCATGCCGATATACTCCCGTAATACTGCCATCGTACTCATACTGTAAATTGTACTGTGTTATGGCACTCTATCCTATATTTACTATTACTGTATTTACTGTAGTTAGACCATGTACTCCTACTCCTTGTACCACAAAACCCAACATCTATAGTAGACTGTTATTAGGTCGTCCTGGGTCTTGCTAGTAGTGCTAGTAGTGGTAGAGTCGTCCTTTCGTCCTGGGTCCTAGTGGTACTCCTCCTACTACTCCTACTACTCCTACTACTCCTACTACTCCTACTACTCCCACTACTCTCACTACTCTCACTACTCCCTCCCACTACTCCCACTCCCACTCGTAACTCCCCCTAACTCCCACTAGCCCATTCAGTCCTAGCGTGCGCCCGCTCCCACAACCCACACCCACCTTCCCACACCCCCCCCAGTCCCGTAATTGTTAGTCTCTCTTTCTCCGTCTCTCTCTTCCCTCCCTCCCTCGCTCTGCACACTAAGAGTATCTTGGGTCTGTCCGTTTCTAAACCTCTTCTCTCTCTCTCTCCACCTTTCTCAACTCTTCCAAACTACCCCAACAACTTACTCCATCTCACTTCACTACTCTCTCGTCCGCTTCCATCACCAAAAAAGCTTGCGCCCGATTATATCAGGCCTCACTCAAACATCTCCCATCACTCATCTGTGTTTCGCCCGTGGGGGCTTAGTTTAGCTGCGGTTGCTGTGTTGTCGCGAGGCAACGCTTGAGACCGCGCGAGTTCTCAGCCTCATTCCACCCACTGTTGTGACGTCCGCGTTTGACTCCACACCCGACCACATCACACTCTGTCGCCGACCCTGAACACTCAATCGACATCTCCACCAAAGGTTAAAAGTCGCCTTTTAACTTTCGATACTTCTGTGTTTGGCGCGCTATCACCGGCTCACCAGAAATCACGCTTCCGTCCACACCTCTCCTGATCGCCTTTCGCCTTCCGCAACAAACTCCCATCTACATGCGATAGCGACAGCACCACCTGCCACGAAACATCCAGCGCCGTCATCTCGACGTCGTTCACACCACACTCAACAGTTCGATAACTAGCCTCCAGCTTCCAACAGCCCTGGGGTGAAGCCTTTCGACGATAATCATAATGTCAGGAATGTATAATGCGCATCGGGGAATGGGCCCTGCGCCTGGAAACCCGCGCTTGAATGAGCTCCTCGATCAGGTTCGCGCCGAGTTTGAGACTCAGGCGAGAGCGAGTGGAGAGTATGAACACTCCAGTAAGTTTTTATCAAAAGTCGCGCGCGCGCGCGCGACTGATCCTGCCTTTGAAATGGCGCTGACCATACCTCCCCTCAGTCGGGCAGCAGTTACAGGAGATGCAAATGGTCCGCGAAAAAGTCTATCAAATGGAACAGACCCACATGGCCTTAAAACAGAAGTAAGTTGCTTGATCGCGTCCAGACAAATTTTGTGTATTGACAGCGCCTAGGTACGACGAAGAGATCGCTCGCCTGCACAGAGAACTTGAAGCCCGCGGCGGTCCTTCCGTGTCAAGAACTGGCGGACCACCCCAACACGTTGGGCCAACTCAGGCACCACCGCCTTCAATCGGCCATGGCCCAAGCAACCTTTTCGGAGGCATCATGGCCGGCCAAGGCCAAGCTGGCCCAGGCCTCCCACCTCAGCCCACACCACAGGACCAGGGACCTCCACAACACCAGATGCCACAGCCACCAGGACTCCAACAAGGTCCTCCGCCACCCGCACAAGGTCCATTCCAGCCAGCTGGCCAGTATGGTCCTCCCCCGGTGCAAAATGGCTACCCCTCCCAGGGTCCTCCACCTGCGTCACCAGGAACGATCGCCAAGCGTGGCCCAGCCAGAGGCCCCGGTGCCCCAGCGACGCCAAACCTTGGACCCCAGCATCACGAGCAGAGACCAGGTCCCATCCCAGGGCCGTCTTACAACTCGCACATTGCTAATGTCGGAAATGCACTGGCAGAGCTGGACCTCGAGCGCCTCCCAGACCACCAGAAGAAGGTCGAGTCGGATTGGTTCGCCATCTTCAACCCTCAGGTTCCAAGGGTTCTTGACGTTGATCTGCTCCACACTCTGCAGCACGAGAGCGTCGTCTGCTGCGTTCGCTTCAGCCACGATGGCAAGTATGTAGCCACTGGCTGCAACAGATCCGCTCAAATCTTCGATGTCCACAGCGGACAGAAGGTCTGCGTTCTTCAGGACGATTCAGCCGACTCGGCTGGAGACTTGTACATCAGAAGTGTCTGCTTCAGCCCCGACGGCAAGTACCTCGCGACAGGTGCCGAGGACAAGCTGATCCGCGTTTGGGACATTGCCTCGCGCAAGATCCGCAACACATTCGCCGGTCACGAGCAGGACATCTACTCCCTCGACTTCGCCAAGGATGGCCGCACCATCGCATCCGGAAGTGGTGACCGTACCGTCCGCCTGTGGGATATCGAGACCGGCAACCACATCATGTCTCTCAGCATTGAGGATGGTGTTACTACTGTTGCTATCTCCCCTGATACCCGCTACGTCGCTGCTGGATCCCTCGACAAGAGCGTCAGGGTCTGGGATATCGCCACTGGATATCTCGTCGAGCGCCTCGAGGGTCCGGATGGACACAAGGATTCCGTCTACTCGGTCGCTTTCGCGCCTAATGGCAAGGATCTCGTCTCTGGTTCTTTGGACAGGACCATCAAGATGTGGGAGCTGATGGCCCCACGTGGAGGACACCCCAACACCGGACCAAAGGGTGGAAGGTGCATCAAGACCTACGAGGGACACAAGGTAAGAAATATCACCATTCAGCTTCTTTATTGTATATATATGCTAACATTCTCTAGGACTTCGTCCTCAGTGTCGCCCTCACCCCAGACGGAGCCTGGGTCCTCTCCGGCTCCAAGGACCGCGGCGTCCAATTCTGGGACCCCCGCACCGGCAGCACCCAGCTCATGCTTCAGGGCCACAAGAACTCGGTCATCTCCGTCGCGCCCAGCCCCGCCCCGGGCGGCTTCTTTGCCACCGGCTCCGGCGACATGCGCGCGCGCATCTGGTGCTACAAGAACATCGCGCCGCAGTAGATGTAGGTCTCCACGAACTTTTGTCAAGCAAACAAGTGTGGTTCAGGACTGGCTGCTGAGGCGGGGGCGGAGGAACAAGGTCGGACGAACGAAGCTTTGGATGACTTTGAGAAATACGATGCTATGTACGGACAGTGTGGTGTTGAGTTTTTATTATTTTTTGTTTCGCGGAGTACAATGGGTTTTCTGGGTGCTTTGGTTCCGGGGGGGGCAAGTCGTCGTCGGTCGTCGGTCGGTCGGTCGGTTGGTAGGAGGATGGGGAGAAGGAGAGGATAGAGAGTTTGAGTACGATGTTGATGTTGATGTGTTGGAGTGAGGATGAAAGGGGGGGGCGACGACATCGTGTTTTTTTTTATTGAATGCAAATGCAGATGCATCCGGCATTACCGCTACAGTGGGGGGAGGGGGGGGTTAAAGCCACCTCTGGAATTTTGGGGGAGGGGAAGGGGGAGGGGGAGGAAGGGCATTGAGGGGGAAAGGGTTGAGGGGAGCAAAGAGTTAAATTAAAATTCATGATCAGGCCGCTACTGTAGAGAAATATGAGATTCTATTCTTCCTTTGGATTTGAATTGTATGTATACGTGTGGGGTAGATAAAGTGATAAAAGGAGACAAAGTTATAAAGTCAACAGGACGCTGAAGAGGAACTGCAACCATCTCCTCACGTGACCCCTTATCTTCTTCCTCCCCCAAAAACCTGATAAGTTCGCGTAGCTTCGCTTGGCTTCCAGCATTTTCGGAGGAAGACGACCCAAGAAAGCCCAGACGTCACCGGTGCGTGGTGCACGGCACGGGATTCTTGAAATAGCGGGGGAAGGGTGGTTATCTGACAGGCCACCCGCCCGCAACCAAGGTATAATATACCTCCTCCCATATATAAATCGGGCAGCAATTGAAAGCAACCACCATCACGCATGACGATTTTTTTTTTGCTGTGAGATTTACACGCACAACCATTGACTCACTCTTTTATACATCCTCTTCTGCGCTCTTTGACGAATCGCTAGAAGGGAGAGATTTGTTTAGAGAAAGAACATTCGCTGTTGCGTTTCTCAGTTTGGGGGACTTATCGATTACGTACGGACGGGCTAGGTTGACGACCACGAACGACCCTTTGAGACCCTGACGAAGGGATAGACAAACGCGCAGGATCGGAAATCGAGAAGATGGTGGCGGAGACGAAGTTGTACTCGGCGCTGGGGATTAAGCCTGAGGCGACGCAGGATGAGATTAAGAAGGCGTATCGGTAGGTCGTCATGAGTTACCCCTCCTCCTCCCCCTCCATCACCATCAGCACTTCCAGCCTCAACCTCAACTCCCAAAAAACCACCCCATTCTCAACTCCCGAACTACCCCATTCCCAACCCCTCTCCCGCCGTCAACCCCTCCCTTCTCCCCAGCACAAAACAAACAGACGACACACAAGCTAACCATCCCGCAACAGCAAATCAGCAATGAAACACCACCCCGACAAAAACCCAAACAACCCCCAAGCCTCGGAGAAATTCAAAGAAGTCTCCCAAGCCTACGAAATCCTCTCCGACCCCGAAAAGCGCAAGACCTACGACCAATACGGTCTCGAGTTCCTTCTCCGCGGCGGTCCTCCACCGCCAGAGCCGGGCGAGGGTCCTCAGTATGCTGGTGCGGGCGCGGGTGGCATGCCCGGCGGTTTCGGCGGGATGGGTGGAATGCCCGGAGGGGGAGGGGCGAGGACTTTCCATTTTTCGACTGGGGGAGGCGGAGGGGCGGGAGGTGGCGCATTCCATTTTAATAATCCGCAGAGTATTTTTGAGGAGTTTCTGCGACAGAGTGGCGGGGGAGGTATGGGCGGCGGGGGAGGAGGGATGGAAGGAATGGACGACCTCTTCGGTAGTTCCTTCGGCGGCCCCAGCGGCGGGGGCGGCATGCCACGCACACGCACCAAACCCGGCAGCGGCCCGCAAGCCGCGCGCCGCCAGGCTGTCGAGCCCGAAGTCACGGTCGTCGAGCGACCGTTGCCGATATCCCTCGAGGATCTGTTTAAGGGGACGCATAAGAAGATGAAGTTCCAGCAGAAGACGTTTGATGCGGACGGGAAGAGAACGACGAAGGATAGGATTTTGGAGATGGATATTAAGCCCGGGTTGAAGAAGGGGAGTAAGATTAAGTTTCAGGGGGTGGGGGATCAGGAGGAGGGGGGGAGGCAGGATTTGCATTTTATTGTTGAGGAGGTGAGCGAGACTTCCCATTTTCTTGCTTCTCTTTTTTTATTTTTTCTTCCCTTCCCTTCCCATTCTCATATTCCATTCCATTGTACTACGTATAGAACACAGCAGCTAACGGACTGAAACCAGAAAAACCACCCCCTCTTCACCCGCGAAGGCGACGACATAGTCCTCCCCCTCGAACTCGACCTCAAAGAAGCCCTCACAGGCTGGAAACGCACCGTCACCACCATCGACGGCAAGAACCTCGTCATCGACAAAGGCGGCCCGACGCAGCCGGGTAGCAACGATACGTACCCTGATCTGGGGATGCCGAAGAAGGGGGGCGGGAGGGGGAACTTCGTGGTCAGATATAATGTTAAATTTCCGGGAACGTTGACGGGGGAGCAGAAGAAGAAGTTGAAGGAGATTTTGTAGGTGTGGTGAGGGGATGGGGGAGGGGGAGGGGGCGTTTGTGTGTGTGTTTTTTGGTTGGAGGTATTTGTCGGGGAGTGGTTGGTATGTTTGTATATAGACGCATTATGAACATCAATGAAACAGTTAGTTATTTTACAAAATTTAACCATAACACACTTGGTCGGGTGACTGCTGGGGTCAACCTCAACTCAAAACGACCATCTGATAATACAATCTTCAACCAGGCATACAGAAAGGAAAACATGAACCCAGGCAGCCAGCTCGTTGAGTATATACGACCTATTCTATTCAAACATTATAGTCACTCAACGCTTCTATTTCTGAAAATGCAAGGATCTGCAACTATAGGGATGACCTCCTTTTTAACACCTGTCTCATTTTCCAATCCACATGCCTGCCTGCCTGCCTGCCAACCCACCCACCATAACTTCTCTACCACCCCCTTCCAGCCATCTTCTCGCTCTCGGGCATCTTATCAACATTAATCCCCACCATCGCCTCACCCAAATCCTCACTGATCTCCGCCAAGATCTTCGCATCCTTAAAGTGCGTAACCGCCTGCACAATAGCCTTCGCCCTCTTCGCCGCATCCCCCGACTTGAAGATACCCGACCCGACAAACACACCATCACAACCCAACTGCATCATCAGCGCCGCATCCGCCGGTGTCGCCACACCTCCCGCCGCAAAGTTAACCACAGGCAGACGACCCAACTTAGCCGTCTCCTTAAGCAGCTCAAACGGCGCAGCAATCTCCTTCGCCAGAACACGCAGCTCGGTATCCGACATGCGCGAGGCGTGCGCGATCTCCGCGTTGACGGTGCGCATGTGGCGGACGGCCTCGACGACGTCACCGGTGCCGGCCTCGCCCTTGGTGCGGATCATGGCTGCGCCCTCGCTGATGCGGCGGAGGGCTTCGCCCAGGTTGCGGCACCCGCACACGAAGGGGACGGTGAAGGGGTGCTTCTCGACGTGGTGGGCGTGGTCGGCGGGGGTGAGGACTTCGGACTCGTCGATGTAGTCGACGCCGATGGCTTCGAGGATCTGGAAAGGTGCGGGGTTAGCGGGGTATGGTCGGTGGCATGGTGGGGTGAGGGGAGCGACGGGGAGTGAAGGGGGGGGCTAATGGGAGCGTACCTGACACTCAACGAAGTGACCGATGCGCGCCTTGGCCATGACGGGGATGGTGACAGCGGCCATGATCTCCTTGATCATCTTCGGGTCCGACATGCGGGCCACGCCGCCCTCGACGCGGATATCGGCGGGGACACGCTCGAGCGCCATGACGGCGCAGGCGCCGGCCTCCTCGGCGATGCGAGCTTGCGCGGCGTCGACGACGTCCATGATCACGCCGCCTTGCAACATACGGGCTAGGCCGGTCTTAACGGTGAAGGAGTCGGTGGGGGAGCCATTGGCGCCGTTGGTGGCAGTGGCGCCGAGGACGGGGAGTTCAGTTGCCATTGTTGCGTGTGTTTGTGTGTGTGTGAGTGAGTATGTACAGAGGATTGTTTTTGAAGGGAGAGTTGAAGGGGAGTTTTGTGAGAAGATGAATTGCGGGATATGACACTTTTTTGAGAGGAGGGTAGGTGGATGAGTAAAGTGGGTGGAAAGGTAGTGGTTGTGCGGGGTTAAAGAGTCAGAAGTTGAAGCGGACTTTTTCTTAGTGGGATAGTTTGGGATAGTGGGACAACTCCGATAAAGGAAAGTACAAGCACGATAACGCAACGGCGGGTAGAGTGTAGAGGTAGCATGTGGTATGTGGGTAAGTCAGCAAAAAACGCAGGCACGGGACAGGTTTCCGGGGTCCGATCTCCGAAATTTATTGGAGTGACCCGAAAATTAATTGGCACGCGTGCATTGTACAGCGCTTAATCGCGGGCTATTGGGGGGATTGGAGGTTATTGGTGCTGGAAAACGTAAATATACGTAAAGTTGAGGTTATTCTCTCCAGTACCCCGATTCTGGAAGGTAAGAGAACGGTGAATCACGCTGGGACACGCTCAGACTCCCAGCCAACCAGGACCAACCAGGACCAACCAGGCCGACTCAGGCCTACCCCGCCGTGGAGAAGCAAATAAATCGGTGACATCTTCTTTGTGGGAATTACCGGAATCGGAAGGAAAGACGTAGGTGAGTTGATGGGTTAGTAGTAAGTCAGTGGTAAGTCAGTAGTAAGTCAGTAAGTAAATAAGGAAATAAGGAAATACAAGGAATAAAGAACAAAATAAGTATAAATTCTATAGCTAGAGCGGGAATGGATTGGATATCACCACTAGAACGTCATTTCTTCCTAATAAAGACAAGAAAGACCTTTGTTGTTGTAAATAGTAGTAGTTAAATATCTTATTTTAGTCCCTCCCTTCTCTTCTAGGCAACAACTACATACATCAGTAGCTGCTGCCAAAACCTAAATATCCCCAACTACCACGTTCTTCCTTCCCAAACTAACCACTAACCCTGCAGTCATCAGCTCATGCAGTCAGCCGCGAGGGTGAGACAAACTGGCAAGACGACGATGATGATCTAGAAGAACCTACCAGCTTCAAACCGAGGTGTTATAAACAAAACAGACGACACAACCACTATCGCCAGCACTATCACGACGGCATCACCATCACCAGCCAACACCAACACCACCACCACCATGGGCAGCACCCTCACCTCCCCCCCAAAGCACACCCTCTACTTCGCCTACGGGTCCAACCTCTCCCCCACCCAAATGCACTCCCGCTGCCCCTCCTCCCCCCTCCACACCTCCCCCCTCGCGACCCTCCCCAACCACGAATGGTTCATCGGCGAGCGGGGATACGCCAACATCCGCCCCTGTCCCGGGCGACAAGTGGTGGGGTTACTGTATGTGATGGACCCCGCGGATGAGGAGGGGTTGGATGAGGCGGAGGGGGTGCCGTGGGCGTATGAGAGGAGGGGGATGGGGGTGTTTGTGCAGGGAGAGGAGGGGAAGGTGAGGGTGTTGGTTTATGTTGATCCTAGAAAGGGGGAGGGGAGGGCGAGTGGGGAGTATATTGAGAGGTTGAGGAGGGGGAGGGAGGAGAGCGGGAGGTTGGGGTTGGTGGTGGGGGAGACGTGGGGGGAGGGGTGGGATGAGATGTGACAGTGAGAGGAGTGGGAGTGAGGAGTGCGTTACGGTGGATAGATGGATGGCGTTTACAAGGAGGAACACACGATGGGCTTTATGATACCAATAGACTGATACAATCAAACGTTTGTATGATTCAATGGGCACTTCCCCTTAAATACTACTAATACTCGAGTACTATACATCAAGAATCTTAAATCTCATCCCATCAAGCCCCTTCCCCTCCCCTTCCACCTCTCTCCCCGTCGCTAAACCAATCCCTCCAAGAAACTGCGCAAAAAATGGCTCATGATATATTACTCCGTCACACCCAAAATATCCTCTTATAAATTCATCCGATCTCATCTTCTCGTACCATGGATAACAGCGCTGGCAGCCAGTGCCAGCAAGCCATCCCGCATAAAACCAAGCATATCAATTCCCCAAGTCTCCCCCCTCACCCGACGCACGTCCAAGAGATGGCCAAAGCACATCCCTCTCTTACGTACAAGGGTTCAAAAACGGGCTCAAAAGCAACTCATCCGCATCCGGACGATCACGGTCATCAATCTCAAACGTCTGATCCAAGAAGCGCTTCGCCTCATCACTCGCCGCCTCCGGGATCGTCGGCCGCGCCTTGCTCCCTCCAATCTTGAAGATGGCCTGCAGCTGCGAGCAGTCAGGATACGGATGACTCCCCGTCATCATCTCAATGACCAGGCACCCGAGCGACCACACATCCGACTTGCGCGTGTACTTGGTCTGCTTGACAACTTCCGGAGCCATCCAGAACACCGATCCCTGGAGCGAGGGGCGATTCTTGCTGTTCCCCGCACCGCCAAGCACGTTCGAGGCCTCCATCTTCTTCGAGATACCGAAATCCGAGATCTTGATCCCGCCCTTATTGTCGACCAGGATATTAGCGCCCTTGATATCGCGATGCACGATGTCGCGGCCGTGAAGGTACGCGAGCCCCGTGACGATCTGGCGGACGAAGCTGCGCACGAGCGGCTCGCGGAGGGCGCCGTACGAGTTCAGCATCGTCTGCACGGATCCGCCGGGGACGTACTCGAGGAAAATGTTGAGCGAGTCGGCGGAGGAACTGCAGCCGAGGTATTGCACGATGTTCGGGTGCTGGAGCTCGCGGAGGAGGCCGATCTCGCGCTTCAGGGCCTCGATCATGCTCTTCTTCTTCTGGTCGTTGGCACTGGCAACGCCTGGAGATAGCGACTGGACTTGCTTGACGGCCAGAAGCTCTCCTGTCACGGTGTGGAGCGCGAGATAGACGCTGCCGAAGGAACCTTGGCCGATGAGAGCGCCCTTCATCCACTTGCTGTCATCCCACGAGTCACCAGCCAGGAAACTCTGCAAGTCATCATCAGCCTCCTCGCCGTCTTCATTGAGTGCCTGGCTGATTTCGCGCAGCGAGCCGGCTTCGGTGCTACCATCTTCGAAGTAGCTGCTCGTAGTGCGTCCATCCGGATCAGTGATGTTAACGTGCGTGTCCGAGCCGCTGTCAAATGAGACGTATGATTTTCTGTTGGGCTCGGTGGGCGATTCCTCTTGGAGGGGCTCCAAAACTGACGAAGAGACTGAGTCGCGGTATATAGAGTGTCCGCGGTCAAGAACACGCAGTTTAGGGCCAGAGGGGTCGGTCTGGAGCCAAGTATCTTCTATGCGGGGCATAGGGGGAGCATCCTTCATACTTGAGGCAAAGCTCAGGTTGCTGGCTACAGATAGTCGGCTGTTGACTCTGCTGAGACGCTTCGATCTTCGTAGTGATAACCGGGCTGTCTTATCGATCTCCTCCTTGGCATGGTTCGGGAAGTACGTAGTCAAGTCGGATGTGATCAGCTCACTGGGAGGCCTCTGTCCAAAGAATTGTCGGAGCACATCGTTTTTTCCCCGGGCCTGCCTCCTTTTTACAGGAGCAGCATCAGCAGGAGGTGGTCGTTCAAGATCCTTGGCTGCGTTGTGGACATTTCGCTCACGCTCCCCAGCGGAAACATTCGATGTGAACGAGGCGGGGGAAAGAGGATATTGTAAGCCAGTATCCCACTGCTCTCCAAGGATCTTCTGCGCCTTCAGCTGGCTCCGCTTGCCAGTGCCTTCTAGTGCCCGAGAATGTAACTGGGCCGACTCTTCCATGGCGATATCTGCCGCGCGTTGGAGCTCCATTTCAGAAGGCTCTCCGGCGTGGATCTTGCGCAGAATCAGACGGTTTCGTTCCGGTCTTTTCGAGTCCTTGATAATACGCCATAACTCTGGCTCGAAGAGTCTACGACATGCTGCTGGATCTGGTTCGAGGCCGGCCAGTGTCCAGAAACAGTAATTCCTTTCATGATCCTCCCGATAGGTGAACTTCCGTAGGGTCAACCTCATCACCTCGTCGATTGTCTTGCAATCCGTCACTTTCACGACCTTGGTCAAGCCATCCTTGGCAATGACACGGATCATATCCTGATCTTCTGGTAACGACGACATTAACGATCCATCTATGCTGCCAGCTCCACGAGTGTGGTGGCCGATGAGGCGAGCTGTCTGTGGCTGGTCCCTGTCGAGAGGAGTCCCTGGGTGCCGAGCCGACTGTGAAGAGATGGCAGGTGTGGGCGGGAAGTATCCTTGGCCTTGGTCTCTTCGTATATCTTGTGGGCTAATCGCATTATACCGTTGTTGGCGGACTACTCGTGCCTCTTCAGGCAGTGGTGAGTTCGGACGGGAGCTTGATTTCGTGGAAATCTCCGGCGTTAGGCCACCAAGATTGTAAGAGTCGTACTGTCTCGAGAATCGTTTATTATTTGTTGCTGCACGGTTGGCTGAGGTGGGAGGTCTGGGCGAGGCAGATGATGCAGGCGTATATAGGAGGCTACTCTGGAGACCAGCAAATGAGTCCTGCCACCGTTAGTGATCAAAGAATAGCAGATAGGACAGACATCTACATACTCTATTCCTCTTCTTCTGGTTGGCATATGCCTTCGTCCTGAGCTTCTTGATGCTCACGAATAAGCGCACACGGTCACCAATCTTGTCGATACCCATCTCTTGCAGGACGGCCTTGTCCATCTCTAGCAAGTTCTCTCCATTAATATTGTTCTTCTTGAACAACTTCTCATAGGCGCCACAGTTGATCGTATGCAGCCAGTCGCAGACGCGCTCCTCATCCCAGTGCTTTGCCGAGTCGGGGTCGTCAATGGAGTCTGAGAACTCGGATTCCGTTGGGCTGAAAGATGTCTGGTTGCTTGGGGGGACGACCAAGACTCTCCGGCCAGTTAGACCGGCGGACATTGGTATCGAGGACTGCTGGATGCCCGCCGACGATAGATTCGCCGGGTATGGCGACTTGGAGGCTAACATGGCCATGGCTGTTGTCGGTTTGCGGAGCGAGGCTCAGCTATGCGGCGACACTGTGGTCTAACAGCTGGCAACGGAGCTGACGTCCGGGTTATAACTCCTCAACGGACTGGAGGAGAAGTGACACGCAGTTCATCAATGCTATACTTCTGCGTACGATGGCAGTGTCTGGGAATGTTTTGATTGCGTGTTTGCCTCGTGTATTTTGAGGGCCGTATGGGGAAAAGAAGGACTAGTAGGCAAGAGTCGGAGTCGAGGGTTGATTGAGGGCGACGCGAAATCCCGATATGGGGGAGGGTTTTGGGGCGGTGGGTTTCAGGAAGGTGGACCCTGGACGAGGTACCTACGAATCGGCGCTAGAGTGGGTGTAGAAGGAAGTAGACAGGCAGGTACAGGTACAGCCAGAACAAAGACAGGAGCGAATCCCGGGTCTGTCTCCCGAGGCTTTGATGAAGATTTGTGAAAGAAAGAGGTGAAGTTGATGTGCATATATATGCTTCAGAACGTTCCTTCAGTCATCAGTCGACCAGTATTGGCGTTTCGCTGAAGTGCTTTTTGTGAGGCTCTCTCGCCATGTCAGCCATACAAACACTTTGATGTACAGGACTGAGACGAAGCGAGAGAAAGAGGGTCAGTCAGTCAGTCATAGAGTCCCCTACGATCAGACAGTAGTAGAGTACAGCCACGCGTTGACGCCGTAACTGTGATACTGTAGCCGCCAAGAGCATGCCGGACAGTTCATCATCGCCGTCTTTGTCCCTCTCCCCTTCTCATCATGTTGTCATGGACAGCACTTGTTGCTCTGTCACTCAGTTCCTCCTTTGTCTTCCGCCGTCTCAGCGCTATGAAGTGCTCGTCATGACCCCTCTCATCTCACCCTCGCACGCGCTGTGGCGGGGAGCCGTCGTATCGCTGAAACGTGGTAAGGGACGTTCGCGGAAGCCACTGGTGGTAGTAAGGGGAGGTCACCCCGGCCACTCTGACACCGCAAGCGTTTGATGCAGGGGCGGTCTGTGTCTATTTCTCCCATGCACGACACCCGTTATCTATGATCTGGCTGTGGCTCTGTGCGAGAAACCATGTACTGATCATGGGTATTGTGGTCTTCAGCACCCAGTGTACTCCAGCACTATTCTATCCGAATCAAAACAAACATGCGATGCCCCTGGCGCCGATCTAGAGAGATGAGGGGAGTGGCGGAGTGGGCGCGATTGCCCATACGGCAGATCGACAGGCTACTGCTCTATCGTCGATTAGAATCCAATAATAGTAATATGGAGTCTCTTTGTTATAGGAGGCTCTTGTTTTGGAGTTGAGGGGTGTTGATTATCACCACATGTTGAAACCGAGCAATGTGTGCCTGCCATCTCTTGACGCCTGTGACTTCAGTCAGACACTGTACAGAGTATGGAAAGATCTTTACCATGATTGCTATTAACACAGATAAACAGGCCTGGCGAGACCCGGCGAGACCGTCGAGTAATATAGTGCTGCCATGGATGTTATGCAGAATGCTTGTACAGTGGTCATCTGGAGCCTAAACTCTCCAAACCTCACGACTTGGGCAACAACGATCACCATCAAACCAAACAAGACTCTCCAACCCGATGTCTCACCTAGCAAACGCCCTCCGCCAGATAACGAAGAAATCTTCAAATCCAAACGCCCTCATCTACCAACTGCAGCTTGAGCGCTCGAAACAAAAGTATCTCGTGCAGGAACAGCTGGGCAACGGGATGGAGGGCGCAGTTGCACTTGGGGCTCCCGAAAGCGAAAACGGGGAGAAATCTCCAGGGGCGGAGACAGCTGCACCTGATAGAGAGCAACATAGTGGTCCCGAAGCAGCAGAAGGGAGTAATGAGGGTGTCAAGTGCAGAGAAGCAGATGGAGAGCCGGCGCGAGCTCATAGGGGTGACGCTCATGCACAAGGGGCAAAGTGAGAATGATCGGAGATTGGGAATGATGGCTGTCTGAAGGTCTCTATTGCTATGGAATGAATTGCAGTACGAAGTAAGTAATCGGGGCGAAGAAGACGATTGTACGAGTAGAATAGCTCTTTTCTTATGTTTATGATACCCTCTCTTCTCAATTCAGTACAATAGTAAATAGGTACTTGTACAATATATATTCACATGACCAGGCGGTCAAGTTGTGTCAGCCTCGAATGTCAGGCCAATCACCATCTCATCTCCCCATAGCTCCAGGTCCAACGTCACCCTACAGGATCCGCGCAAGGCTGAAGGCGGAGGTCCATACTTCAACTCTCTCCCCGTGCACTACAACTTCCCCAATCCTCAACCTCCAATCCCCCGCCATTCCAACAAGCCAACGGCTACACTCTATTACCCCTTTGAAGCTGTGCTCAATAATGAGGTAGCCACCTACAATTTGACCCATGGCACTCGATACGTCGAACGGCTATGCGGCCGCAAGCACCTTTCACGATCTCAACGAGCCGTCCCTGCCCATATTCAACATCGAGCGGGTTCAGCTGCAGTTCTCAATCGGCTCCGACTTCGTCGCTGCTCAGGTCGCCAACAATGTCCTCGTTCTCGCTCTCTCGAGTGGCCGCATCCTGCGCATAGATTTAGACAATGCCGAGGATATAGATGGTAAGCCACACGTTGCGAAGGGGATGAAGACTCCACGCTAACCTTGCAGACATTGACCTGCCCAAGAAGACGTCCGAGATTGGCGTGATACGGCGCATGTTCTTGGACCCGACTGCCTCGCATCTCATTATCAGCACGAGCTTGGGCGAAAACTATTACCTCCATACGCAGTCCCGACAGCCGAGACCGCTTTCACGACTCCGTGGCGTTTCCATCGAGTGCGTGGCTTGGAACCCGTCCCTTCCAACGGCCTCGACGAGGGAGATACTCATAGGCACGACTGATGGGAACATATACGAAGTCTACATCGAGACCTCGACCGAGTTCTACCGCCGAGAGGACAAGTACTTGAAGTCGCTCCAGAAGCTCCCAGATGGAGCAATTACTGGTCTTTGGGTTGACACCGTCCAACCCGGCAAGGCAGATATACGGAGAGTCATGATTGCAACACGGGGTAGATTATTGCATCTAGTTGGCAAAGCTACAAGGTCCGGTACCGAAGGCGGCGGTTCTATCTATGCGAAACTGTTCGAGTCCGAACAGCCAACAGTCCACGAGATATCTCGAATATCCTCAACTTTTACCTCGTCACTCGTTGTATCACCGGACTCGCCTGATGCCTCGTCACCTGAGGCACTGGTGCCGGATCGTACCTATGCTTGGCTGTCGTCTCAGGGAGTGTTCTACGGGAAGCTCCTCTCCACCCCAGTTACTTCAGAGTTAGGAAGCAAAGTATTTGCGGAGTCAAAGATCCTTCCTATATCACAACTCCCTATAGGCGAGTCAGCATCTGGAAGAGCGAAACCTGTCCAAGAAGGCGTTGATGCTATCGCCTTGACCCAATGGCATATTTTGCATCTCGTCGGCGGGCGCATAGTCGCCATAAACAGACTGGATGATACTGTCGTGTTCGACCAAATCGTGTTGGACCCTGGACAGCAGGCAGTAGCATTACTTGCTGATCAACAAAAGAATACATTCTGGCTGTTTACGACAACTGAGATTTTTGAAATTGTCGTCACAGAAGAAGATCGAGACATATGGAAGGTCATGCTTCGGAATGAGCATTTCGATGCTGCACTGCGATATGCAAGGTCGCCATCGCAAAAGGATGCCGTAGCTACTGCCTCGGGTGATTACCTGATCGGCAGAGGGCAATACCTGGAAGCCGCCGGTGTCTATGGAAAGAGCAGCAAGCCGTTCGAGCAGGTTGCCTTGGCTCTCATCGAACATGATCAGCAAGATGCTCTCCGAAAGTATCTGTTGACTAAAATTGCCACCTTCAAAAAATCCTCGGTCATGCAGAGGATCATGCTGGCAAGTTGGCTTGTAGAGATATTCATGTCGAAGCTCAATTCGTTGGACGATACCATTGTAACGAAAGCCGAACTGTCCGAGTCGCTCAGCCCAGAGCAGACCCAAAGCCAACTGGAGACGATTAAAACTGAGTTTCACGAATTTGTGACAAAGTATAAAAACGATCTCGATCGCAAGACCACGTATGATATTATCAGCAGCCATGGAAGGGAGGAGGAGCTCCTTTTCTTTGCCAGTGCTGTCAACGATCATAACTATGTTCTTGGATACTGGGTCCAAAGAGAACGTTGGCCAGAAACACTCAATGTTCTCAAGAAACAGACCGATGCCTCGATATTCTATCGATACAGCAGCGTTCTTATCACACACGTTGCCGCCGACTTAATCGACATCCTAATGCGCCATCCGACATTGAAAACACGCGACCTGATTCCTGCTCTCTTAACCTACAATCGAACCTACAACGGGCCGCTATCGAAGAACCACGCAGTCCGATACCTTCTTTTCACCATTAATACCCTCAACTCCACCGACGCCGCCGTCCATAACACCCTAATTTCCATATGCGCGTCGCACCCTTCTCCCGATGAATCCACCCTCTTATCCTACCTTGAGTCTCAAGGAGACACCCCCTCCTTCGACTCCGACTTCGCCCTCCGCCTCTGCATCCAGCACTCCCGCATCCAATCCTGCGTTCACATCTACAGCACAATGGGCCAATACCTCCAAGCCGTCACCCTAGCCCTCTCTCACAACTCCATCGACCTTGCCTCCTCTATCGCCAACCGACCCACCCTCCCCTCTCTACGCAAGAAGCTCTGGCTCCTCGTAGCCAAAACCGTCATCGGCGAGAGCGACGGCATCGCTACAGCCCTCGCCTTCCTCTCGCGCTGTCCCCTCCTCAAGATCGAGGACCTGATCCCCTTCTTCCCGGATTTCGTCGTCATCGATGATTTCAAGGACGAAATCTGCGACGCCCTCGAGGGTTACTCGCGAAGTATCGACGCGTTGCGCGAGGAGATGGACAGCAGCGCCCGCACCGCCGCGCACATCAAGGACGAGGTCGCTGCTCTGGGCGGGCGCTACGCTATCGTCGAGCCGGGCGAGAAGTGCTATGTGTGCTCGCTGCCGCTTCTAGCAAGGCAGTTCTTCGTGTTTCCGTGCCAGCATGCGTTTCACTCAGATTGCCTGGGCAGGAAGGTCGTGGAAGGAGGTGGGAAGGCTAAATCCAACAGGATTAGAGAGTTGCAGGCGCTGGTGGGGAAGGGAATGGTTGGGGGTAAGGGGAGGGAGGAGGCGGTTAGAGAGTTGGATGCTTTGGTAGCAGAGAGCTGGTTAGTTCCTTTTCTCTTCGTTTTTGACGCTTTTTTGAGACGACTTGACTAATATATTGGCGGTAGTATTTTGTGCAGCGAGTATGCGATTAAGCGAGTCGACGAACCGTTCGTGACTGAGGCGGATGATGGAGGAGACTGGGCGCTTTGAGCGTAGATGGGCAGCAGTATGCTTGAATGGTCATGGGCCGATGGTGATATTTTGGCGTTCATTGACCTAGAACATACAACATCGTCATATACCAAAATGCAAGGAAGATATACTATTCATACGAATATACCGAAACATTGCTTCGTAATGGACCTTTACTTTGACTGCACAGCTCTGTGCTACAAAATCACGTTAAATGGGCGCTTCAAGTCAAGTAATTTGGTATATTCAATTCAAAGTAAACGCCTCTGACTTTTCCTATTCATCCAGCCATATATATCTCTAATCCCACGACTCAAGGTTCCTGAGCACACATCCCTCCTTCTCACCCCTCTCCACAAGCGTTCCGATCTTATAAACCGTCTCCCCCTCCTCCTCAAGCTCTTTAATCAACTGCTCCACATTCTCCTTCGCCACCACCGCCACCATACCCACACCGGTATTGAACGTCCTCCCCATCTCCACCCCAGTCACATTCCCGGCCTTCTTCAACCACCTAAACACCTCCGGCAGCTGCCATGTCGCAACATCGATATCAGCAGCAAGGTGCGTCGGCAGCATGCGCGGCACGTTCTCCGCCAATCCACCGCCTGTAATATGCGACAGCCCCTTCACAAGACGCTTGCGCACCACGCGGAGTAGCGAGCGCACGTAGATTTTCGTCGGGGTGAGCAAGCTCGCGCCAACAGAGGCAGAGGTGTCCCAAGGCGCGGTATCGGTGTAGGCCAGCCCCTCACGAGCAATGATGCGGCGCACGAGCGAGAAGCCGTTGGAGTGGACGCCGTTGGAGGCGAGGCCGATGAGGACATCACCGGGGATCATAGCGGACTTCATCGGGAGGGTGAGGTCCTTGGTCATAGCGCCAATAGCGGCACCAGCAGCGTCATAATCGTCGCGCTGGTACATACCCGGCATCTCGGCGGTCTCGCCACCGACGAGGGCGCAGTTGGCTTGCTTGCAGCCCGCGGCTACGCCCTCGACGAAGGCGGCGGCGCTCTCAAGGTTGAGCTGGCTGCAACCGTAGTAGTCGAGGAACATGAGGGGTTCGGCGCCCTGGACGACGAGGTCGTTGACGTTCATGGCCACGAGATCGATGCCGACGGTGTCGTGCTTGTTCATGGCCTGCGCGACCATGAGCTTGGTGCCGACGCCGTCGATGGCGCCGACCATGACAGGGGCGGTGGTGTAGCCGGCGCTCGCGAGGTCGACTTCGCCGCCGAAGCCGCCGATTTCGGCGTCAGCGCCGGGACGCTTGGTGGAGGCTACGGCGGACTTGATGCGCTCGACGAACTCGTTGCCGGCGTCGATGCTGACGCCAGCTGAGGCGTATGTTAGGGCCTCCTTCTCGGCGGCCTTCTGCTTGAAGGCGCGGTGGGCAATGTCCTTGCGGAACTGCATCTTTTCGAACTTGATGTGGTCGACGCCGACGTAGGCTCTCTTAACGGCCTCTTCAAGAGTCTCGGCGGTCGAGGTAGCTGCGATAACGCGGCCACCTGCGGTCTGGAGCTGGCCATCGTTGATGACAGTTCCGGCATGGAAATGGTTCGTGCCAGCCGGAGGAGTCTGGAGAGTCATGGGAGTACCGGTAGGGTAAGCTCCTGGGTAGCCGCCGGCGGCTACCACAACGGTTGCGCCGAATTTGGCCTCGACCTCAACCGTTACGCTGTCCAGCCATCCTTCGGTACATGCGACCATAATCTCAGCCAAATCGGAGTCCTTGCTCATAAGCGGGAGGAGGGTTTGGGTCTCAGGGTCACCGAATCTGACGTTATATTCGAGAGTCTTCGGTCCGTCCTTGGTGATCATCAGGCCGGTGAATAGAGTGCCGACGAACGGGAATCTATCCTTGCGCATTCCATCAATGGTAGGCTGGAGAATTGTTCGCTCCACCTCCTCCATCAAAGCCTTGGTAGCGAGGCTAGTTGGAGCATAGCATCCCATGCCGCCTGTGTTTGGTCCTTGATCGCCGTCAAATATCCTCTTGTGGTCTTGCGCTGCCGGCAGGGATTTGATCGTGTAGCCGTCGCTGAAGCTGAGAATGCTCAACTCATCTCCCTCCAGAAACTCCTCAATGACAACCTCGTCACCAGCGGCCCCAAATTCCTTGTCCAGCATGATATCCTTCAACGCTGCTTGTGCCTCCTCCTTGGTTGTCGGAATGATAACGCCCTTTCCAGCAGCAAGGCCGCTGGCCTTAATGACGACATTGTGATCAATCGTGTCCAAGTACTTGCGGGCAGCCTCGTAGTCAGAGAAGTTTTCGTATGCAGCGGTAGGAATGTTGTGCTTCTTCATGAAATCCTTTGAGAAAGTCTTACTCCCCTCCATGCGCGCCGCGGCCTTGGAAGGGCCATAGCAGCGGATTCCAACGGCACGGAAGTAATCTTCGATGCCGTCGACCAATGGAGCCTCGGGTCCTGGGACAACCAGGTTGATCTTGTTCTCCTTTGCGAATGCAACAAGGCCTGGGTAATCATTGGCCTTGACGGAGTTGTTGTTGGTGACCTTTTCGCACGTCGCTGTGCCTCCGTTACCGGGTACCGCAATAATGGACTCCACGTGGGCAGACTGGCTCAGCTTCCAAGCCAGAGCATGCTCACGGCCGCCATTGCCAACGAGAAGGATACGGAGAGGCTCCATTGCGAGAGATTTTTTGCCTCTTTAAACTCGCCGAGAGCGTTGCTTGTTGATTCTCCAAGTGACAAACGGAGTCATGAAATTTTGGCGGGGTCAAGATATTTTCTGGTGGGGTAGCGGAATGTGGATAAAGAAATGTTAGAATTAGCGGCCGGGGGTCGCTTGCTATTGGACTCCACAAAGCCCAGAACAGACGCAAGGCTACGGAACGAGGCTTTGAGATGCCAAAAACCATTTGACAAACAACATAATTGTAGCAGATTATCATACCCTATGGAGTACAGATCCTACAAATCCTACCGCTTCATAATCATCAACCCAGAGCCCAAACCGGAACGCCTGCCTGTTTTCTCATATTCTATCGCCTTGTCGTCTCTTGTCGAAGCCTCGCTGCCGCTGTCGTAGGTGCTGGAGCTGGCCACGACGTAACCGCATCATCAACCTCCTCTAAGAATGTGACGCTGTTATGTATACATGTTGCACCTAAAACAACCCTGATACCCGGCACTGAAGCGTTGATGGTAGCAACCAACTTTGCTTCTTCGTACGTGGTCCCGCCAATCATGAACACTATGATGTCTTGAGGCTTGTCCCTCGTCGAGCCTCCACCATCTACAAATGGATACTGCTGTTCTCGCAACCTCCCCTTGATGAGCTCTTGCAAGGTTATCTCTAGTCGTGGGGAGTGCTGAGTGTACACATTATCCACTCCCTTCAAGCCCTTGAGGCGATCACGAGCGCCAGAAAAGATATTGGCGGACTCGAACATGTCAGTTATACCACTGGCGTTTTGCACCTGTTGGAGAGAGGATTGATAGTGGAGTAGCTTCGAAACAATGTCGATTTGCCGTTGTGGCATATTACCTGTGGCGCCCAATAGATCAAGTAACAGAGGCAGAGCGTTGGACGGGTGCCTTTGATGGCGCAATGCGTACAGAGCAACCAGCCTCACCTTTCCTTCGGCAGTTACGGAAGGCGATTGTAATAGCCGCTGTACATTCTGCAGCAAAATAAGTCAGTGGTGCTCTGCCTGAGAGCAGTAAATTCCGGGACTTACCTTCAGGTCTGCTGCATGGTTATCATTACATGCCAAACTCTGCTCGACCTCACTGACTTCCAAGAGATTCTCCGCTCCTACTTTTCGACTCAACTCGCCAACAATAGTCACATGTTTGCTAACATTCCCAGATAACTTCCGGAACTCGGGATATTCTTCAATGAAGCGCTTCATGTCGGCAATCGACTCGATGTTTGAGCTGCTCTTTGTTTTTGACTGGTATTGTTCGACGTAGTCCTTAATATTCCCCCCAAGGTCGCCAAAATTCAGAAACATGTTCTTTTTGAAAAACGGGTCTTGATCCTGGGAGAGAACAACTTCTTTCAATTCCGGCCTAATGTCAGGAACATTATGAAGGTCCACGCGGCCGTTATTAATGCCCAAGAGCTCATGCACCATCGCTTGGTATGTCCATTGTGAGAGTAACGGCGTGATTGGATCGTCCCTGCGATCTAGTACAAGTAATATCGGCGGTGTATCGACCTTTCGGAAGTCGAAGAGTTGCTCTTCCTGGCTAACAAGGTATCGCACTTCCGTCGCAAGCTTTTTCGCCAGAAAACTGTTCTTTTGATATCGTATTAGCGGCTTCTTTTTCAAAGAAAGTAGAAGTCCAACAATTCCGTCGGTGCTCCTTTGCAATGCATCCGCGTTCCACATATCCGGGCTCCCGCTCCATATTCGTTTTGGTATAGTCAGATCCAGCGTAAACAAGTCTGGGTTGATCACAATGTAGTCTGCAAAGTGCTCCTGGACTGCCTTAACAACCTCGTGGTCATCCGCTTCCGCAAGCCGTTCGAGCGAAGATTTCTTCACCACATTGCTAAAGTAGAGGTTGTATTCGCCGTATTTGGGATCACGTAACTCATCGATGAGATATTGTATGGATTCGGCGGAGGGTCGGACAAAACACAAGCATCGTAGATGTCGCATTTTCTCTCGATTTTGATTTTCTAACCTGTCAATAAGGTACACTTCGTGGTTTAGTAGTGCTGACTGGGTAATCGCAGTGGACGCAATGTTGACGGTTTCGCTGTCCAACAGCAAGATCTTCATCTTCGCCGATGGTGTCCCGGATGCGCTATCCCCAGCGGACACCATCTTCGAGATATAACCCGTCACTGCCTGAACAACATCCATATTGGCGATGTATAGCTCGGATTCTGGAGCGCGTGCTCAAGTGTGTGGTCGTCGTAAGCCCCTCTGCATGTCTTCAAGAACGTCCCCCTCCCAGTCTGCCTGGTTTTCTCCTGTCGCTATAGGATCAGGATGTCTGCTCGAGATACTGGCTGGTAAACTGATACTGTTTGCTGAATTGTTTGACTTTCGTGGACTTTCGTTGGGAGGAATGAGGCAGTTTGTCTCTTCTGCCCTCCACTTGTTGAAGCTCGAACAGGGGTGTTCCTCTGTAAAACGGCAAGGTGACAGCTCCACCACGTGCGGAAAGATCCGCGTCGGAAGCACCAGATGACGTCCTTTTGGGCACTTTAGACTTCAACAAGCTTCAACGGGGTCGAGGGGTCTTTCTCGAGTATTTTGCAAACGAATCGCACATCTTCAAATGGAAGCTCGATGAGAAATTAAGAGCACTATTTAGTTGAGCTCAGCGACTAGCAAGTGGCAGCATAGAAGAAAATGCTGCCCTTCATCAATATCCGTGAGCTCTTCAAAAATATATTTCCCTTCTTGGAGCCAGAGCAGGTACTGATCCCAACCTGCAGCCTTCGAATATGCTTCGTCGATTATAGGAGCATCCCCAGACGAGTGTAAGTTTTCATCGGATAATTCTACGCGTATTTAGCTAATAACCTCACAGTGAAGCTTATATTCTCCTTCATACTCTCGTACCCCCTCTGCGGTGTTCTCAAGCGCATCCCTGATTCGAAACCAGCATACAAGAACCTGTTTATAATAGGGTTGGTACTCTGTCAATTCCCATATTTTCGCGCTGACTCGTAGTAGGGTCTCCGTCTTCTACTTAGTAGGACTTTTCAGCCTTTGGGATGGCATGCGAACTGTGGCGATCAGTGCAGTGGGCACATACGCAATCGCGCAGAACATCAGCGGCCCCCTCATGCCATGGATAGCCTTCGTTTTTCTCATGGTGCACCTGTCGATAAACCAAATTCAGCGACAAATACTTGCCGACCCTGGGGTAGTAGATATTACCGGCGCACAAATGGTTCTGGTGATGAAGCTGAGCGCGTTCTGCTGGAATGTTGCAGACGGACGCCTCCCCGAAAGCGAGCTGTCCGATCTACAGAAGGAAAAGGCGCTGAAACAACTTCCCAAACCGCTGGACTATGCAGCATGGGTTCTGTTCTTTCCCTCCCTCTTCGGCGGACCAGCCTTCGATTTTGTGGACTATACCAAATGGATTGAATGCACCATGTTTGAACTTCCTCCCGGCGTGGATCCGTCGAAGAAACCACCTACCCGCAAGAAGCGCAAGATTCCACGCAGCGGAACCCCGGCCATGTGGAAGGCGGCCGAGGGCGCGTTCTGGATTTTCCTGTTCCTACAACTCTCGGGCTACGTTGGCACCGATGTCTTCATCGGCGAGAAGTTCTTAACATTCGGCTTCGTCAAGCGGGTCTGGTTCCTATACCTGCTCGGTTTCACTTCACGGCTGAAATACTACGGCGTATGGGCATTGACAGAGGGTGCTTGTATCCTCAGTGGCCTTGGCTACAATGGCGTCGACGAGACAACCGGGAAAGTCTCATGGAACAAGCTGGAGAACGTAAACCCATGGGGTGTTGAGACTGCTCAGAACAGCCGTGCATATCTAGGTAACTGGAATATGAACACCAACAACTGGCTTCGAAACTACATCTATCTACGAGTCACGCCCAAGGGAAAGAAGCCAGGTTTCCGTGCAAGTATGGCTACTTTTGTCACGAGCGCGTTCTGGCATGGCTTCTATCCCGGTTACTACTTGTCGTTTGTGGCAGCTAGCTTTATTCAGACCATTGCCAAAAGTGAGTCCACACCCCTCTCTCCTTCCCCCAAATTTCCATACTGACAACATCCAGACTGCCGTCGCTACTTCCGGCCATTCTTCCTCGACCCAGTAAGCGGCAAACCCACCTCCACCAAAATCTACTACGACGCCCTCTCGTGGTTCGTCACGCAATTCATCCTCTGCTTCGTCACCGCCCCCTTCATAATCCTCACCTTCCAAGACTCCCTCCTCGTCTGGTCCCGCGTCTACTTCTACGCCCTAATCGCCATCGGCGGCATGACCGCCTTCTTCGCCTCCCCCGCGAAGCCCTATCTCAAGCGCCAGATCGAGATCCGCGCCGCTCGCGCGAACGGCGGGAAGAAGCTTGAGAGGAAGCTGAGCTCGGATACGCTCTCGCAGCAGCCGGTTTTGGGACTGCCGCCGGATCCGGAGCGTGATTTTGAGGAGGTGGTGAGGGAGATTCGCGAGGAGTTGGATGCGAGACAGAGTAAGGGGCTGGGAAGGGCGGCGACGATGCCGGCACTTGTTAGGAAGGAGGGGCTTTAGTTGTGATGGGGCTTGTGGAGGCGGTTAATATGTTCGTGGATATATGATGGGAATGAGGATACCCAGCGTATACCATAGCGGTTTGTTTGCACTTGGTGCATGCATGGATGACGTTAGTCGGAGACGCGATTATTATATCCTTTGGTCCATACATTTACGAGAAGCGGGTTCGCGGATGGCGTTGGCCACCTGCGAGTATATATCATGTCTTGTTATAAGTGAACAATATGCAAAGAATTTAGTATGGTATTATACAATATGAAGATGATTAGTGTATAAATAATAATAATTTAATTTGTTTATGTTCCCCAATGATAATATTTATAGTAGATTTCAACATAATATTTTAATATCACGTATAAATTAGCTTCAGGTTATTAAGACACATCTGTATGCAGAATATAATTGTCTACCAACTGGCTTTAAAACTCCAACAACCCATTGCTACTCTCCGTAAGCACCCAAAAGTACTTATAAAACCCCACCGCACCAACAACAAGGAGGATATAATACGCGACTGTCCACACAACCCCCAACTGCGCCCCTGACTCAGGTCCCTGACTCTCATCCCGCCTCCCCTGCCCACCCCCACTATCCGGTCCCATAACCGACTCTGCACCCCCCCCTTCCACTCGTCCCCAAAACCTCGGAAGGCCCATCCAGTTGCAAAACGTATGGCACAGAATCACCGCCACGAGACTCCCCGTCCGGAGATACAGGAACGTAGCATATGATCCGAACAGAGTCGTGTACATCAGCTGGATGACCGAGCGAATCACACCCAGCAAGAGCGGGGCAGAGGGGTTTGATATGCGGAACTCGTAGATGTGGTGGATATGCGCGAGTCCGAAGACGAGGGGCGGGAGGAGGAACGTGGTGCGCAGCGACGCAGGGGAGAGGAGGAAGAGCGGCAGCGAAGCGGAGCGGAAGAGGAGCTCCTCTGTTACGGGGCCGGCGACGAGGTTGCGGTAGGTGGGGAGGTCGTGCCAGAGGGTTGTGAGGCCGCGGAGGCGGACCCAGGAGCGCCAGTTTCCCTCGACGATGCCGCATTCGAAGAGCGGGCCGAGGAAGAGGATGGCGGTTAGGAGGAGGGCTTTGAGGGAGGGGAAGAGGCCGGTGGGGTGGTAGCCCATGAGGTGGAGGGTGGTGAGGGGGGTGCTGGATGGGGGGAGGTAGGTTAGGAGGAGGGAGGTGGTGATGGTGCATATGGCGCATGTCCAGGTGACGGAGCGGATGCGTGCTTTGATGACGGAGGGGAGGTTGCGGGAGATGGTTGCGGAGGGCCTTGTGGCGGATGAGAGGTAGAATGGAGCAACGTAGAGGAAGGTGTAGAAGACCTGTGGGTGTTAGATGTGTTTGATATTGAAGATGAGAAGACGGCACAACTTACAAGGAGTGCTGCAGCGGTATGGACTCTGATCAGGGGAAGTTCTTCTACTAATGAGCATAAAAGTCAATACAGTGTTCACTAAGATTTATAAAGCATCCATTCAACCAATATCCTCTCATATCTCTTGGGAGAATTTACCTTCTGCTCCTATAGAACTTGATTTCAGCTTGTCGGCAAAGCCGGTCCTGGAAGTCATGATTGCAAAGCCGGCTCTGCAGACTGCCCCAAATCAGTAAGTATGCTCTTGATTCCACTTATATTCAATGCATATGCACCGAAGGTCTCTTTCAAACACGCTGGAAGGTATCCCTTGGCAAAATTGGTGAACAATACTAGCAGAAAACGAAGGATATCACGTGCACACCCTTAGTTATTCACCACATTCACCTAATAAAGTGACTCACCGCCTACCGTATGTGGTGAATGATATAATGGCAGAACAAATTAACGCTTCGGGCCACTAGCGTGTGTATAAAATTAGAGCCAGGGCGTCTTCCCCAATGAGGGAGACGCGCGCTTGGCGCAGTGGGGGTCCAGACAGGGTAAGACCAGTAAGCCGCTCACCGCAACAAGTTCCTGCATGACTCCTGCAGAATTAAAATGAAGGGCTGGGGTTTTATTGAACGCCAATAGCGAATCTCCAGTGTCAGACATAATTAAACAGTGATTCAACAGAATCAAGAGGCGTTTCGTCCCATTTCCTGGAGGGTCATTGTTTGTTAGGGGCTCATTGTTGTTGTTGTTGTCCCTGATAATCAATGGCAGGCAAAGTGCATTACAGACAGAAGATGCAGCGAGCGAACTTGGTCGAGCAGGTCGCCTGGAAGAATTGGCGAGTGAAAGCCGGACACGATACAGGAAATGTGTAGTGATTATAAGCTGAGAAGTATCATACGCCTGTTGAATCTGGGAGAGACACTTTGGCCGTTGAGGCAGTTGCAGATGATCAATCACCTACCTGTGTCATGATGCCGCCGACACCGACGATACACTCCAGGTCTCGCAAGTTCTAGCTTGCAGGCAGGCTGGCGCTGTTCATGTCGCTGGAAGTCTTTGCAACTCAACTGGCCCTCATAGTTCTATACAATTGGGTATTGGGAGGTTTTCAGGATTTGGTGGCGGCCCAGGCCGCGGACCCTGCTTAAGCTCCAGGGCCGTTGTCGCTATTATTCAGGAGTGAGCTCACGACAACCACTCGTTCCTCGTCGACGACGGACTGTGTATGTTGGCAGCCATATGCGCCGACCACCACCCACCATCACCACGGCGAGACGGGAAGGGCAAGAACGGGCAGACCGGCCGCATCGGGGAGGCCTCTGAATCCCCTGATCCGGAAGTGAAATGCTCCTTGCTCCAAGTTGCTGTCGTCTCCGTCTTTCGTCTGTACTTTCTCCTCGTTATGGATCCCCGGATGCTCCACATAAGCTATGCATAAGACACAAATTGGGAAGGGTAGTGGTCGGATAGTGGCTGTCTGGACGAAAAATACAGGGTTGTCAGACCGCCCTACAGGCAAGGTAGAGTCCAGACGAGACACTACTTCCAAATATTGTACGGCACAGTACAGCACGTAGCGCAATACCGTATCGCAGCCCGTACACTCCCCTACTACACCTACCAATCGACAACCCACAATCAATTCAGAAAGGCCTCCTCTCTCCCTCTCCTCCCCTTCCCTTCCTTTCGTTGCATCTCCCCAGCCGCTCACTGCCCTCTTTCTTTTCGCTCGTTCGCTCGTTCGCTCGTTCGCCCGTCGGAGTGGTAATAATAATAATATCCTCCTGGCCGCCTCCTTCTTCGTCCTTCTTTTTTGTCCCATTTTATGATATATATTCCTTCGTATATTCGTTCGTTCGTCGCAATTCCAGCTATCCTCAATTGACCGCTCGATTCCTTCAGCGACGCCAACGAAAGACACGGCCCTGTCTAAACATTCATTTACCTATTTGACCCAGTTATTGACTTTACGAACTCTTTTTTTACCTTTCTCGGCGACAAACTACAGCTCTATTCCGTTTACGATGTCGCACTAGAACAGCCGGTATTCAGGACGACCAGCACGACCCATTGATGAGCACATGGGAGACTCCAACAACTTCCTCGGCAGGCGAATCGATCCTCGCGTCTCAAAACATGGTTTCTCATACACGAACCCCAGGGCGGAAACCGTTACATGAAAGGTCCGGCTCACAAACCAACATAGCAGCGGTGCGTTTGGTACCAGCGACTCCTCCGCAATTACTATGGAGCAATACCCCTTCTCAGGAGCGAGATGATATCTACATGCGGACTGCCTTTCCGACACATCCAGCCCATATTCTCCCCCCTCCAGACGCCGGCGCTTCATTCTTTCAGGAGTCGGCGGCATTGATCCAATCCGAAGACCCAGTTTCGGCCGCCCAGCCTCTGGCGAAACAGTTAAGAGGACAGGGGCCTGCTTTGACCACAACGTATCAGCCTCGCCAAACCTCAAGAAGCACCACCTCGACCCCTTCCAGCTCTCGACAATCGAGTGTCAAATCCCTGCAGCGAAAGCGGAAGCAAGTTAAGGTTAACCCTGACAAAACCTTTTCTGTTTTAGAAGTTGCCGGACAAGTCGAATCGACTAAACCAGACGAGAATGGATCCAGATCCCCGTCCTCTACACATAGCCGTTCCACGTTTGATCGGCTATCCTCAAGGACAGACACCTTCGCCCCACGGGGTGCCTCGGGCGCAACATGGGAATCAGAGACTACTGCGACAACTTTAGCTACCTCTTGCACTCCGAGCCCAGATTTGTCGAGTAAATCACCTACCTTTGAGAGTAACATACCCTCGTCGCCTTGGAACTATAAGCTCGTGGGAGGACTTCGAAAAGTTCCTGGGACTCCAGATCTGAAGCATAAGGTTGTGCCATTGTCAGACTCACCGCCGTCCTTACCAGACTTGCCGGAAATTGACCAAACGAACGAGCGGGAGTTATCCAACAAGCAATCTTTTCAATCCGGCGTGACTACATCGACGACCTCAGATTATAGTAATTACAACGTTTTTCCAAGCTCACCACCATTGCTAGCAACAGCATCGAGCCAACCTCCCTCAATCCACTCCGACCAACAGCTTGCACTTCCGTCCTCACCGAGTTCATATGTCGAAGAGTCCACTGTCCTTCACCATCAGCTCCCACCTTCTAGTGACCAAAACTACGAAATATTTGGCCAATCATCCACGGGATATTCACCGACCTCTTCGCAGCTTGAGCTATACAATAACGAGAGCAATTACGAGGTTCACGGAGATTTGTCCCCCTCCCCGTCAACATCTTTGATCAACCTACCTGCCCAACCGCAGCAAGCATACTCACGAGAGTCCTTGGTTATACCGCCTTTGCAACCCAAGGCAAAACGATCCGCTGAGCGATTTGGGTACTACAAGAAGCATTCACGAGAGTCGCTTCGGTCCGGATCGTTAACGTCCATTACATCGGCCTTAAGTGAAGACTTTGTAAGGGCAATTGCGACTGGTAGGCAGCTTACCCGCGTACCGAGCCTGAAAAATATCCCAGAAGCCAGCCCATGGACAAATCCGCTAGCTCTCAACGCAGTGAAAACACACATGCAAGCGCATCCGCACCAATGGAGCTCACAGCTTTCTACTGTGGCCTCAGTCTCAGAAGGAGGCACCGATCGAAATTCACGCCAATGGTCAGAAGCAAGGCGAAGCAGCGGGTTCGTGTCCCACACCCGCCAAATCCCGAGCATTGCCTCCACAATTTCGCAAGACGAAAGAGTTCGCGACAGCAACTTGCTAGCGTACCCACAGCCAACGTACTCGCCGACTACCCAAGACGCTCCTGGGTCGACGACGAGAATGGCTGAAGACCAAGATGAGTACGGCGACAAACTTACAGATATGCCAATATTACACGAACGGCCTTCGAGAACCAAACTATCAGGATTTTTCAACATCCCATACGATATCGGGCGCAACAATAGCATGCGATCAATATCCAGCTCAAGAGCGAACAGCATCCTTGGTACGACACTCCCAACCTGGGCACAGCTATACTACGGCAGCGGCGAGAGGCGATATCTTGAAGCGCCTGGTAGCTCGTCGGAAGCGTCTGATAGCCGGCCCCCTAGCTCTTACCGGAGCGGCTCCCCGGATACTACGAATTTTCCAGTGGGTTTATATAGCCCTCGCCGACGACCAAGGGAGCTTCGTCCCCAGCGTCAAATATCTCAGAGGTCACACCACTCGATGGATATCACACCTGCGGACCCGCCGAGCCGTGCGGACCCCGCCTTGACTGGGAGTGATTTAATTGAATACTCGTTTAAGCATCGTGTTCGGAAGCCATCGAGTGTCTGGAGCCCACATCTTGCGCATGACAGGAGGATGAGTCAGCGCCAGACTGCCTGGGATGCCCCTTCGGTTAACTGGTCCCAGGGAGGGTTCAGCAGTGAGAAGAATGTTCAAATAATAATGTTTATTGTCGGATTTATAATGCCTATTTGTAAGTATACCCGTTGGACTTTCTTCAACTTCAAGCTAACAGTTTCTCAGCGTGGATGATTGCCGCGGTACTCCCCATCCCGCCAAGACCCGAATTTCCCGAGTTGACGGAGGAGGATGCCAGAAAGAGCCGTCTGGATTTGCGAGAAGAGATGAATCGCATCTGGAGCCCAGTGGACGAGAAAAGATATCAAAACGCACGGTGGTGGCGGATACTTAATCGAATCTTCTCCGTTGTGGGAGTCGCCATCATAACTCTCATTGTTCGTATTTCCCTGCATGGTTCAGTTTCCATTGACTAACAGAGATATAGGTCGTTCTAGTTGTGACGAAGGCTTGAGAAGAAGACGTAGCGGGGTCCAATATCCCCAACCACACACTATCACATACTTGCCATTTATTACCATATATTTTACATCTACAGCAGCTTCTCCACCAGCTGTCTCGGTATATTTACCATCACCAACCACCAACACTGTGGCTCATTCATTACTACATGCTATTCAATGCTACAACGACGCGGCTACGTCCGCACACGCCTTTCTTTTTCATGGTTCTACGCCAAGCTTTTAAGCTCAAAATATCACGCACGGCTAACGCAGCCAAACTATTTCAACTTTCTTCACGATAATTCGATAAACGGCGGACGAGAACGACGGAGTTCATTTTTATTTTTAACCTTCTCCCAACCAAAACAGCGCTTTTGGGGCTTGGGCCTTACGAAATTTATGGATGAGGAACAGATTTTACGTTTTTACGATTCACACTTTAAGACATTTTCATTTTTCTGTATCTATATTGTAGCTTAGATGAATATTACGAGTGGTTTTTTCTCTTGATCTTGAAAATATTTTGGTCTGTCTTGTCTTAGTTTCTAACATGGGTGTTCGGCTGAAGAATTGGTGAAGCAGGACAACCCACAAACATGAAACGTTCATACATATTTTGTGACAGGTAGATTTATGATATAGCCACCTTCCAAAATGGTGCCTCGGGTGTTTTCGAACACAAGCTCCCATCCCGGAGCTTGTGTTTGAAAGCATATCAAATCCCATAGTATCAAATCTATAATAAGCTGCGGGAACTAAAGTTTAACGGGCCAAGATCTTCACACCGTCCTTATCGCCAAGGCACGTGACGTTAAATGCCAGATAACGCTCATTATGTTCATGATCGGCTTCAGAATATCTTCCCCGTAATTCAAAGAATACTACCTTTATTGCTACTCTTAATACTCATTAGCAGGCAAGATCTGGTTTTCAATTAAGCTGTCCACGACCAACGCTTTGCTACGATCTCATACGAACCTTTCAGCGATAAACTGTCGTAACTGCCGCAGAATGAACAGCTGCCTTCTTCCTCAGTCAGTTGGTAGCTCGGCCAAGTAGGAGTCGAGACAGCGATGCAGCCAGGAATGACCAGGATAGGGCAATTACCAGTACTATTGACGACGTTGCTATCTTGCCTTGCTCCAGCCGTTGCAGCAGCAGACACTGCAAGCCACACCGTTGTCGCAACCCCAATCTGGACCGGGACTTGCGAGTCGCGCATCATAAACTATGTCACGGCCCTCCCGAACTTCGAATCGGTCTGCTACCGACAAAGAAGAAACGATACTACGGTGGCAAAGGAGACGGCTACTATAAGTAGCGCGACATATACAACTGGAGGTGCTGGTGCGGAGGATGCAAGCATACCCGAATCGATTACTGCCCAAGCAACGGGAGACCCTGTGGCGTCAGAGACTGAGGTTGCTGCTGGCCATGAGACTGACGACGTTTTCTCCGATGCCAGCTTCCTCTCGTTTGAAGACTGGAAGAAGCAGATAATCGAGAAGTCAGAAGACGAAGTTGAGGGTGCCAGGGACGGTGAGAGACGACGCAAACTAGAGGAGAATGAGGAAACCTTGGATACCCTCGGAGACGACTACGAGATTGATATCAATATCGAAGCCTTCCTTGAAGACAACCAGGGAAATAAGGGCAATAAACCAGGACCGTCACAAAACAGCGATAAGTCCACGTCTAAACATGTCCATACCAAACAGCCAGGCGACGAGAAAGTCGAAAAGTCAGTCCAACGCTCCAAGGATGCTGGCAAGACTTGCAAGGAGAGGACAAACTTTGCTAGTTTTGATAGTGGGGCACAGGTGATGAAGGCCAACCCTGAGGCAAAGAGTACATCCGCGCTTCTGTCTGAGAATCGGGACGCCTACATGTTGAATACCTGTTCCGCAAAGAATAAATTCGTCATAGTCGAGCTGAGCGATTCCATTCTTGTCGAGACCGTGGGGCTCGCCAACTTCGAATTTTTTTCCAGCACCTTCAGAGAGTTCCGTGTATCTGTCAGCGACCGATATCCCGTCAAGCTTGATCGCTGGGTGGATCTGGGAACATTCGAAGCCAAAAACTCTCGCGAGATCCAGGCATTCCTGATCGAGGATCCTCGGGTCTGGGCTAGATATCTCAGAATTGAATTTCTAAGCCAGTATGGAAACGAGTTCTACTGTCCGATCTCGTTGCTACGAGTTCATGGCCGAACAATGATTCAGGATGTCTTGAGCACGGAGCAATCGACAGGAGCAGACGACGAGGAAGAAGCGGAAGAGAATCTACGTGAGGCAGAAGGCGAAAAATTAGCAGTTGAAGCTATGGCCGAAGTCATCAAAGAAGAGACAAACCTAACAAACAGCGTGGAAGACAGAACGACGACCCTTGAAGATTTGGTTAGTGCCTCTGAAACATTTAAACCAGACATATCGAATAGCACCATCCTTCCAAACGTCGTCTTGGAGGACGATCACATTTTCCTGAACGATTCCATGGAGTTCATGACTACGCCATGGAGCAAATATAATCTAAACCGGGGAAATATCTTTGGTGAACCGGCAGGACTTGAGATGTCCAGCATACTTCGAAAGCCGGCGCCAAAGCTACTGCCCACTACGACCATTGCTGCAAACAAAACATCTCCAGCGCCAACCTTGGATCCCCCACCCATCACGACTACAGACGATAATCTGGTAGCCAATTCTACAGTTCCGCCGACTCCTGAGGTTGCCCAACCGACTGTGGAACAAAGCGCTACCGATATTTCGACCCCGCCGATTACGCCAACGCCTGTCGTGGAGGCCAAGCCGCCACCAACCGCTGATGTCCCTGTGCAGGAGGCGCCAGCGAACTCATCAGTCGCCTCCGTACCCCAAAATCAATCAACTATAGCAACCAACAAGATGTCGAGTACATCTTCAGCCCCAGTTTCCCAGCCAACTACCCAAGAGAGCTTCTTCAAAAACGTCAGTAAACGACTCCAACTTTTGGAGCAAAACTCTACACTCTCGTTGAAATACATAGAAGAGCAATCGAGAAACCTCAGGGAAGCTTTCAACAAGGTGGAGAAGAGACAGCTAGCAAAGTCGACATCATTTCTAGAGAGCTTAAATGCTACTGTGCTTGCCGAGCTTCGCCAGTTTGGCAAACAATACGATCAGATATGGCAGTCGACGGTGTTCGAGCTAGAAAGCCAGCGCGATTTATTGAGCCGAGAGACCATAGCGTTGAGTTCAAGGCTCACATTACTAGCAGACGAGCTTGTATTTCAGAAACGCATGGCTATCGTGCAATCTGTCCTGCTTCTTCTATGCATGGGTCTCGTCCTATTCTCGCGATTTCTCCCTGGCGGAGTAGAAACGCGACAGGGTCGTGGCATGAGCTCAAGCGTACAAAGAGAGCTAGATCATAGCTTTGATAGCGTCTCTGGCGGGCCAGTATTACATCAAGTATCCAGGTCACCCCAGCAACGACAGCCATGGGGCCACCGACACCAAAGATCGGGGTATTTCCAGCCATCAGTGGTTTCTCACAGCCAATTTGACTCGCCCGCCACGCCACTATCGAACTTCTCTGAAAACGAAGAGGAATACAGACATTATGACGGAGAATACGCCGAGGAACGCACGAGTGGCCAGTTTGCACGCGACTCCCGTTACCCCGGTGGATCACCGAATAACAGGCGGGCTGATAGTTTGGATCCTGCATACACCCAGGTTCCAATGGACAGTTCCGCTGATAGAGGACACCTCCCACCTTATGTTAGGTCGTATATTGGGCCGAACGGGAAGTTGACCCCGGAGTATGATAGCGACTACCAACAGAACTATCGTAGCGCCATATATGTTGACCAGGCGCACGGTTCTAGCAGTCCGCTGAACAGGGCTTCTCTTGAATCTCAGCAAGATGGGGAGGTTCCTGGGAGATTTAGCATTATGAGGAAGCCTCTCCCTGCACTGCCCAAGGAATCGGAGTAAGTGAATTCGATAGTTATTTTTAAGAATGGTGTGGGCTCGTTGTAGATGGCGGCATGATGATAGCATTGTTTTAGCGGGCGTTTTAGGATAGGGGGTTTACGTTGGTTGAAGGTCGAAGCATATATGTAATGAGGATACGAAACATAATTTAATCTCGTATTAGCCTTAGCATACGAATAAGACAACTGAAGTTAGGTCTGTAACCACAACCTGTGAACTATTCTACATGGCCGGTAGCAATGATAATTCTCATAAAAGGACACTGAGCTCGTCATCACTCAAAATGGCTGCACCTCTCTCTCAAGCCACTTCATCGTCAGAGAGCCAGGCTCAAAGTATCCCTTCGTCTTAGCAAAGATATCAGCATGATACTCATTCAACCAACGCTTCTCCTTGGGCGTCAACAAGCTTTCATCAATGAGCTTCCTGCAATACGGCACCATCGTAACGTGCTCGAAGCCAAGGTACGGCTTCTCGCCAAAGGTGTGCTTCGTCTTGGCCTCCCTCACCATGATGATATTCTCGATTCTGATTCCGAAGGACCCGTCCTCGTAGTAGCCCGGCTCGTTGGAAATGACGTTCCCGATAGCTAGTGGCACCTCTGTGTACTGGATACGAGTGCCAATTCCGATAGGGCCTTCGTGTACATTGAGGAATGAGCCGACTCCATGGCCTGTGCCGTGGCGGTAATCAAGACCTTCCTCCTATTGTGGGTTAGCACTGGTTCTCAGAAACTAAGTGGTGATAGGATATGTCTTACCCAGAGGAACTGCCTTGCTAGTGTATCGAGCGAAAATCCGCTGGTGCCCTTGGGGAATACGGCAGTATCTAAGGCAATATTTCCTTTCAGAACAAGGGTGTAAGCCTTCTTCTCCATCTCAGTCGGGGTCCCGAAATGGAGAGTCCTCGTGGTGTCGGTGGTGCCGTCAAAGTATTGGGCGCCGGAATCGCAAAGGTATACCTCGTTAGGGTCGATAATCGAACAGTTTCCGCGTTCGGGCTTGTAATGAATGATCGCTGCGTTGGCTCCCGTCGACGAAATAGTATCGAATGAGAGGCCAACGAAGTGCTTATGCTTAGACCTCATTTCCTCCAACTTGTCAAGCGCCTCCACTTCATTGACTGTTGCCTTCTTCTCGATCAGCTCATTTTCAAGCCAAGCGAAGAACTCAGTGAGCGCTGCTCCATCTCTGATGTGGCAGGCTCTCATTCCCTCCAATTCAGTCTCGTTCTTCACGGCCTTGGCGTCCCCAATGGGACTTCTCACTTCATCCACGTTAGACTCGCCGCCGAGTGCCCGTTTTAATGCCCAAGAAGCCTTGTTAGAGACCATGAACTTCTTCACTTTCGTGTCTTGGGCAGCAGGCTTAGATGAATTATCGCCCGAAGAAGCCTCCTTCGTAGTGGTGGCTTGGATGGAGCGGCCGAGAACAGCAGCATCCTCAAATATCGCATCATACGACCGTATGGAAATGCAATTTTGGGCAAGGTGATCTTGAGCTTCTTTGGACAATTTCGACGAATCGACATAGAGGGTTGCTGAGGTGGGTGTGATTATGGCGTAGGAGAAGAAGACAGGGTTGTATGGAATGTCGTTGCCACGAAGGTTGAAGAGCCATGCAATCTCATCCAGCATGGACACGACAAGGCCAGAGCTCTTCTTCTTGTCCAACTCCTTGCGAAGGTCTTCGAGCTTTGCCGTAACACTCTTCCCCGAGAATTCTTCGCCCAGAGGCTTAACGGGCTGAGTCGGCTTTGCTGGTCGATCGGCACCCCAGACCTTGTCGATCAGGTTGTCTTCGACAGCAATTAAATCAGCACCCCCAGCGGCCTTGATTTTATCAGCCAGTTTCCTCGCATCAGGGGCCGAGATCACAGTCGGGTCGACTCCGACGGTCTTGCTACCCTCTGACTGTTCTGCGGTCCACTCTTGCCAGGTTGGAACGTCTAGCAGCCCCTGCTTGAGAAGGGTCCACGAATCGTCCAATTGCTTCGACGCCTGGTTGAAGTATCTTCCATCAGTGGCCAGGGCAGCCTTGTCCTGAGTGACAACGGCGCATCCAGCGGACCCAGAGAATCCACAGATAAACTCTCTCCTGCCATCGCAGGAAGCTATGTATTCGGAGGCATGGCTGTCTTCGGACGGAATAACTGTGGAATACGTTAGCTGCGTGTCATAGCCACCATAGGTGCTTCCATACTGTAGATATCAACATTCTTCTCCTTCATCAACTGCCTCAGCTTGGACAAACGCTGACTCGTGTCGATGCTCGCCATATCGGCAGACGCGCAGCTGGAGCTGAGGCGAATGCTGATATGTATCCTTTGAGCTGAATAATCGAAGGTATTTCGTGGCCTGGTCGCGTGTAAAACTCTGTTCAGTGGCCGCTGGAATCTCATTGACTTAATCCCAATCGTAGCTCTATTGACCCATCGTCGTCGTCAGTATATGAATGACTACTATAACAGCAAGAGTAGTAGCTAGACCGTGCTTACCTTTTCTGTGCGGCCCAGGTCGCATATACTCTGACAGTTCTTCGCTCAATTAATAAATTGAGATGAGGAAGGATCAATCGTGGAAAAAGGTCGAAAAGGCGAGAGAGCGTGGGGTTACCATTACTGTACACGAGTTAACGAGTTACGTTGGGAGCTCCACGATTTCCCCGCCCTCTGCCAAGAGAAATTGGACAGGGGTGTAAAAAGGGTACTGTCGGGCCAAGGCGCACGTGCCCTCTGATGTCACTAAAAGCGACGACAAGTCACGGTTTCCAGGATTCAGGATCCCGTGCTTGCCAGTTGGTATCTCTCTGTTCTCGATTGAAGATTCACATTCACAGTATTCGAGTATTCTAAAAAGCTATATATCACCTCTGATATATAAATCTACTCTCTTTATATTTATATATACACACGCCTCAAAATCAATGGCGTCAATGTTTCTCCGACCAATGTTGCGCCCGAATACGTTGGGCGTCGGATTGGGCCTGTCCATGTCAACATTCGCCGTCTACAGACAACGCCCAATGAAACTCGACTCAAAGCGACTCTTTTCTGAAACCCAACAAACGGCTGCCCATAAGTCATCTAAAGGAAATGCCTTTATAAACCCGAGCAGCGTGAAGCAGATCAGCAGCGGAAGCGTCTTTGGTATGGTACCCATCGTGTGAGTATCATTATGCACAGAATCTGACTAGGACATCAGGACTATGTGCTGGGCTGGCTGTTAGCACCTTCTCAAGGCCTCTTGCGCTATTACTGGGTTTATTAGTCGTTGCCATTCAGGTGCGTTAGGGTCTCAAGGTCTCCAAACATTGATCTATCATCTAATTTGTGCTCAGTGGGCTGCAAGCTATGGCATCCACGTGCTGCCGTACGGTAAACTACGCCGCTATGTTACAAATGTTGATCTGAAGTCAGCCTTGAAGAGCAATGTTGCCTTCAAGCTGTCCTTCGGTATGACTTTTGCCATGGCAGCGTTCATGCATTTCTAGTTTCCAATCGTCTCCCGCCAATTAAGGACCGGGCCAATATATCATAGATGAGATAGATCCCTCACCGGAGCGTGGAATGGCAATCAAATTTGATGCAACCGTCACCGTTATTACGAAGTATATGCAAAATTTGACCCCCGGCACTCAAGCCACATGTTTTTGACAACCTGATTCGACTGTCTGGCGCCTCGAAGACTGCAAATAATTAGAACACCGTACCCGTGAAGATTCTGTCAATGCATAAGATGCTGGGAAAACTCACTTCATAATCTTTTGCAAGAAGGCTCTCTTCTCGCCATCGCTGACCCGGTCGCTTGCGAAATTACTGCCGGAAAGTGCATTCTCAAGCCAGGCCTTGGACGATCGGTGCCGAGAAACGAGCTTCTTCAAGGGGTCGCAGACTTTATCCAACTCGCTTCGTGCAGCATTCCCGCTTATGTTATAAACCAATGCATCTGCAATCATAGGGCCGAGATGCTCCAGTGCCGTGTCAATAGACCTTTGGAGGTCTTCATCGAGGTTTGCCAGTGACAAGAAAGATGACTTCAAATATGTTAGCACCAATACCAGTAATGGATTCGTATATCTTACCCAGAAGTCTGCTGAAGCAAATTTTGGGAGGGGATCTCTGCCTCTGAGAGCTTTCAATGCAAACAAGAAAAGAAATTCCTGTGCTGCGGGTGGTTGCTCTATCAATATCCTGACATGGGAAGGAAGAAGGCGATACAAAAAGTCGATCCCCGCTTGTGCAATCTCGGGATCATTAGACGGATCTATAAGTGTCAGTCAGGCTTCGCAGTCCAGAGGTTGAGGAATGCTATTTGAGCTTTCATCTTTTGCTGTTTGCAGGAAATTTACTTACCATTTAGGGCTTGCAAGAGTGACAGCACCCATGTGCAGAGGCGATGCAATTCAGCATTGACTTTGCCAGTGGTTTTTGTGCCCTGAACGCTTACAAAGGAGCATGCTGTGCTTATAATAACAACGAGACGTGGAGTAGAGGGCCCCAACTTCGTGAGGAAATCTACAATAGCCTCAGACGGAAGTATGAATGGACTTGGAGCACGTTCAGTAAACCCTGCCCGGAATATGTTGCAGACAGATTCCAGAATTTCTCCGCTTTGAGGAAACGCGGCTAGAAGACTCTCCATTATGGTTCGAAGATGGCTATTGGTAGCTGAGCCCGGCCCTGTGACCCAGAAGTTATCGATGTCGGTTGGGCTACCTTCTGATAATTCAAGGGGAATATCAGTCGGTGCCTGCAGACCTTTGGCAATACTACCAATGCATCTCAGGGTCTCAATCCCTCGTGCTTCGGCCTCATCGACGAAGCCGGCGGCACGAAGCTGGAGAGACTTTTGAAAATCAATTTCCACGGTCTTGAGAAGCCCTAGCAGTGGTTCTTGCTTTAAATGCTCCTCTGGGAGTGCTTGTATAACGGCGCCTATTGCCCCAGCAATTCGCTCTTTGACAATAACATCAACAGAATGTGCTAGAGTCAGATCCGTATATTGCTGAACAAAGACGCCAAGTTCAGACGTTAAAGCTTGGCGGCACGAAGAGCATAGTGATTGGATTGACTTCGAGGCCGTAGGAGCTAAAGCGGTGGTACTCAACGACTTGAACAAGAAAGTCAGAGTCTCTGGTAAGTACTGGGTATGTGTTTTGAAGAACTCATCGTATTTTCCAATAAGAGCAAGAGTCGCTTGTCTTGTACGCGTTGGAGCAGAACAAGTGGGGTCTGCGAGAGTGGTGAAAAGTGCGGAGCTGATGACCTTTTCAAGAATAAAATCGGTAGTTTCATCTTCTGAAATGCAATCCGCAAGGCCACCAAGACAAAATAGAGAGGCTTCCAGTTCATACCATGCTTCGTTCTGCAACGAACGAAGTACCATATCGGCGAACATGGAAAATAAGGATACCCCTATTAATGTGTATGAGGCTTGTAGAAAATCTATAACTTCCATTCGTGCGTCATTAAATCCAGTCTTATCGCTAGAGGGCCAGTCGTCGAATGATTCTTCAGCTGGGGGATATTGTATTTTCCGCCAACAGCGCTCGATTGCCCGCATCACATTGACCCTGGCCGTAGAAAACCATTCATTCTTTTTCTCGGATGAATTTTCTTTCGGATGTTGTGTTTCATTTGACCCTGTGGCGCCACTGGCGGGTGGCCCGAGAATTGATACTGTCACATCTTCATCGGAATAGAGGGAGTCAATCATCACTTCAACGAATGTTGACCAGAACTCGAGGGCGGGAACGAATATTTGGTCTTCGGCGACAACATAACCCTCTGCCGACAGAAGCCCCTCGAGAGCCTCCAGAAACCGTTGAGATGCCGGGTCGTTTGCTTTCGCCAGCTCATCAATTCGTGCGTCTCCCAGGGCAATAATAAAATGTCCATATTGAAGTGACTCAAACGAATAATCGCCTTGGATTAGTTGCTTGTAATGCTCTTCGGACCAACTGCTGTTGAAAAGCGAAAAGAGGAGTGTGAAGTCTTCATCAGTCAAGAACTTGGAGTAATTGCCAAGCACATCCGCGAAGAGCTCAATAGTAACCTCACACATGTCCTCTTGTGGTAGACAGGCGATTGCTTGCTTCGTTAACGATTTCAATGGATCCAATGTGATGCCAGCGTCCACGTAAGCCCTATGTGAGAAGAGTACCCACGTCTAAAAACATTAGAATAAGAATCATGATGGTTACAAAGATAATAATCCTTGGATAAAATGCAATGATGGTGGACTTGACATCATTTTCTTACCTGGAAACATTTCATCGAGTCTTGGCGTAGCTTTGCTGGCAGGTTTGCCCCTTCATGAGCATTGGCAAGTCCAGGGGCCATGAGCGCAACGACATCCTGGGAATTTTGTTTCATCCGGTCATGAAACTGGTGACTGTGAGTATCAGTAAGTAATTTTAAGAGGCGTCCAGAGCTGATTTCCCTTACTGTTTGATGTTGTTCCCATCAACTTTCTCAACTTCCTCGGCAAGTGTCGTGCTGAACCACAGTGCGGCGGACAGCTTCTCTTGAGAAAGGCGGCTAACTAGTTGGCTGGTATCTGGCGCATCCTGTAATCTTTCTATACCAACGGCTTCGTCGGCAAATAAACAGAGAATAACATGCTTAACGCACAGCGTCCAGGATGCCGAAAAATGTAGGAAGTATACCACGAGGGTAGAGCACAGCTTTCGAAGAGCCAAAGGCCCTGACCCACGCCGTAGATAGACAATGAGCCATGTCAACAGTTGGTTCAAAACGGCCTCGGCGTCTGTGGCGCTCAATGACGCTCTATTTCAGGATCAGCCACTTCTCCACGAAAACTATAGATGTGGCCAAGTACTCACGAGTCCGTATTTAGCTTGACGGTAAATGTCAGGGCTCCGAAGAATTGTACTTTCTCATCAGAGCTTTGAAGCAAGCTGTTTGCAAGTTGCCAGCCATCAGCTGAGCGCTGTAGGGTGTGTAACGCCTCCTGGATATGAGCAATCCTCTTGGGGTCGCCCGGTTGGTACAACTCCGTGACTAGCTAAATCCGTCATTTTCAGCCTTGCTCATACCAGTGACAAAATAATGAATAACATACCTCCTCTACGTCCTTGAGACTCCTTGGAATAGGCGGTTCCATTGTCCAGTGAGGCTGTGGGTGATAATTGAAGTGACTAGTGGGGTTGTTCCGTTGAGCTCGGTAATACCAGCGCGCCCAGGGGATAGTGCAACGTGTTATGGCAAGGTACAGTATAGTTCAACGTGTGGGATCATCACGAGTAGCTGGAGCGGGTTTCATAACATGCCATAAGGCCTGGTGAAAGTTATAGAATTTCTTTGTTGATATTGGGGAAGCTTGTGACGGAAAGCGTGACCTCCCCCACCCCCACCTTGGAGCCTTAGATGTAAGGTACCAAGTCTCGACACCCACCACCTGTGTCACGATGAACAGATTTCATATTTAACGAAATCGCCAAGTATTATACAATAAGGGGGAAAATACAATACGACTTCCTGAGACAGCTGCAACTCGATAATTTTAATATACAGATGGGAGTGGGCTTCAATGCTATTATTTGAAATCGAATATGCAATTTTAATAAAGCTATCAAGGAGACAAGTAGTTTCTGAAACCATCTACTAGATAAGCAGCTTATTCTGAATTCCTTTTGTTCCATGTGGTTCGTATCTCTGCTAACTTGCATTGTGGCAACGTGCATTGTACCATACAAATGGCCCAAAATGACTATTGTGATTGAAAAGCAAAAAAGTTTCAAAAATCCACGAAAGTGGTTGAATGAAAGCCCAAGAGATCCCATCTAGGCAGTTCGTTGCACATCAAAATATTCCACAAAGCGCCCAGAACTTGCTTGCATATGCAATACCAAAGTTCCTTCCCCAATGATGGAAGCGACCAAATGTGTAGTTGAATGTAAAAGAGCCTCCAAAACAGCTAAGGGCAATCCTTGCAAGATTCGTCCAGAAAGAATTTGGCTGGATATTGAGTTAATGCCGGGCCAGATAACGGCATGTGACTGTTTGTCCTGTAAAGCAAATCGATTTGACCCAAATGAGATAGTAAAGTGCATTTCGGATACCAGCATGTTGACCGCGAGACCCCAAAGTGGTACTGCCTTCTACCAGTGTGCAAAGGGACACTCCAAATTTTCAAATTCCAGTAGCTTTGCATGGGGTGAGGGTTGTTTCTTGCGGAATTTGCTGTGTGTACATTAATTCCAAGATCTGCCAAGACACCGGATCATAAATTAATCTGTAATATATTAGAATAGCTTCCAAAACTGGACTTCGGAGACTTACATGAGTAGCGGGCAACATCTTGGTATGAAATCACATCCTCGAATTCAAACTCCTCAAGTGCCGCAAGGCGAGTACCTCTGTCGTACTGAGAGCGGCGGCGGCGTTGCTCGTCTCTATGGTGCTGCCCAGCACGTGGAGCAAACAGGCCTATTTTTTCTGTTAGATAGCTACATTTGTGGTGTATGTGCTACATCATATCTAATACTGACCGACATGCTCAGCATTTTCAACACTGCGTCTCATTTTTGAGGCATTGTCGGGGAGAGGAAAATCCTCCTCTCCGCCTCCACCTAGATGAGGAGGGCCTGTTCGGAAAATCTAACCTTGTCAGATATATAAAGATTGATTAATAGTCACGTATCTCACCTTGGGTCGGAATGATGGATGCTCAAGCATAACGGAGCTGTTGCGGAACTTCTGTACCAAACAGTCCTTTCCTTGAATGGCTACGAGGCCATTAGTTTTAAGTGGGGAAAAATATTTTGTGATACTTACTAGCATAGGAGACCTCGGCAACCTTGTCGCTATTGTACCTATTCCTGTGGAAGTCAGTTTTGTTGTTCTTGATCAAATTTAATCGAGTGGGGTGGGAGGGGTGGTAGGGGTGGGAAATATTTACCATCGTTGGCCGGCGCGTGCTTCCACAAACTGCGTCACTTTGTTAGTAAAATATGAATCATAGTCGCGGGCTACCTACAGCAATAATATGCCATGGCTGTTGAAAGTCAGTAAGAATACAGAAAAGAATTCTTGGGACGTCAAACTTACATCCTCAAAATTGATGAAAGCATAGCCAACACTTAAAAATTAGCTTCAGTACAAGTAAACCTCGGGTTCCAAATTACATACTTGCAGTTATTGGCAAAATCAATGCGGAGATACATGAAATCATAGGAGCCGAAGCTGGTTTCATCGATGATTCCCTTCAGCATCTCCTGGTTGATCTTATTTGGGATGTTGCGGAGCATAATCTGTAATAATATGAGAAAGCAGTCCAAAGTCTGTTTGTAAGAAACTTACAGTAGTCCGAACGTCTAATCCTTGGCGGATTCTGCCCACGTCGACAATGTTGTGTTGTCCCACCGAGCTGCCAAATTGAGGGCGACCAGTGCCTCGAACCGCGTTCTGGCGCACGGAATTTTGGCGACGCCCATAAAGGCGCAGTTGTGATTGAGATTCATCTTTGGAGCCACCATTCATTAGGCTGCCCGTATTATTCCAAGTCTTACCCGTTGGAGTTGTAAGTCTCGAATCATTGGATGTCACAGAAGTGGCACCATATTGAGACGGAGTGCCGTATCCTCCTGGGGTGTATCCTGTAGCTGGAGATTGCGGAGATGAATATGGACCACCAAGTGGCACAGTAGCACCGGGAAATACTGGGGTCACTGGAAATGTGGGAACATAAGAGTTACCCACGGGGCTCATCATCGTGGTAGGGTATGAAAATGGAACCTGCTGGTTGTATGCTGGAGGGCTTGAGATAGATAATCGCTCAATGCTTCCAATCAAGTCATCATAGTCTCCACGGCCGCGGATTGGAGTGTGATGAGATCCATGTGGGACTCGTGGGGGTCGCTGGTCGATATCTGGCTTGTGGAGTCCGAGTTTAAGAGTTATGCCCTGCTGAAACTTAGCAGATGCCTTTGGGCCACGAAGATTGATCTTACCCTAACGGTGGCTCCGTTGAGTCTCGCAACAGCACGATGCGCAGATCCTACATCGCAGAATTCGACGATCATGCCGACAGTCCCAGCTTCAGTTGGTGCCTGTTTCTGGTAGGCATACACTGCTCCATCAATGGCAAGAAGATCCACAATAATATCTTCAATTTTGGCCCTGTCAAAACCCCCCACAACAGGGAGCTTGGCGGTCAGAGAAACTTGGCCTTCATAGGCAGATACAAAGGCTGAGTTTGGGTTTGCTTTCTGCAGATGCATTTCTATTAGTGCTGAAAAAAACGAATTGACAGCTTATTACCACTTGCCTCGGCGCAGACACCTGGAGTTATGTATTCAACAGACCACTCAGGGTGAGAGATCTTTGCGTAGCTGTAGATGATAACTGCATCCTGGACATCAGAAAATCTCACCAAGACCTCGTTCGCAGTGTGATAGAATCGACGTGTTGCACGCTCAGGGATTCCCTTCTCCTAAGACATGTCAGTAAGATCATATAAGTTGTCTTACATAACGGTTGAGACATCAAGTAAAACTTCTCAAAATCTCACCCGATTGTTGAACAAAAAGTAACGGTGAAGGGGAAAAAGTTCCAAGAATTGAAAGCAACTTACTTGAAGGCATGTCTCAACTTGCTCTCTAGAGACAGTGATGTATATCCCAGATATTCTAAGAGCACGGGTAACTTGGGTATTGGTGCTGAAGATGCCCTGCTGTCCAATACCAGAGGCAAAGCTATCAGCTGGGGACACTGGTTCTACATATTGGCCGCCTCCTTTGTTTGGTTTAGCTATTTAGACTGTATCAGATTGTGGGGAATCTATATTACCTGCAATAGAATGGATAGAGCCCTTGTTCAAGTGGACACTGAAGGGTTCAAAGGAGGATGCTGTGGCACTGAGCTTCTGCTCGTGGCCCAGCTTTGCACCAGGGGAGGTGAAGGGGTCTTTGTCCTCATACTTGGCTGTTAGTGTGCAACCTCCTGTAGAGCTTGCTGGAGAGGTTAGTCCCAAGTCGGATTCGTGAGCTACTGTTCCAGATGGGTCATCTGGAAAGAAGCCTGTGAAGTAATTTGTTAGATTAGCATCAATGCAGTGGGAACTAATTGCCAGCCAACAGGATACAAACCTTGGTATGCATGCTTTGAGGTGGACATCTTGTCAGGTCTGCAGCATGCAGAAGGTGATGAAGAGAATAGCAGGAAAGACACCAGGTATCAAAATAGATCGGAGATAGACCAATACATGAACACCCAAAAGGAGAGTTAGGTGATCAGGAAGTAGATGTGTAGATGTGTGATGATGGAAAGTGTGGAACGAAGGAGAAGAATTGGAGGAGATCAGGTCAATATGAAAGGGAGAATTGGAGGAAAGGAGGAAAGGAGGAAACCCTGGATTTTGGAATTGGAAAGAAAATGGGGGGTTGTAGAAGTTTGTGTGTGTGGAAGCACCTTGATGGCAGTAGACGCGACTTCTTTTGCGAAAATGAAATGAAGCGATGAGTATATAGAGGAAGAAAAAAAAACAAGGAAAATCTCTATACTCTAATTCGAATTTGCGCCTCCGTTAAAACTTCTTTTATACCAGTTTAGTATGTTAGACACTGTAGTGTTTCCCATATGACTTGAGTATCTTTGTCTGATGTTGCTTTGAAGAGAAGCTCACCCCGTTCAGCTAGAGCTTGATATATGTCCCACTCCGGAGATACGTTCTTCCGGCCACGACGTCACAACCACGTGTAGGCTCCCAACTATGGTCTTGATTGAAACCGACACCGACACCGACACCGACACTTGATCTTTGAAGCTGAAGTGCCTATTCAAATTGTAGCAGACAATTGAAGTGGGCTGAAAGAGAGACCGACCTTGATTATTCACGGATGTGATCCCCTGGAAGGAAGAGTCATCCAGCCAGCTCTCCTCAACTTTAGTTCCTCCTCGCTACCCTGCCCTGGATACACTCCTCTTTGGAACAGCTCTGGATGCCACTGTCAACATCAGCTTCATTCCTTTCAGTGGCACTTGCCTCACGCAGAGATAATTAGCCGTGTAATCGACCCCAGTTCCACTTCAATATGCCTTCTGCAGTTGACTTCAGGAGCAATGGCCCATCAATCATCCAACAGGTAATGCCCGCTACCCCTTGAATCTTGTTCTAGAACGTAGCCTTATACTGTTAGATGATATTGTCACCCAGTGATAACGACTACCTTGACCAGCTCATCCCTGTTGTGAAAGATGCGAGCAGTTCTAGTCGCGCCCATGCCCTGATGAAGAGCCTCGCGCAATATGCCGCGCAACGAGAAAACGAAATCGAGAAAATGTGCAATCTAAACCACCAAGAGTTCCTAACATCGGTCAACAAGCTGCAGAAAGTTCGTGAAGGAACGGTCAAGTTGACATCCGAAATCTTGGAACTCAACCAGTCTATCCAGTCCAGCACGGAAAAGCTTGCGGAGCACAAGAAGGCGCTTGTCGACTCTCGAGGGGTGCGTCAAAATATCGATGAGGCAGCACAGGCACTGAAGGACTGCTTGGAAGTCTTGCGTGTATCGAACCATGTCCATGAGTTGCTGGGCCAGAAAAACCACTATGGGGCATTGCGAGCGCTGGATGAGCTCCAAAATGTGCATCTGAAGGAGGTAACACAGTACAAGCTGGCCGATATGATACAGAAGTCGGTCCCTGCTACACAGAAGCTCATAGCAGAGGCGGTCATGAATGATCTCAACACTTGGCTTTATAGGATCCGTGAGACGTCTCAGTTCCTGGGGGAGGTAGCTTTCTACCATACTGAGTTGCGGCGAACAAGGCAAAAAGAGCGAATGGAAGCCAATCCTTATCTCCGGAACTTCAAGCTTAACTCGGCGATAGAAATGGTCTTCGATGAGAGCGAGGAGTTTGATGCACTAGATAATGATGAGCTGCGGGTTGATTTTACTCCTCTGTTGGAATGCTTACATATACATGAGGCGTTGGGGCAAAGTGACAAATTCCGCACTGAGTACGCCGCGACTCGAAGAAAGCAGAAAGAACTTCTTTTACCGTCTTCAATTAGTCTTCTCGAGAACGATGACTCCAGCTTAAGTAGTCTCCTGGAAGGAATTGCTGGATTTGCGATCATTGAACGGGCAACTATGAGACGTGCCCATAACCTCCGCTCACCTGTTGATGTGAGTTTGATTCTAGCATCAGTGTGGCACGGCAACATACTTACTGTTTATAGGTCGATGAGTTGTGGGATTCAATGTGCCAAGCCGCCATTGGTCTCATCTCCAAAGCTCTCGACGATGTTGATAATGCGGAGGTTCTTTTGAAAATCAAAGGTGTCATTGCGTTGTTTATACAGACGCTGGATGTAAGATAACCTTGGATTTTCCACTTCCGTGTAACTGCTGACCAGTAAGGGTTGGGGCTATTCCGTGTCTGCCCTGGACACCTTTCTGTTGACTCTGTTTGAGAAATACGCCGAGTTGCTAAAAAGACGGTTTAGTGATGATTTTCAAGAAGTATTAGCCCAGTACCCACTGAGTTATAAAAGGATGCTGACGCTCATAGATCGTATCTACTGACGATTATATGCCGATGCCGATTAGCAACTTGGACGAGTATGACAAAGTTGTTAATGTCAGTTGGTTTACACCTGATAAACCAAGAGGGGAACTTTCGTATGTTATTCTTGCCTTTGTTGACAAAGCAGGTGCTGATCCTTGCCAGATTTCCATGCGTGTTGCCCTTCTCTCAGATGTACCCTCTTTGTTGTATTGACATCCGAAACTTTTTGAATCAGTTCTACTTCTTTTCGGACGATCATTTTCAACATCCCAATGTTATCGATGAGACGCTGAGAAAGGTATGTTTTCCTGAAATGTTAGATCGATCATGTGTTGACTTTGGCCAAGTCTCTGGACCAACTCCTTTCGGAGAAGGTCTGTAGGTCTCTTGTGGAACGTTTAAGCTCCCAGTATCTGGGGCAAATCGTCCAAATTCTGATTAACCTTGAACATTTTGAAACCGCTTGTCAAGAGCTTGAGCAGCTTTTGATTGCGGCTCGTTCATCAACATCTGCTGGAGGACCAATTGTGCTAAATGCTACGGAGGAGTTCCGTAGTAACAAAAAGACTGCGGAGAAGAGAATTTTTGAGCTCGTCAACTCTAAGATTGACGACTTGATAGAAACTGCTGAATACGATTGGTAAGCTTGCAGCCCCATTGAACGTTCCAACTAGCTAATAATCTACTACAGGATGGCACCAACATTAGAGGGCGAGCCAAGCAACTACATGCAGACATTGACTCGTTATCTGTCGAATATCATGAACTCTACCTTACTGGGTCTCCCGAGAGAGATCAAAGAGTTGATCTATTTCGATGCTCTAAGCCATGCAGCGAATATGATATTGGTATGTTAATCTTGACATAGTACGTAAGAAGTTAAGCTCACAGTTGCATTGTAGGCCCTTCCTTTGTCACCGGACGTGAAGAAGATCAACCCGAATGGTGTCGCTGCATTGGCAAAGGACGTGGATTACCTGGCCGAGTTTGTGGACAGCCTCGAGAATGCACCTATCCTGCGGGAGAATCTCGATGAATTGCAGCAAACAGTCAACTTGATGCAAACTGACAACCCTGACGAGTACTTTGACATTTCAACGAGGAATAAGAAGTACGGTCGGGTAGATCCCCTGAATGGACCAAAGATCCTTGAGAAGTAAGCCGCCAGCCCCGACTCTTCATATTCAATGGCATGTTACTAACCATTGAAACTAACTACAGACTCACGTACTCGGTTCAAAGTCCAGTCAAAAATGATAGACTAGCCAATTTTTCGTCACGATTTGGGAAGAAGTAGGGTTATATAGTTAATTCACAGATCGAACGAAGACCTCATCAAATCACTATGGATGAGAAAATCAATAAATGTAACAAATCTCAATTTATTTGAGCGGGATCAAGCATTTACTCTACTTTCCCCAAACCAGAACGAAAGAAAGCAGACACTCCAGGCGCCATAATATACTCTGATAACCCCAAGGACGCTTGGCCTCTCTCAACGCCCCACCATCTCCCATCCAACCTAGGCGGACGATAGTCGCAGAAACATGCTAACCGACCTCATAATCTCTTTCGCCCTCTGCATCCGCATCTCCTTCGCCTCCGTCATGGCGCGGGTAATTGTGCCCGGCGTCTTGACCGACTGTGGGATCTTGGGCTCGCTGTGGTACATGGTACATCTAAAAACAAGTCAGAGGAGAAGGTGCTTTCAGAGGAGGAAGGTCATACCTGCTGCGGTGGCATCGGCGGATATGCGTACATCCCTTCCATCTCACCATACATGTGTGGTGGGGCTTGTCCATATGCGCCAACAGGACCCGGCTGGACCTGTCCAGGATACATAGCAGGTTGGCGGTAATCTTGGTCTGGAGCCAAACTGTGGCCCAACGAGTAATCCGGAGGAGCCATAGCATGCTGCTGAGGCTGATGACTGGGTTGCTGTTGGGAGATATTGCCCTGCGCCGGGATCTGGGCACCAGCGGGAGGAACTCCTTGCGCCGCAGCGTTTGGACCAGAAGCTCTCTTGGCGTGCGATGCAGCCTCCTCTCGAGGAACGATGTCAATCAGGAAGTCAAACATATCACTCTTAGCCAGCGCAGATGCAATATCAGATCTCTGGAGTGTACGGCGCTTGTTCTCTTCGGCGTGGATCCAGGCGCGCATAGTCAATTCCGTAATAAAAATATCACAGCCTTTGGCGAACAGAATCGGAGCTTCTGCCGATATCATTTTTACTTCTGGATCTGCCTTCATGACCTTTTTAATTCGTGCCAAAGGGAGCTGATGCAGTTTGTAGTCGTGTGTCTCGGTCTCGAGTTGGTTGATCGTCTGCTGCCAGTATGTCGTGAGGATGTCTCTGTACCCGCCCTGGAGGCCTTGGTTTACCTGCGAATAGTTGAGCTTCGAAACCGCATTGAGGAAAGTGTTCACTTACATTCGCCCAGGCTCCTGTGTAGAATTCCGCGACTGGCGCAAACCCTTGCGCAGAAAGCTTTCTAGTCTTAGTATCTAGAGCTCTGTGAACGATCAGTCAAAACTTACGGAAGCGCTGGCGCCTATAGATTATACAATTAGCTATTGCTATCACTTCGAATGCGCCTGGGAGATTGTCTACTTGCCATAATGGCCGCCTTGGTTGATGTCATAGACGGGTTGTTGGCGCTGTTGGCCCTGGCCATGAGCAGCGTTTGGCTGCGCGGATGGATCCATGGTAGCAAGCTTGACTATTCCTTCCTCCCGTATAGACTGCGACGTGCGCGCGATATGTTGTGTGTATATAAGTGAGACTGCTGCTGTCACCACTGTGAGTGTTTACAAGTTCTCGGTGACGCGACAAGTGACGAAGAGGTGTGACCGAAGGCGCAAATTCGGTGTCTCCGTGGGCGCAACTGCCACTGCTCACCGCCGCTGGTGAATTGAGGCTGTGTTTAAATCACGGTGTGAAAGGCGGTCGCATAAGTCGCATTTCCTTGACTCTGACGTCGTGGTGCTGTTGATGATGCCCAAGCCAAAGAGTTAATTGATTGGTTGGCGCCGGCAGCTGGAGTGATGGGGCAGGTACTCGAGTAACGACCAGCACGGGAAAGCCGCCCATGAAATGTTTACACAGTACTTTGGCCTGGACAGAGCGGCTGAGTGCCTGCCTGCGCCTGCAGCCAACACATCAAAACAACTCAGTATTTTTATTTATTATTTTTTTCTCTTAAGGGTCGTCAGCCACGATTAATTTTTTTGCTTCTTCCATTTCTCCTATGCATTTTATTGAGCATTAGCCAAAATAGCAATTGAACCCCCATTACAGAACCCGGCGCATTCTTTAAGGTCACGTGCCAATACGGTAGAGCCAGCCTCGCAATGCCAAGCATTTCGCTTAAAGGACTTTGCATTTGCTTCTATAAAGTTTCTCCCGCATACCAACCAGCGTAAAACATAATTTTTCCAAGCCTGTCTTTCTGCACCACATACGGTGCAAGAAGCTTGCTACTCTCACAATGGAAGTATTGGAGAGCCAGGACCTGTCTGATGGGCAGATACAACAAATGCTCAGAGATGCTGAGCAGAGGATGAGGGCATCAGCAGAAGCCAGTGCAAATACTTTGATAACCACCAGCGGCATATCATCTCTGCCCGGTCTCGACTCTAGGTATATCTTCCACTCACAACGCAGGATTCCCCTGCTAGTTGGTACGCATGCTAACTCCAGGCAGCACCAGTATCTCAAATGGGACCGGCTCCGGTTTACCTTCAGTATACGTTAAGCCAACCATCTCTGGTGCACAGGTTGATCCAGAATTTCTTGTCAGTAAGCAAGAGAGGAAGCTTGCAAATACACCACGCTGCGTTGAAGATCCGGTTGCCGCTAAGGTTAAGGCTGCAAAAGTAAGTTTCAACAGTTCCACTTCTTTTTGTGCTTTTATGAGGAAAATTATCCCAAAGAATCTTGACGCAGAACTCGGACCCCGTCTTGGGTGTCTTCTCTGCATCTATGATAGTACACACATTGTGTGAATTCATAGTTACTCTGACTTAGCATCTATCTTTTTATTCGCTATTCATTATTTGCTGTGGCTTTCCACTGACTTTTAAAACAGGAGAAGGCAGCATCAGCTGGGCCCAATTGGTACAACCTGCCTAAGACCGTATTGACGCCGGAACTCAAGCGTGACCTGCAACTGCTACGCTTGCGATCAGTCCTCGACCCGAAAAGACATTATAAGAAGGACAATGATAGAAAGAGCGACGTGCCTGAGTTCTCCCAAGTTGGAACAGTCATTGAAGGACCGACCGAATTCTTCACTGCCAGGATGACAAACAAGGAGCGAAAGCGAACCTTCCTAGAAGATGTTTTGGCAGGCGAACAGAAGACGCAGCGATTCAAGTCGAGGTATAGTCAGATACAGCTTGCCAAGACCAGCGGGAAGAAGGCTCATTACAAAGCGCTGAGGGCAAAGAGATCTGGAAAGGTTTCTAAAGGTTGAAGCCTCTTCCCTGAACAAGTCATCCGTTTAACAGGCAAACCGCAAGCTCCATCCAAGTGGTACAGGACTTGATCCGTCTGGTATCTCCCATAACTAACAATCAGATTATTGTTTGGGAGACCAGTGACACTGATGGAGAGCTACCTACCGTAGTCACCTATGCACTACGCCCTGCGCCAACTGCAGACGCCCGCGCCACGAAGCTGTTGGGTATGGGCCTGCCAAACAAGATCTGGCTAGGTAACATGGTGGTGATCCATATTATATGACCGTAGGTTAAATAGCCACGCGGCAACTGGCACCCCATTGCGAGCATGAATATAGCGTAATTAAATAGAATACGCCCTCATGAATCAAATATACATCACAAAATTACAAGGCTCCTTTTATGTGCATAATCGTGAATCTGTTTTATGGTATAAATTGAGTTTCAATGTTAAATAGTAGTCACGTGACAATCGTGTCCGTGTCGGTAATTCCCGTTGGTGCTATAACGAACATTTTATTTTGGCTTCATCCAGCATTGCAAACCGCGCTTCCAACATGGCATCTATAGCCCCATTGCGATCGCATTGGGCTGCGGCTAGCCGGTCCAAAGTAAGTTCTGCTTCAGGTTGGATGAGGAGCTCAGAAGTGGTGCTAACAGCTCAGTATGTGGCAGGTTCAGCGATCACGAACAGAATTGCCGTCAGTCGGTTCCATGCTGCCAGCTTGAGCCGCGGCAAAGACGATGCCCCGAAAGCAGAGACACCGTATGATTCAATATATACCTAAAATTCACTGCGTTTGAAGCTAACCAGATGCCTGGACAGATCTGCCGCGGCAACCAATGTCACCCTCAAGTTCGTACCTCTTTCTAGCCACTATGGATCGAGTTGAAGTGCTTTAGACTAACACAAGCATTCAGATCATCCGAGAGCAGCACCGCGGAATCAGAGATACCTCGCCTGCCTAGAAACGTACAGGCTATATACCTGAAGCCCCTACGACGAGATGTGGAATATGGTGTCCCGTCCTGCGATCTTCAATTGCGATCCTACAGCGTACGAAACCTCGAATTCTTCGCAGATTTTGCCCTACGAGCAGCATACTATTTGAAACTCCCTGCCTTTGGCCCTGTTCCGCTTCCCCGAATTACGGAAAGATGGACGGTCCCGAAGAGTAATTTCGTCAACAAGAAGTCTCAGGAGAATTTCGAACGTATCACCTTGAGACGCCTTATCCAAATTAAAGACGGACACCCAGAGACTGTCGAGTTATGGCTTGCTTTCTTGAAAAAGCACGCATATTACGGAATCGGAATGAAGGCGAACGTGTGGGAATACAACGAGCTTGGTAAGTGACGATTCTCGAGGGGAAGTCTTCAACTACTAACCAACGGATAGGGGTCGGAAAAACAATGGATGTGAGCTTGGAGAATCTCAAGAACGTCATGGAGCCCAAATGGGCCCATTTTGGACGAAACAGAAACCTGGAGACTTCAGAGAAGGTTTTGGAGTTGATGAATTCCGAGAAGTATAGGCTTGCAGCAACCGGCAACGCACCAATGACCAACAGATAAGGTTAATATTTCAGAGTGTCCGGGATGTATATTATACTGTATCAGAAGCACGTAAATTAGGTATTGCTGCATTTAGAAGGCGCAGGGTAGCACATGTTGGGAGTTAATGGGTAACGGAAACCCTGTATATATACATATCCGCAAGAAACAGCTTACTACTGTGAATCTCCAACATTAGAATATGAAACCGGGCTCTCTTGAATGAAAGTATTAAATGAAGAGCACCAACACTAATAGTTTGTATGTCCGGCAAGTTGAGCATAATTTTCTTTTGGAAGCCTCTCACAACATAAAATAATTCATATCACGTGACGAACAATTTTATCTCGTGGATGGCCGATGCTGAGCCAGATTTCACCAATTCACCTTTTCCTACGTCTAATTGTTTCTTTTGGTTGTATAGCTATGGTTCTACTATGTCGAAATTCTCGTTCGCTCCTGCGTGAGTCAGTTGTATGCGCACTTTCCAAGCAAGCGTCAAGCCCGTCAAATATTCGGAGGCTGTCCTCAGCCATCCCAACACCACCGCGCCAGGTTATATTTTCCGGCATACAGCCAACCGGCATTCCTCATCTTGGAAACTACCTTGGCGCTCTTAAGCAATGGGTGGACCTACAGGATTCAGTTCCTTCGGAAACCAAACTAATATACTCCGTCGTGGATTTGCATGCCATCACCGTGCCGCAAGATCCCCAGCGTCTCAGGCAATATAAACGCGAGGTCTTGGCTACTCTTTTAGCTATAGGCATAAGGCCAGAGAGGTCGATATTATTCTACCAGTCGTCCGTATGTTTAATTCCGGGCGTTTTTGGTAAACATGAGACTCATCAACTTTCCAGGTCCAAGCACATGCCGAGCTGATGTGGATATTAAGCTGCACAGCTTCAGCAGGTTATCTTTCTCGTATGACACAGTGGAAGGTATTCTAGATAATGAATCTAAACGCTGCTTGTCGCATCTACTAATGACAAATAGAGCAAGCTCTCGCTATCGGAGGATGCGAACGCAATGGACACGGGCAGCAAAGCCAAGTTGAAGCTTGGGCTCTTTTCATATCCAGTTCTACAAGCCGCGGATATTTTGGTCCATAGGTAGTAATGGCCCAGTCACTGCTAGGAAGGTTACTGATTGTTGCAGGGCCACTCACGTTCCAGTGGGAGAAGACCAAAGCCAGCATCTGGAATTCGCACGCGAATGTGCAACCAACTTCAACCACACATACCAGCCTCATCTAATTGCTCCGCAAACTATCCTATGTATATCCAGCAAACAGTTTCTCTCATAAAGTCATTTACTAACTAGCTCCAGCACCTGCCAAACGAGTAATGTCGCTACAAGAACCGCATTTGAAAATGTCCAAATCACACGCAAACCCCCTTTCAAGGATTTTGGTTACCGACTCACCCCAAGAAATCAAGAAGAAAGTAATGGCCGCAAGAACAGACTCCATCAACTCCGTGTCGTTCGATCCCGTTGAGCGGCCAGGCGTCTCGAACCTCCTGCATCTCTTATCCATCTTGGACAAGCAATCTCGAAGCCCGGAAGAGCTGGGAACGCTCCACGCCGGGTTGAACTTGAAAAACTTCAAGACTTTGGTAGCTGAAACTGTGGCAGAATCCCTCGATGGGATCGGTGCTCGCTATAACGAGGTGATGAGCCGCGATGATGGCAAGTATCTCGATCACGTGGAGAAGAAAGGGGCGGAAAAGGCTCGGGAGAGTGCCGAAGAAACGATGGCGCTTGTAAGAGAAGCTATCGGCTTTTAAAGCTGAAGCTGCGGGAGCTTCTCAGTGACACGGAGAAGTTGAGGCTCCAACTTGTTGGCAAGGGCAAGGGCAAGGGGCGCAAATCGACGTCTCCCCATCGGAGGGCCTGGGATGACCCTCCTCATAATCTTGACACAACCACTTACTGTATATTATATGTAAAACACGCTGTATACCAATATATTAGACTGTTTCACCAGTATACCCTACTTGAGTTACGGGCCACTTCATAATAAAAATAAAAATATTCTATATCACGTGTTTTTATCATGTGATATTTTCCTTATCGCCTACAAAACAGTCACCTCCGATAAGGACGTTTGGTATTATATAGGTCGGAAATATAAGACGGAGGAACCAAGGCAGTTCCGACTTTCGGTGGTATCCAGAACCCACAACAGCATCTAGCGTAGCATGCGAAGTGAAGATGGCAATGCATTCGCTAAGGTCGCCGTCGAGGGCAACCAGGCTCGCATCATTGGCCGTAGTTGCTCTTAGGAGGCCATATTCGTCTGCGACGGTATCCCCCCTCAGCTTCGACCTCCATGAGGCCCCTCGAGGTGAGGAGAAAGGGAGTCCAATCATTTTCATGCATGGTCTTTTCGGCTCCAAGAAGAACAACAGGACCATGAGCAAGTAAGGCACCATGTCTATTCCTATCCTCTCAGAATCATTGTTCTAAATTATCTACCCACGCACGTGTAGGGTCCTTGCCCGTGACCTGGGAAGAAATGTTTATGCTTTGGTATGTTCTATTCAATTGGGAAATTTCAAGCATTGGCTAATTAGGTTGAAGGACATGAGAAATCATGGGGATTCGCCGCACCATGAGCGTCATGACTATGCTATCATGGCCGACGATGTTGCGCGGTTCATGGATGAGCATAAGCTGGAGGACACAACTCTCATCGGCCATTCAATGTAAGCTGGAACCCCGTACTAATTACGGAGTTAAAGATAATCCTAACAAGTCACAAGGGGAGCCAAAACCGCCATGGCGTTTGCACTCAATTATCCTAGTAGAACACAAAATATCGTTGCGGTGGACAATGCCCCGATAGATGCACCCCTGCTGAGGAGCTTTGGGAAATACGTCCAAGGGATGAAGAAAATTGAGCAGGCTGGCGTAACGAGGCTATCAGAAGCCGATGAAATTCTAAAGGACTACGAAGAGGAAAGTATCATTGAGCCATGAATTGGTCCGGCCCATTCTAGCTGCTAACTATCACGCAGTCTCTTGTCATCAGACAATTTCTCCTTGGGAATCTGCATCGTCCTCCAAACGAGAAGACGCAGAAATTCAAATTCTCCTTGAAAACATTGGCTCTCTCCCTCGGTCATCTAGGCGATTTCCCATACAGAAATCCTGACGAAGTCCGCTTTGAAAAGCCCGCCCTATTCGTTCGGGGCACCCAAAGCCCGTATATTCCAGACGAAGCTATTCCCATCATTGGGCGCTTCTTTCCTCGATTTCGACTGGTCGATATTGATTCCGGCCACTGGGTCATTGCAGAGAAGCCCGAGTTATTTAGACAAGGTATGTCTCGTATCCAACCAAAGACCATCTCTAGTTATTAACGCCCATCAGCTGTCGTAGAGTTCCTTGGCGAAGACAAGGAGAATTAGAAGAACTTGGGTATTCGATTATACCTCAAGGATAGCTTGGAAGGGTAGAATCTAGAAACTACGCCGCAACAAACCATTGTAAATGGATGTTTGAGGGCGGAAAGTGTATAATACTTGTAGATAAAAAATATATCTGACCAGCCGACGTCTTCATCGACGTCTCAACATGGACATCCGGAAGAAATCTGTGACGCCGCATTGCCCAAGGTGATACCACTTGAATCCCGCTGTGTCTGCTCTACCAACCCCGGCGTGGAGACGATAGTATCAACGATTTCTACGAACGGCTTCCGCACATTCTCCCGGGTCTTCGAACTGACCTCGCAGAACTGCGCGCCGTGGATAGACGCAAGTGCCTCTCCCTCCGAGGCGCTGACCTTTCTCGACGCCTCTTTGTCCAGCTTGCTCCCGACCAAGTATGTAATCGTCCCAGGCATAGAGTTGTTCTGGACTTCCTCAAACCACCGACCCATGGACAGGAAGCTGTCCCGGTTGGAAATATCATACACGAGGATGACGCCGTGGGCGCCGCGGTAATAGCTGTTCGAGAGAGTCCGGAATCGTTCTTGGCCCGCAGTATCGAGGAGGTTCAGGCGATACGAAGTGCCTCGCACCGAAAGCTTCTTCACCTATCGATCAATCAGCCTTGTCGCCTTCACAGCGCTGAGGGTCCGCCCGCACCTTGAAGTCAACGCCGATAGTGGCCGTCGAGGATTCCGGGTCGAACTGGTCGTCGCAGTATCTGATCAACACTCAAGGGCGGTTAGTCCACAGTCTGTAACCACAAGTATTGGTCCATACGTGCTGATTTCCCGGCTCCAGAAGGACCGATCATGAGCAGCTTGATGACCTTGAGGTTGTCGGTGTCCATCGTGATCGCTGTTGAGCCATTCATTCACTGTTGAAATGTCCAGGGCAAGGCAGCAAGCAACTGTAATATACAAGAGACCGCTACCCGAGCCTTTACTTGGCGACGGAACAGTTGTTCTTTGTACGGCACTCTACATGTCTATAATCTACATGGTGGAGGGGAGACAGTTATCGTTCAGCGATACCCGTTTTCGCTAAAATGTGTGGGCATGTGATTGGTATTTAGAGTAGCCACATCAAAGTTGAAGCGCAAAAAAGCATCACAGAAAGCAATACAGTGGGAAGCGGAAGTTTTTTTGAAATTTCTTTGATTTTGAATGACTCCCAAATGCCTGAGAGGTCATGCAAGTCACGCCATATGCCGAAAGCAAGACCTTTGCCCTAATGAACATGACCAATCAAAACCCCGCTAGTACAGCACTTTATACCTGCTCCAGGACCGTCTCCTTGAACTCCCTCTCAACCTTCTGTCCCTGCTCATCCGTGTTTGACTCGCCGTGGAGGTTAAGAAGGGCGCCGAGGTCGAACTTGGGTGCCTTCAGGAGCTTGACTTTGCGGATGTGAACCTGAGTGTGATGTCAATAACTGTAATCTCCTCAACAGAAAAAAATACGGCAAGTCTCTGATACGTACGTTTTGGAGAGGGTAGATTCCCTGTGTAGCCTTCTCGATCTCGCGGCCGATAACCTCCGGGATGAGCTTGGCGGTAAGCTGGGTAAGGGTGCAGCTCGAGGCCTCGCGCTGGATGATCTCAGTCATCTTCCTGCGGATGGCTCTGATTTGCGAAGAAGCAGCGTAGGTGGTCTTCTTGATTTGGTTGGGGCGGCGCTTGGTGAAGGCGATCGCGAAGAGGCGGAGGAGGTAGTCATCGGTCGTCTTGACGGTGACGTTGGCCTCGATTAACGATTGCCACTTGCGGACCAGGGACCTCAGCTTGTCGGATGTGAAGTCGAGACCGTGGAAGTTCGTCAGGCAGTTCTTTCCCTGCACCTCATCGACACGGAGCTTGATCTTGCGGAAAGCGTGGTCCTCATCCTTCTGGAGATCGGCCAAGGAGACCTCGACGATACGGCCCTTCAGGGAGTCGTTGGCGTTCTTGAGACCGGTAGTCCTGTTGACAAGAGTCTTGCCGACACTGAAATCGATTGTTAGAATCTGTTATACACATTGTAATCGGGGTTGCCATACTCTCTAATCTGGAACGAGGTAGGTGCCTTTAAATCACAGTTAGCAACGATACCATGCATAGCCTCTGCGTCATGAGCAATTTACCTTAATTTGGTACCAGTCCTTGCGGGTGAAGGGATCGATGGTTCTCTTCTTGATACCCTTCTTTCCCTTTGAGAGGCGCTTGTTCCTGCAGAGGTGTGTTAGAGATGGCTCTAATTTGTGTGGTGTGCGCGCATTGATGCTCAGAAGTCGTAGCAAAATGAATTCGAGGTTTCGGGTTCCAGAGTAAGACTCACTTTCCGACAGCCATGATTGCGATAAGTTACCTGATCGCGTTGACTGTTGAGTTGAACGTTTGTCGTAGGTTGGCGATACTGACCAAATGGAAATATTGTCAAATTCAGATGTGTGTGTCGCGCTAGTGGGGCAAACTAACCGAAGCTTAGTCAGCGCATTGATCCCTGGGAAAGGGCTACTGTGGATTTTCGGATTTTCGGTGTGGAGTAGAGTTGTTCCCTTCCATTTGTTCCGGATTTCGAAGAACACGGTTCAACAACACAGCACAAAAACAACAAAAAACAACAAAAATACAGCGAAAGTACACAACAAATTCAAAGAAAATCGATGATTAAAATATGAATATTTATTTGGTATCTGTTATGCTAGTTATGCCATTTCCTTATGCCATATGTTGCCCCCCTCCATTCCCATAATGCCAGTCAGTCAGTCCGTCACTCCATTCGCCATCCCCACCATCCATCCCAACCACCCATGCACCGAACGCCAACGCAAAGTCACTCCACCGCCCAAAACAACAAAAACAATCAATTTCCGAGTTCTTCACCGCCATCATCCGGGTCCTCGTGGAAGTCTTCGAAATTCGGGAAGCTGAAATAGAGGCATTGTGCTTCAGGTTGTATGAGCCAAATTGTTCGAAAGCAAGACTGGCCATACCCAGTGTGGGTAGGTGACGGCGGTGAAACTCACATGTGTACATGCTCTCCTTCTGCTCCTCTACCGTATTTGAGAAGCCGTGATCCGATACTGTTCGTCTTGGGCTCACAGAGCGGCGACAGCTATCTTGTGACGACGACAGGCTCACGGCGTCTGTCCTCGGCGGTGATGAAGAGGCAACCCGGCTGAGTATCGCTGTCGCCCTTGACGATGGATGGAGGTAGGCAAGGTCGCTGCGGCAGGCGTTCGATGTGGCCAGGGAGGGTGCAGTCGCGCTGGAGCGCATCAACTTCGGTCGTCGACAGGTGGAAGTCCTCGATATTGGCCTCGATGCCGACTTGCCCTCTGATGAGATTGAATGTGAGCTCGCCATTTCAGGTAATGTGTAACGTGCTACAGCCACTATGTGAGTGACGGAAGATGTGAAGGTTGAAGCAGTGACGATTGTAGGTAGGTTGTAATTGTAATGTGTTATTGTTGAGGATTGTAAATAAACGTGTTATTGATGAATCCAAATACACTGTCCCAATAGATTCCAAGTTCACAAGTCTGCCTATAAAGCTATAATCTTAATTATTTGTTTTGGGCTTGTGGAGACCTATCTATCTCCGCACCCATCAGACACTTTACATCACGTTCGAGATATCAAGCAACTCTTCCCCATTTCGTCCCTACCATGACCGCCACATATCTCCGGTTTGATGGTCTAGTCATCCTGAGCGATGTGGTCCAATCTGTGTGGCTTCCATTCGGGGCTACTGCACAGTGTTCGTTAGACAGGGCCCGGCCCGCCTATGAATCTCTCGTTCCTCGTGAATTATGGCCAGTAAACGGACAACAGGGCTGTTTGGGCATGGGGTCACGCCTTGATTAAGTCGGCCCAATGCTGCTCGCGTCGACCCAAAAGTCCGAAAAGAAAAGAGCCCATCGCCGCTTTCAGTTGTTTACAGTAACTGTAATTGAAGTGACGGCTTCTTGATTATTCACACCTACAATTTATCATATCATGTTTACCGCCTTTTGGTCGAGCGAGCTTCAGAAGAATTCAAGTACAGGTATCAATTCTCAAGCTATGCGTGCGCTGCCCATCCTCAAGACTTCCAGGCGGCACAACACCCCATCGCGATCCATCAAGCTACCCCCCAAATACATTTCCGCATGTTGCTCCATGCATCAAGTTCTGGGGGGGTTCTAACGTTGCTTCTTCCCTGTTCCCACTCGTGACTGGGATCACGTAATGGTGGTGGTGTTCCCCTTCTGGCAATCCGCCCAACCCCAACCCTTCCAGACCACCTTTCCATGATCTTTTTAGTGATCGATGCTGTAACATAATTAATATCACGATTATACTACAACACGGGACGCTTACTCTTCCCAGGTTCTTCCTCGGACAGCTTCCAATTCCTCACTCGTCATTCGATGGCCTTTCGTGAAGTACCCTGTCCCACACCATCAATACGGATCGTCCAGATCAAGAAGAAGAGCTGCACTTACCAGCCGTAATTTTCGCATCTATCTCCACTCGACCATCATCTGGAATCCACGATTCGGGCAGCTCTACTCGTTCGTGGATCGGTATACTACAAATCGTGTAAGCACGGGACTACTGTCAAAGGTGAGATATGTACCCTTGCCCAACGATTGCGTCGTGCTTCATGCTGCGAGAGAGTGAGAGTCAGCGCTTTGCAGCTGGAAATACATCCGTTGGAGTAGACATACTCGCTCATACTCATCATTCGGTCGATCTTTGTTATGCCAAGCCAGTGAAGGATGTCTGGCATCAGTGCTTGAAACCTCATGTCCTTCACTCCTGCCACATTTTCGGTCCTCTGGAAGTATTCAGATGCTCTATCGGCACTACGTTTTCTGGCATTGTAAACGAGATACTACAAGTTTGGAAAATATCAGTAATAGCGAAGGGCCATGGAAAATGTGGACTTTACCTTTGTGACTTCTCCCAAAGCTCGTCCTTCTTTCCTGAAATATATGACAACGCCACTTCCTCCTTTCTGGGCTTCCTTTACAGCTTCTTCAATTCCAAATATTAAATATGGACGGCAAGTGCAAATATTACTAGAGAATACGTCGCTTGAGTTGCACTCGTCGTGGATCCGAAGGGCGAGGCGTGCGTTGGCATCTGCCATTTTTGCCGGATCGCCGAAGCAATACACAGTTAGGCCACCTACTATGCATAAGCATGATAACACTGAGCCCAGTGTTCTTACATACCTATTGGTGGTAAGAAAACCTTGATATCCCCCCTCGTGATAAGCTACTGCCGTTAGCTTGGATCTCAGCTATGGGCCATGCACAGCATGCTGCAAGTTTACCTCAGGGTAGCTTCCTCCCGTATGCTCAAAGAGTGAACGGCGCAAAGTACCTTCATCTGCAAGTAATCATTAGCATAGTATATTGATAGTAGTCTAGAGTTGTGACCTATTCCGAAACGCTTAGCAACTCCTGGGAGATACCACACCTGCACCATGTCAGTACGCTGTACAGAGTCGGAATATAAAAATATCATACTGGTTCGACGGCAAATTTGGTAACTGCAAGCTCTCCCAGATCGTTCAAGCACACCTTTCCATCAGGAACACTTTGGGGAAGTTAATTGATCGACTCATCTATGACTAAGTATTGATTCGACTTACAGTCTGCCCTCTCGAACGCTGGCTTCAAGCTCCGGAAGCTGGCAAGGTCAGTTAGCTGGACGTTGACATAGAGTGGTCTTGGGGGAGGATAGGTTCATACATTCATCCGAGCTTTGGTAATGGCTGCATATACCAGAATTAATATACATTGGCATAAGTCGTAGGGGCATTCAGAACTAACCAATAGTTGGACGGATGTCAACTGGGCAAGTTAGTAACACCTCTCATAGAATCAAGGCTGAATACGAACTATTCTCGGAATCCATGGTGCTTTTAAAAAGCCAGGGTGCCAGATGTCCAAGAGGATCCAAAGAGACTATCTTCTCCTTGTCGGCCCATTGTGGAAAAGGACCTATGTTAGAAGCTGGCTCGGTGTTTGTGAAGTCGGGCCTGAATACTATTAGCCGTTGAAAATTCCGCTATCGTTTGCTAGATATCATTTTCTTAATGAGGGAAAACTGAATATACAGTAAAATATAACCTCGGTCCCTGACAAGATATTTCGCTCGGTTGGGACGCTGTTTGACAAGTGAACCTCATAGCTTACTTATGGTCAAGTTCTATCTCTTTGCTGGCTACGGCAAGAGCGTAGTATATCGAATATGACCCACCGTGTGCTGGCATTCGTCAATAAAGTGTTCTCTGTATGTCGCATCGGGACGTGATATACCTCCTATAGCTATAATGACAATAACCGTTAGCATTGCACAACATGAGGGGTTCGTATAGCATACCATTGCGCCTCCGAATCGTCGATTGCGACCTCGAAACAACGACTGGTCCCCTCGTCTGCGGATCTTTGTTGCCCCAGTCCATCGGAAGCGGGTTTATGCCACTTTGGCCAGGGTACGTGCTGGATATATTGTCAGCTTCAGCAACACGCGGGTCGGGATACCCCTTCAGGCACTCGTATAAGATGCCCGGGACGAGATTGACGACTGGATGGGGCGACGGGCAGGGTTAGGTTTAACCCACGTAAGAATGATCCGTGAAGTCGGAGTATACTGCAGATTCGAGGGCGATGCAGTGGAAGGCATATTGGAATGGTCAACGTCTTCTGCTGCCACAGTTGGAGACTCCGGTACCCCAACATCATGGTCTTCTTTGTTATCTATGTGAGCCGTGGTGCTCGGGGTGTCTTCCTGTTTGCTGCTGGAAGCTGTTGCGGCAAGTTCAACTTCTTTGATGCCAGCGAGGATATTTACGCGGCCGTTGATGGCATCTACATTTGCGGCGAGCTGGGTCTGGTTGGCTGTCAATACCTTGAGGGCTTCCAGCACGTCTTTCATGAGAGCAGTCTGATCTGCCGCTGGTGCAGCCATGGTTCGTGAAGCGGTATTGTATTCGAAATGGTACTATAATCGTTGGAAGATCGGCTGGTTGAATGGAGTCTTGAGGTTCTCTAGACTGCCCAGATGTTCCCAATATCAGTCATGTACTTGGTTCAAGAAAGCGCAGTTTGAGGCAATGTGATTGTAAAGTATGTAAGGTACAGATGCAGATGCAGCAGTCGCGGTGAGGACGCGAGGTGTGTCAGGTAGTGTCAGATAGGTCACATAGCAGATGCGGGGTACTGTACCATTGATTGTGTAAGAACCAAAAGGGTTTGTTTACATGACGTGGATATGATACTGTACTATACCTCGTGAGCTCCGACCTGCTCTACTTGTGATACCCTCAAAACCAAATGGCCATGAACTGGCAAATGAGATCAGCGATAAGAGGATAAGAGGATAAGAGGCCCTGTATGTTGTTGCGTCAGAAGGTGGAGCTACTTGTATGGGATTGTAGGGTATGTAAAGCTATGGGAATATGGGAAAGGGACATGGATAACGAGCGGCGGCCCTTTATTACTACTGTAGCTAGCAAAGCTTGACTTCTACTTTAGATCAACATCATTCAATATCATTCTGCGCTTCTTGAACTAAGATAGACAGCGCCAACTGATTCATATACTCTCTTTCGTGCTGCGCATGTCGCATGTCGCATACCGGTTATCCCATATCAAGCGCGTTTGTCCTCAACCATCAGCTCACGGACTCACCCACAGCACTTAGGATCAACAGCCAGCCACCAGCACTGGTACCCAATCTTTACCCCACATCCAACTTCCCTGTCTGCGGGTCTTTTCTTAACCCACTTTCCGCACTCTTTACGACTCTTTGCAAGCCTTATCGGACGCGCCAAGACAACCAGGGCTCTGTTATCTTAAGCCGCCTTTTCTGCTGTTTGCCCAACCTCACCGCTTCAGTTCACACCAAACCCTCAGCCCGATTAGGAAAAGAGCCCTCCTCCCTCTGCCAAAACCCAACCAACCCCCCCTCCCCCCCCCCCCAAATCTGCTCGAAAACACCACAACCCACCAAAGATGGTCAGGAACCACCCCTCTCCCTCCAGCTGACCTCTAGCATAGCATGCAGCTTGTCTAGCAATCGAACCGAATCTCTGACTGGGATGTAAATACAGGGCAAGCGAAAGAAGGCGGCCAAGGCCCCGACGAAGAAGAAGAACGAACCCCTCGCGACCACCTTCCCGTGTCTCTTCTGCAACCATGAGAAGTCCGTGACCGCGAAGATCGACAAGAAGGCCGGCGTCGGCCACCTGTCGTGCAAAGTGTGCGATCAGTCGTTTTCATGCAGCATCAACTGTACGCAACACCCGCCCGCCCCGCCCCCTTAGATGTTGCTTGATGGCGATGGCATATGCTGACTTATTCGTGCCAGACCTTTCGCTGCCGGTTGATGTGTACTCCGAGTGGGTCGACGCGTGCGACACCGTTGCGCAGGAGAACAAGGAAGCCAACGCGAACCGCCCGAGGAGTTTCGCCCCCCCAGGTCGAGCCGGAGAACGAGAGAGAGTCGATGATGACCTGGATGACGAGGATGCCGATCGCCACAATGGATACGGAGGGGAGGGCATTGTCGATGATGATGAGGACGACTACTAGAGGGCTACGACATGTACACTGAGTGGGACTGGGAGGGGATACAGGCGTCCACTTGTATGGGGAGAGAGATCAAAGGGCGTCTGGCGTATCAGGGCAAAAACAATCTAGCTTTAAGACTTTCGCCTTCATTTTACTGTATTTCGATAGGCTTCTCGGGTTGCTCTCGTCGACCCGAGGATATCTTAATTTGATTAGGAAGAGCAATCTACAACGAATTGATGGCTGTACAATCCCTGGCACTGGCCTTTCGTTGACAATTGATATATATATTCTCCCCATCAGCCGGAATCTGTGACTGTCCCCTCTCAGTAACCAACAAAGCGGTTCTTCTCCCATGTTCATCGGCGACATTAAAGCGTATAGAACCGATCCCCGAAATCTCCCAGGCCGGGGACAATATAGCTACAATAGTCAGCACGCGATCAAATGCGTAACGGATGTGAGAACTCAAACTTACTTCTTCTCGTCCAATCCCTGAACAAACACCACTGTTAGCAAATGCTAAATGCTTTGATTCTCTGGATTTGCATACCTGGTCTATGAATGCCGTAACGACCCTGAGCTTGGGGAATTTCTTTGCAAAGACATTGATCCCTTCCGGGCTCGCAATTAGGTTAACGAATAAGATGCGGTCTTCCGGGACGCCCCTGGACTTGAGAACATCTACAGCCATCGTTGCAGAGCCCCCTATCACACCAAGTCAGCCTTCACAGTCCCATAGTCGGTTCCTTACGAGCCTATATTTACCTGTTGCGAACATAGGATCCAAGAGAAGCACCCATCGATCACTGATGTCTTCCGGCAGCTTATCATAGAAAAGCTTCGGCATGCACGTCTCCTCGTCCCGCTGGATCAGGATCTTGCCAATGCGCACTGAGCGGCAGCAATCCCGCAAGCCCTGCTCCATGGCCTCGCCAGCCCGCATAATCGACACACCGCAGATCTTCCCCTGGAACATCACCCCGGCATAGCTCCGTCCAACAGGCGTGTTGATCTCATGCGCAATGACGGGAAGATGGTTCAAGCTCTCCTCCACCAGCAGGCGGATGATGCGGTTGGAGTAGAAGATGAAGTCAGCTCGGTCTGTGTTGACATCTCTGATCATCCTTTAACGCCAGCACTGTCAGCATAGGAATGCGGGAGAGCGTGGGGAGGGTATGAACTTGCGTCAGCAGTGCAATCAACTGCGGCGTCTGGGCGAGGACATGGACATTTGGGAACGAGACGGCGGTGGAGACCGTAGCCTCCGGTTTGTGGTTTTTGGATACGTAGTCTGGCCCTACAGCTTCTGTGTGAATGGTTTGCAGGGACTCCTTGTTGGATGCCATCATATAATAGATATCCGTGCGGTATTTTGAGTGACTTGGGCTTTCTTCCTTATATTGGAAGTTGGAAACGTGATATGCGAGGCTGGATCGGAGATGCCCGTCGTCAGGTATACAGAGGCGGGGTCACTTCAGACGCGAATTAAGTGCTGATTCGGTAGATGGATGGCCACTTTTTGCAAAACTGTTATTTTCAAGAGGATAGCCCAGCTGCGTATTTCATGGAGATTTGCTGTGCGTGAGGAATGAAGGTTTATTTATATGTACAGTACGACGATTGCCCCGCCTGTCACGTTGGCTGATCGCTAGGGTTTGTTGATACTGTAGGCCCGCTCGCGTGAGATACTAGCAGGTTTGATAGCTTCGAAAGTGAAGTTAATTTGATGGCCAGTTATACACATAAGCCCAGTATATTTTAGACAATCTATCCTGTGAATAACACATCTGCCGCTTGATATTCAATATATTCTGCCCCCGTGACCTCGAAGTATCCAGCTGCGGGGTACTTTGAAGAAGCGTTATTGATGCCTTAAATATATGGCTCCAATTGATTAAGACTTTAGCCGCATGCACGGACCACAGCGATTGTTGACCCCGTTGCGCGCTGCTGGGCCTTGTGGGGAAGGCTGAGCCAAACTCAAGAAGCCGCCAAAGACATCATCAAAGACACAGCACATCAAAAGAGTGTACCTACGGGCCAACTTATCTGTGAGTTTGACGTGGGGTTATCCAATTCTCACTATATGCTGGCCGTAACTTATACGGAACAGTGACAGCTTTCCATGCGACTCGGTTCCCGATTCTTCGTTCACCATCGCATACCATCGAGAGCGATTCTCATAAAGCAACGTGCTTGTTGAGATGTTATACTTATCCTGATACATCTTTTGTGCCAGCTTCAGAAGAACATGTAGGCATGATGGCAACTGGCAATGACACCACGTTGCGGAAAAGGTCCTTTGCGACTTACGGCAAAGCGCGACGGCGGCCTGGACCCGACTACCTGGCGCCAGCCAAAACCTTTAAAGACGACACCGGAGGTGGCAGGAGTCGCCAGTACTCTGTTCCCCGGAATATAGAGCCTACCGCAGATACCTCTGTCCACGTTCAGCCCCCGCAAGCCAGCCCTTCCCCAGTCACCGATGACCCCAACGTTTTCGACTTTCCGAGCGACAGCGATAATGGCACCTCACGCCCAGACAAGAGAAAACGTATTGCGAAACAACCCCAAGCATCACCAAAGAGAATGAAAAAGGAGCACGTTGAGGTCAAGAAGCCGGCGACGGCAGATACGAGCAATGGCCACTCTCCCTATACAACCCCGCAACGCAACATCGCATCCAAAGCCCGCGCTCCGAAGTCTAGCATTGTGCAACACAGAGAGACACGGCCCAGTGGAGATGAAATATCGAATCCGACGAAACCGGCTTCATTATCACATGCTGCCTCTGGCGCAAAGCACGGCCTGCCAGGTCGAGCAAAGGCAAAACCCGATACCACCACCCGTGGCGAACCATCTTCCACGGCTGCCCCCAAGAAAGATAAAGGCCAAGGAACACAGCGACATAATACATATTCCTCAACAAGTGATCGATCCCAATCAATTACCCCGCGTCGGAATTCTCCGGTGCCAAAATCGTCGACTATTGCCTTCGATGCGCCGGGAACGACCACTCCCGTCCGTGACACTACGGACTCTGGCCTCGATTTCAGTGGGCGGTCAACGCCAACGGGACTCACTCCAAAAAGCGTGAAAATGTGGAATGGGCTACTGGGGGATGGTTTCGATGGCGTCTCCCACCAGGCAACGGAACATTCCGCCGTACAAGATAGAGGGGTGAATCGACGACTTCCAAGACGGCGATTGATAGACTCTTTCGCTGAAAAGAAGGCTTCCAAGTCCGTCCCTGCTGCCCAGCGGAGCAATATTGGCCTTGAAAGAGGGATTTCAGACGTCCCTCCCGATATCAACCTGACGAGTGACACGGATAAGCCTGCTGGCGTAGCAGTTGGGCAGCAAGCCATTGTTGCGCCACAAGCACCAGGCCCAAGAATTACGTATAGCAGCCAGCGGTCAATGCTGGCAGAGGAAAATCTTCTTACCAGCATGGACCCCAACTTGTCTCAATCTCAAGACGAGGCTGCAGAAACACCGAGGAGACGACGGGGAGCAATGCCTACCTTGACGCGACTCCACAGTTTAGACGAGGATGACGAGGAAGATGATAAGCAACCCGGAGGTGGGATCCGAACATTCCATGAGCTGAGACAGGCGGGCGCAAACAAACGGTTTGTGGACGAGGTTGAAGACCTCAGTGAACGGATTGGCGTGCCAACGAAGCAGCCTTCCATGAGGCGATCCGGGTTGCTGGATCTTATTGGAAAAACGCATGATAAGGCTTTCTTGAAGAGTCTTATTTCTAACGGAATGGATCAACGCCTATTCCTTCGTCTAGGCGATGAGACAGACATTATTTCAGGCTTTATAATCGCTTCGATCCTCGTTATCTTGCTCAACTCCACAGCTTCGCCGATTGCAACTTCTCACCTGCTCAACCAGGGGTTCTCAGATTTTATCAACCGTCTTTTAAAAGTTGATGATACTATTACCTCACTATCACAGCAACGAAAAACGAACATGTCCAAAATGACACAGACGCTACTAGCACAGGAGCACAAAAAACTTTTACAGATGCAAATATGGGGGGAGGTTCAACCGAAAAAGCTGTCCCCTCGCTTAGTTGCTCTTGCTTGCCTTTATTTTGTTGTCAAGCAGAATCGCGAGAGTGGCATAGCTGGAAGCATAGTTTCCGACGAGATTGCAGAAAGTCTGTTTTCGATCGTCAACCTTTACACCGAGGAAAACTCCTGGCAGCCGACGGGACCACTTCAGTTCGCTGATCTTCATCTTACAATCTCGATCTTAGAGCTTAGTTCTCTGGGTTTGTCAAATCGCCCTGGAGATACAGCGTGGGGAGGCCGTCATCTAGCTATCATTCGTGAAATCACACATGTGGCTCTTCGGTCTGTGCCGAGCGAGCTTTCATCAACCAAAGCCTTGGTGTTGGGCCTCGCATTGAACATCACCAACAATAACTCCCTGGCATCAGAAATATTTTCAACGTCAGGATTCATCCATGACGCGTTCAATGCGATTCTATTAGATTCCAAGCAGTTGTTGAATATGGTACCCGGAGAAAGACAATCGACGTCAGTGGATGGCCTTATCTTGATGATCGGTATCATGATTAACCTGGTCGAATGGAGCGATCGGGCAAACGAACCAACACCGGCGCTTGACAATGGAAGCTTGATAGATGCTGTGCGGATATTCGTAACAGGGTTGGAGAAGGCACCTGAGGTTTGTTATTATTTCGCTCCCTTCATGACTTGTCATGCTGACATTTATACAGGCTGATTCCGTCGAGGGGGCTAACCTCAATGTAACATTTGGTTACTTGGCTGTACTTCTGGGGTATCTGGCCCTGACGAAAGATACTGCGCGGCAAATGCGGCTTGGTCTTCCTGGACACAGTTTGAAGCCTCTGATAGTGGCCGTCGATGAGTTCATTGATCACCACAGGGAGGTTGACACCCAGTCTGGGGATGGCATAGAAGTTCAGAATTCTCAAAGCGGCCTAACGGAAAAGCTCTCGCGGATGCTGGCAAGGCTGGGGACCATGGAAGAAGAATCACAATGACCTGAGGCCATATCGTCTCCTCAATAGGATATATATACACTTCGACTCGGCACATATTTATTGTCTTTTGGCCTCGGCGTAGATAAACTGGACAGGGGGCTTAATAGGCAGCCATGGAAGAGATACCCATATAGAATTACATGCACTGCCGGCAACGAGCAGCATGTTAAATGAATTTTCTTAAGTGCTTTCCATACACTATAATGGTGGTTTGTTCCCATCGCTACCTTTTGAGAACGTAAATTATAAGAAATATAAATATAAGCAAAGAATATTGGCATTGGGTTACATCTCGACAGAAATACATACAAATTAGGTATTGTCATCAAGAATACATTCATAATTATACCAATACAGAATTTACCCATAACAGCAAGTTCTTATTTTTAAAATACAATAAATATGGTAGCTGGGGGGAATATTGTCTGTATTTACCCCATCACGTAGCGTGACTTGGCTGGCGGTAGAAGTATGTTCCATGAAAGCGGCCCATTCCCAAAACAGCCATCCGTAAATCATCCAGGCTCTACTGTGGAACGCTGGAACACTACTATTCGATTATTCGATCGAGGAAGCAGAACATCAACAAACCTTCATTAAGGAGCCATATCCAGGAACGAAGCATACGTATCGATACGTAGGATATCAGAAATGGCGCCTCCAGCAAAGCAACGGAAGATTGCCATTGTGGGCTCGCGCTCAGTTGGTTATTTGCCCTGTTGATTCCCTTACAAACCTCACATGCATGTGCTAATGATGACATTACAGGCAAATCTTCCCTGACGGTCCAGTTCGTCGACGGACATTTCGTGGAGAGCTACTACCCCACGATTGAAAACACTTTCACCAAAGTTATCAAGTACAAGGGCCAGGAATACGCAACAGATATCATCGACACAGCTGGTCAGGTGAGCAAGCGTCTTCGTTTTCACGTGATATCATTGTGCTTTTGGACTATAGTTTCTAACTATTGCTCTAGGATGAATACAGTATACTTAATTCCAAGCACTTCATTGGGATCCATGGGTATATCCTGGTGTATTCGGTTGCTTCGATGCAGTCGTTCGAGATGGTACAGGTCATCCGTGACAAGATTCTGAACCACTTGGTACGGTCCCTTCCAGCATGCCACATACAGAGAGTGCGAACATTCTAACATATGCATTAGGGGACTGATTGGGTACCGGTCGTCCTCGTCGGCAACAAGAGCGATTTGCGACCCGAGCAGCGCCAGGTCACTGCTGAAGATGCAAAGCAGCTCGCAGAGAAATACTCGTGTGCATGGACGGAAGCCAGCGCGCAATTCAATGAGAATGTCACCAAGGCATTTGAGTTGATGATTGCACAGATCGAGAAGTCACAGAATCCAAATGAGCCGACGGGGGGGAATAAGTGCCTGGTGATGTAGAGACAGGGGGGATGATTTATGTGTTGGTCGGTAAATACACCGTGGCAATCGAGGCATGGCCGTCCTATTAAATAGGTTGGAGAGTTCACCAGAGTTATATATCTGCCTCAGGGGCCTTTTCCAACTTGAAAGAAGCATGGCGCAAGAGATTTGTCAAGCACGTCCTCAACCCCACAGGCCAACTCTACCTCACCTCTCTGATACGATTTGCTTTACTGCAATAGATAGGATAGCTCAGAATAATAGAGCAGAGGCAATGCTGGCATCACAAAATTAGTGTTGTGAATATTTTTAATACCTGTTTGTCAGACACGACTGTATTGATTGATTGGGTATTGCCACTACACATTGTAGAAACACTAAAACGGCAAGTAGGAATCTTGGATAGTGTATGTTTGACTCGCAGAAACATGATTACTTGTTATTTATTATTATTTATTTATTATTCGTTGTGAGCGATTGCTCCGCATGAGTCAATATGGTCTTCCAAATGGCGGTTTGAGAACATGTGACGAGCTACGGGACAGTGTCGCCGCCCACCCTGAATTTACCCCACCAACAAATGGCCAAAAAGATCCCACCCACCACCAAACAGACAACAACTTCACCAGCACCACAACCTTCCCCTCATTTGTACCGGAAGCTCCGAACGTCGCAAACATGCTTGACGTATTCGACTTCATCGTCGAGAAGGGCGGAAACCCGGAACAAATCAAAGAGTCGCAGAGGAGGAGATATGCGCCAGAGGAGGTTGTGGACGAAGTTATCGCGCTGTATGAGGATCACCGCAAGAGTAAATGCGCCCCACGAATCTACACGTCTCGAAGATCATACGCTTATACATATCAACAGCTCAGTACTCAGCGACCCAAGTGAACACGAAGATCAATGAAATACAAAAGCAGATCGGTGCGAAGAAGAAGGTTCGTTGTGACCGTTCAGACAACCAGGCGCGGGGCACTTTGGAGGCACAACTGACCACCGACTTTTATTAGGCCAAGGAAGATGCATCTGAGCTCATGGCCCAGAAGATTGAGCTAGAGAAAGAAAAGAAGGCAAAGATTGAACTGGCCGGTGAGAAGGACGTTGCACTGAAGAAGAAGATTGCCACCATTGGGAACATCGTCCACGAGTCTGTGCCTACTCACAACAACGAGGTAAGGCTTCCAAGTACTTTATTGTACTGCAGAGTATCTAACCGGACAACAGGACAACAACGTCGAGCTGCGAAAGTGGGCGCCCGAGGGATTCTCTGTCGAAAAACGCGACGTCCTGTCCCACCACGAAGTCCTGACACGTTTGGATGGATATGACCCAGAAAGAGGTGTCAAGGTCGTTGGCCACCGTGGCTACTTTTTGAGAAACTGGGGTGTATTTTTGAACCAAGCCATGATTAACTATGGTCTTGAGTTTTTGTCGGAGAGAGGATATACCGCGCTACAGGCACCTCAGTTCATGCTGAAGGAGTATATGGCAAAGACAGCTCAGCTTGAACAGTTCGATGAAGAGCTCTACAAGGTCGTGGATGGCGATGCTCAAAATGATAAGTACCTTATCGCGACCTCCGAACAGCCAATATCTGCCTTCCATGCCGATGAGTGGATTATGAACAAGGAGCTTCCTATCAAGTATGCTGGTTTCAGCACTTGTTATAGAAGAGAGGCTGGCTCGCACGGCCGTGACGCCTGGGGAATCTTCCGTGTTCATCAATTCGAAAAGGTAAGGCGAACCCCATTCCAAAGAGATCCTGTGCTAACTTTGTGTTTAAAGGTTGAGCAATTTGTTCTTACCGACCCAGAGAAGTCTTGGGAGGCATTTGAAGATATGATCACTGTCTCCGAGGATTTTTATAAGTCGTTGGGCGTGCCATACCGCGTTGCCGCCATTGTTTCTGGTGCCCTGAACAATGCCGCAGCGAAGAAGTACGATCTGGAAGCCTGGTTCCCCTTCCAAGGCGAGTACAAGGAGCTCGTGTCTTGCTCGAACTGCACGGACTACCAGTCGAGGGCACTTGAGATTAGATTTGGTAACAAGCTCCAAACGGACGTCAAGAAGAAGTATGTCCATGCTCTTAACTCCACGCTGTGCGCAACCGAGCGCGCATTATGCTGTCTGCTAGAAAACTTCCAAACCGAAGATGTAAGTTTCTCACGATTCCAATTACCTCCGGGCATACCACTAAACAGCATCCATAGGGATTCACCGTACCCGAGCCACTCCGAAAGTACCTACCTGGTGCTCCTGACTTCATTCCATTCACCAAGGAGCTTCCAAAGGATTCCACTTCGCAGAAAGCGAAGGCAAAGGCCGAAAAGTCTGGTAAGGTCGCGAGCGCTGTTGCTGGTGGGGCAGCTGCTGTTACAGAAAAGTTGAAGAATCTCAGCACCTGAAAAGCTTAGAATAGCAAGATGAAATCAACGGCGGAAAGATCGCCTGGGTTGATTTGATGTTTCAGAGCTAGACTTATGCTTGAGGTAAATCAATAGAAAGCTACCATGTTATGAACCTTGGAAATTTGTCTCACAATCTCAATTGAAATCTTGACTGATGTATGGTCACAACCTCAATTGAAATCTTGACTGATGTATGGATTATAATCTCACGATATTAATGTTACATCTAATCTAAAGGCGCTGCTGAGCCTATAGCCTCCACTCCTCCTTGCCCTCCTTCACTCAATTCCAACCCTTTCACTTATTATACACAATTTGCACACGCGGTTGCGAGCCGCTATCCAACGACGCAACTGCTTTTATATACGGAGCTGCTCTCGAACCAACTTGTAGACTTTGCGCTGTTTCGGAGACTTGATAACTTTACGCATGGTCTGTCCAATCCACCTTGACAAAGCAGGGAAAATGACTGATTCCCCGGCCCAAGCAAAGCAGAAATATACAGCTCCGAGGGATAGAATAAAGAATCGAAAGTCCAGGTCCATTTCCGTGAGTTGCATGAACTTCGTCAGCCACCTAGAAGGATCAAACAGCATATATGACGAAAACAGCAGACCTGTCACGATTGTAACGACGAACGGAACTACATTTGCCTTAGTAAATCGTCCCTGGGCATTTATGGAAGGTTAAACTTACGGTTTTGTCCAATAGGCTGCCTGAAAGGTGGGCCCACGCTTAAAATTATACCAGAGAGAATATACTGGAAACATGACACTAGAAAGAGCGTTGTATTCTGAGAATTTTCGATGTTGGACTTCTCTTTTTCCAAGTGTGGTGGGATGTACCTGATCACCGGTCAGTCACTGGTTGAGTCAAATATGAAGGGTGACATACCAAGGTTGCCGCTGCACAACCGTGTATCCAATTGCTTGGATCAAAATGCATATTAATATCTGCCCAATAAGTGGAACTAATACCTTGCGAGACACAAGGTTGGCTGTAGGGCGCCTCTTGGAGAGTATCCGGTAAGGCCCAGTCCAACCCACTGATGAGGTGATTAGAACTGTTCGCATTGTAAAGAGGTGCAACTCACTGAAAATTGCAATGGGGAGGATTAGAACCAGATCAATGAAAAGAAACTATGGCAATTAGTATTACTAAACATTGGGTTTGGGTAGTATCATACCTGGAAATCCCCCAAGTTAGATGCGGTGGCGTATAGGAAGCTGACGGAAGTGAATTGAATTGCCGAGTACAGACTCATATATTTGAAGCAGCTGAAGCTGGTAACTAAAGCTGCACGTCCCTCTCTATTTATAATATTAGTAGGCAAAAAGGGCAGGTCAGTGGATCTTACCGTATAACCTCTGGGACACATGTGATGTCAAAGATTCTGCTTGTGAATGGGGCTGCAACCGAAGCCTCTGCCTCGGAAAGGGAGATCCCAACATCGGCGGCTTTCAGTGCTCCACAGTCATTCGCCCCGTCGCCACAGAATCCGACACAGTAGCCGATGCTCTGTAGTTTTTCTACTAATTCATGTTTTTCGTCAGGGGACATCCTTGCAAAAACCTGGCCTCCAACAAGCATCTCGAAGTACTGTCAGCAAAGTATGTGTATTTGGACATTTCACCACGAACCTTTTGGATGACCTCCGGAGAAGCAAAATCAATCATCCAGCGAAACACATCGCCGCTGACAGCCAGAGAGAAATTTTTGAGGTTTGATATATCGTAAGGCAATGAGGCGTCTCCTTCAGCGGGAGGTGGAAGCGGCTATCAAAATAAGCGTTCGAAACATGGTTATACTATCTGGGGTGCATACCGTAAGCGTTCGACCATCCAGCTGGTATATGGGGTTGTCTATGCTCTCCCAGACCAAACGAGAATTTGGATCCTGGAAATGCCCTGCCACATATAATTAGTGGTTGTAAGGTATAAAATGTTCCTTCGAATAGCGACTTACCTTCAGCAAAATGAGGGACAAAGCAATGCGCGGTTTTGTCGATTAAAGTGCACTCTCTTGCAACGCTTATAGCGGTTAAAATATTGTCGCCAGTGCACATAAGCTTCCTTATCTGGGCCTTTTCAAGCACTTCAAGAACACCTTGAGTGCTTGGCTTCAACTTGTTCTCAAATATGATGAGGCCAATAAAATCAAGTTGCGATTCGGCTTCGCTTCTTTTCATTCTTTGTACCTTGACCCAGCTCAATTTAGGTATGTGTCTCCGTGCGCAGGCAATGACTCGGAATCCTCTATGGGTATAATATGTCAACAGCTCATCGTAATCATTAGGAACTGGTGGGAGTTAGACGGATTTCTCCAATACACGTCAGTGAAGCGACCTACAGCTTTCAGGTCGACAAATATCCTTCATGCACTCGGGAGCGCCCTTGACATAAATATCAACCCCACGAGATCCAAAATTCCTCACAATCACACTTGATCTCCTCAAGTGAGACGCAAACTCGAACGATTTTAAAATACCAAGCTCAATGGGAGTTGACTGGAACCGCTGTTAGCAAGTAATCCTCTAGCGCATGCTAGTATGCAAGGTATAGAAGGTACTTACATTCTCTGAGCCATCAGACTCACGAAGGCCATACTCCAACTCCGTGGGGGGCCTCGCGGTTGAAGGTGAAATGCCTTTACTTTCATCATCGTCAATCTCGCCTGAGTTTTGCTGACCTTCTTCAAATGACCATCCAGTGAACTCAAACATCTTCAAATCCAGAGGATCGCCGACTAGGCCCGCCTCAACCGATCTCAGCGAATGACACGTCGCCATAGTAAAAAGTGTAGCCTTGTGGGTGTCGTAATCTACCGTAGGATCTCGTTCGTATGAAGCCCCTGGAACTAACGATGGTGCATC